TCAGATAGAGAACTTTCGTCCGGACGGAGGACGAGTCGTACCTGGTCGCGGAGCAGGAGACATCGTTGAGCTCGTTGATGAGCTGGCCGAGCACGATTCCCAGCAGAGGCTCGGGAATGCCGGCTGCGATGGCGAAGAAGGTGCCGACGAGTATGAGGGCCAGGTCGACGCGGGTGTGGTTGAGCGAGAACAGCAGACGGATGAAGCTAAACATAGTCTTGATGTCCTTCGGCTTCGGGATGCATCGCGACACCAGGAGGATCTATCTCGGTCAGTGGTTCTGGTAGAGATGACGAGGTTGAATTCTTACAGCCTTCTGTGCGTGGCTTGCGCTCTTGACAGCTCCTTCCGTCTGATCGCTCTTCAAAGGCTCTGATGCTGACATTGTGAAGCAGCAACACCCTAGACGGCAGCGGCGCAGTGACTGTGAAAGCTCGAGGGAAGCAGGTATAGAACACCATTGACCTCGATTCCGGCAATCACTCGACCGACAACTGTTCGGCCACGGAAGCAATACGGACTCCGACTAGGGTCAGTCGGCAGGATTGGCATTCTTTACGTAAAACAAAAGCTAAGAAAATGGTCTCTCATGCCTAGATAGATTATCAGATCATCAGATAAGAGGGTCTCCGCGGATTACGGTATCATACCTAATACAGCTGTAACCCCCATACACGGTATTAATTTCCGCCCTCGTTTTGCAAATATACATAGCACTCACTCACTGTCCCTGTCCCCACCAGCAGCCGCTGGAAGATTGTCACCTTCCCGATTGAACGTAGTTTCTCGTAGGTAGGCTTCTATGGGAGGCTCCAGTGCAGGCACCTTAGACTAGTCCTTCGTGTCCCATCAATGTGCCTTAGACCCTGTCTGGGCATCATGTGATGTTGTTTCCGACGCTCAACAACTACCTCCATGAGGTACCTATTCTCAAGGAACCGAATTTTGATTTGTTGTCTGAGGGCCACAATGGCGCGAGCGTTCTCATTTCAGTTATACGCCCAATGCTTGTGAGAACACAAGTGCAACATGTTCTGGCTGACCCCTTCACACTCGCAGGTATGCCGAAAAAATGGCATTATCGAAAGAGAGCTTTGCCAAACAGATCCGTCCAGCTCGGAGCTGATCAGTCCGCAATCATTACCTAGTCAAGATCAAATGTCTCACCCGGCGGCGGGGAGTTCTCGCGACGACAAATTGGCTTCGACTTTCAAATCAAGGGCCGTTGAGGGGGGCCAATGTAGGAGCGTAGCGAAATAGACACCTCAAGCGAACAGTGGCAACATACTTACTCTCCTCAGTAACATTAACCCTATGCCGAGTAATTGCATCCATCTGCGCCATTTTCCATCGCTTTACATGCAAAAAGAATAAAAAAGCAAAAAAAAAAAAAGAAACATTTTGTATATTACTTACAACACAGCGCCCGGACACCCTCCCACGATGTAACATCGACCCAGATATTGACACTTGGCAGGAGGGGTTTCGTTCACCGGGATTCCGCCGGTCGTCACATCGAAACCCCCCTACACCGGGAGGCAAGCCGGACCGAGTCCATCAGGTGGTAAGACTAGGTACCTTCCCAGCAGATTTGAGAATTGCAAGCCTTCCAAGTCATTGACCTCGCGCGTTGCATTCACGGATTCCTCCCGAATCAACAACCCGGGTTCGCCCTCGCCCCCACCTTTTGATCGTGAGAGTGAGTCATCCGTGAGCGTAGGTGAGACATCGACCTGCGAACATATCTCAGCGGTTCCGCACATGATAGGAGTCTGCTGGGTCCGATTGACGGAGGAGGATGGAGCGGCATGATCGCAATCTATTGACCATAGACTTCCAAATGATAAGATATGACAATCGGCCGGCTGCCTACGGTCATGAGGGCTCTGAGCATTGCATGCTACCGCTGCTCATATTGCTAGAAGATGTTCAAGCAAGATTTTGGCAGCTGTGGGGACGGTGAAGGAAGATGACCGCCGTAGTCAACGGCAAAATCACTTTCACGATTGTTTGGTGAAGGGAATGCTGAGGGAGATCTTAGTGATCGGTAGGCTAACTGGATCATGTTAATCTGTTGAGTATGGGTACTCAGCATCCCGACAAACGATGATGTACCATCAACCTAGTGGCCCCAATAAGCTTCCCTTTTTCTTCTTTCTTTTTCGATGCTGAAAGCAGGGGAATGACATATTGAGACTTGTTTGAAGAGGCCGCTCCTCAAGGAAAGCCTGTCAAGACTTTCGTTACATGTTAGAGACACAGAGTAAATGTTGAGTAGAGAGGTTATTTGAACACGTGGGATAAGCCACGGTCGATGATCAGCAAGTCAAATCATTCGCTCTTTAGACGGTGTGGAAGACTAGGTAGGCTGTCGAGACCTGGATACGGATCCTCTTTACAACGAGTCTGTGCAGACTTGATTTTACAGCCAGGATACTAGTAGGCTGGTGCCCTCTTCGAATCCAGTCCCATGGAATGCTGAATCCTCATCCAGAGGGCATAAATTGGTTTTCTCAAAAGGCTCCCACGAAGTATATCTCCATTATACATACAGCGGACAGATGCGGCCATAAAGTCCCAATTTAAGCCCCAATGCTACAAATATTCCAAATGCACATTCCAAGCCAAGAGAAAGGAGGAAACAGCTCTAAGCCAGTATTCCTCCTAATAATGCACTCCCTTCCATTCAGGCAACCTTAATGCACACCTTCCCGATCTGCGCACCAGAGGCAGCATACTTGTAGGCCTCCACGACGGCCTTCTCATTGAAATCAAAGACCTTATCCACGGGCAGCCGGAGACCCCGCGTCGCCACGAAGCGCGTCACCTCCTGGAGCAGCTGCGTGGAGCCGACGGTGATACCGCGGACGACGGCGCCCTTGGACAGGGCAAGAGCCGCGACGTCCGGCATCTTGGCCTGGTCGGCTTGCGACAGGAAGCCGATCACTGAGATGTTGCCACCCATCTTGACGGCATTGAGGGACTCGCCGATCGTGCCCGATCCGCCGTTCTCAAAGATGTAGTCGACCCCCTGGCCCTGGGTCAGGCGGAGAACCTCCTTGGACCACTCGGGGTGGGTCTTGTAGTTGACCACATCGTCCACGCCGTAGTCGGCCTGAACGCGCTTCAGCTTCTCGTCGCTGGAGGAGGTGATGATGGTGCGGGCGCCGGCCGCCTTGGCCAGGATCAGGCCGGTGATGGAGACGCCGCCGGTTCCTGGGTTGATGTTAGATAGATTCGTTGGTTTTGTACTGAGAAGCGGTTGGGGAAGAAACGGAGTAAAAGGTAATGGAAATGGATGGGAAAGAATCAACATACCCTGGAACAGAACAGTCTGGCCGGGACGAAGGGGAATATTCCCATATAGCGCATTCCACGCAGTCACACCCGTGCAGACCAGAGTCGACCATTCGCAGAAGGACAAGGCGGATTCCTTGGGGACCTGCACCGCCGAGGCAGCCGGGATGCAGACGTATTCGCGAAGCACACCGTCAATCGGACCACCCTGACCGTTCTCCCAGTTCAACTGGGGGCCGAAGAGGTTGGTGATATCGAAAGTACCAATCACGTGGTCACCAACAGTAACGTTCTTCACGCCTTCACCGACCTTCACCACAACGCCAGCGGCGTCCGAGCAAGGAACCACATTGTCCTTAACGGGGAAGGGGTAGAGCGAGGTGGCAACGCCGATGTCTCGGTAGTTTAGGGATACGCCGTGCACCTTGACCAGAACCTCGTACTTGGTCGGCTCGGGCACGGACTCCTGGAACTCCTTCAGGTTCTCGACCGAGTTGCGAGGGCCGTTGATGCGGATGACTCTTTGGCTGGGCATGATTCTTGAGGATCGAGGTTGACTATCGGGAATCGGCTGGTGGATTTTGGTGGTTGGTAGTTAAAGATCTGACTCAAGCGTGAACTGGAAAGGGCAAACTGAACATGGAAGTCGGTCAAGGCAGGAGCTCCTGGCAAGCTTTTATGTCCCGGTTCTTCTGCATGGAGAGAAGTTCTCACCTTGGTAATGCGGTGTGTGGGGGAAAAAATGGTTCATGAGATAATTCAGGTGCAGCTCAGTTTGCAGAAAGGAACGTCATGGCCTTCAACGGCGGCGTTGGAGAGTCGAGTGTTGGGGAAAGCTTATCCCCAAACTGATATAACCTGCTTCTCCAAATTTGGAGATCCGGCGGGGGCAACTTTATCAATCTCAGCCAGCCCTGGGCGTGTCAAATCTTGGGCCCGGGCGGGGCTACGAGGGTGCCATCATTTGTAAGCAAAAAGTCTTGGAGATTTGAGAAACGCCTCTTAGTACAAGTATTGGGTAGGAATTTGGATCGATTGTCCTCCTTGTGTTTCTGATTCAGTAGGGGGTTACAAACAGTCACGTGATTATGATCCGACGGTTCAGTTGGAGAATGAAATCATATGCGTACGATGGATAGGGCCGGGAAGGGCCTCGTGGAGGACTGGAATCCGGAATAAGGATCAAACATCAATTATGATCAGCTAACCGGTTAATTTGAGTATGATCTTTGTTATACTGAAAACGTGAGTGTAATGGACACATATATCTACCGGCGAGGACTTGCCGTTTTTAACTAATTTACCACATAACTTTGCATCACTTGCTGGAACTAGGGAAGTGTAAACCTCTGTTCCGAGTATAAAGTTTGTCCTTAGCGTGGTAAACGATGAGGATGTATGACCCCACACAACGCTTGACCTGTTAGATCCTGGTTGCGTATGGTTCAGCTTTGTTATATTGAGTTTTTACTGTACATAGATGTATGTACAAACTTCTGCCATGTGCAAATTGAGAGCCATGAGTGTGTGGAGGATGTTGCTATTGACACAAGCTGACCTACAATACATAATGAACCCAGCAATCACGGCATTACAGGCTGAAGCGTATATAGAGTCTATGTGCTCCAGCCCTTGCACAAGCAACCAGAGAACAAATACATTGGAGAAGTTTCAAACATCAAACGGTCCCGAATTTCGGACTATCAAATCGGAGACCCAGCCTCTGATCTCAGCCACAACAACGTAGCCTCCACATCCAACATACGCTCGAGATCGGAGAAGATATCCGCCTCCATGGGCGTCCAGCCCAGCATCTCGCGGGCGCGGCGCGCGACCCCCAAACTCGTGGAACTCACATTCATCTGGCCGCCATACCAGAACCGCTGCACGACATGATTGGGCAGATCCTCGGCTTCCGGCGAGTCCAGCCACCCCCTCTGGTACCCCAACTCCGCCAGTCGCCGGGTGACATCCCCCCACGCAAACTCGCCATTCTCCGCAAAATAGTACCCGTGCTCGTTCCACAGCTCCCTTGGGGAGTGCTCGTCTACCGCCGCCTCCGTCAGTAACAGGTACATCCGCGCAATGTCCTGCGTGTGCACCATGTGCCATCGGTTCTCATTCCCGTGGATGGTGAACGCCCTCCGGCGGCGGAGCATCACGTTGAGCAACCGGGGCACCTGGATGGAGCGCGTGAAGCCGGGGAAGCGCGAGGGCCCGTAGACGGTCGGCGGGCAGACGATGGCGGTGCGGATCTGGGGGTGTTCGCGGCCGCGCAGGATGGCCATGTCGACGTCGCGATGCGCCGCCCAGTTGGGCAGCACGTGGTCGTAGCCGGTGGGCTCGGGATCGGCGGCGGATGGCAGACTGGTCAGCTCCGCGACGCCCTCGAGGTCATTGTAGTAGCGCGGAATCAGCTGGCCCCAGTTCGAGGGCTGGGACTCCATCTCCCAGGCGATGATCTTGGCGCCGGAGGTGTGAGTTACCGTGCCCTGCTCTTTACGCCGGGCCAGACCTCGGATGATGGCTTCTGCAGCGGGGAGGTGGTCGCAGTTGGCGAAATCTGATCACAGTCAATGATTCTGTACGTAGAGTGCACTGCACATGTCCCCTGCGATGCATACTTAGGACAACATCAGATTTGCTGCTCTCCTGCTCTAGCAGGTCGACGTCATCCAGCGACCCTGGGATAATCTCAACGGTTGGATAGTTAGTTCGGAGCAAACTGATCTTGCGGACGTTCCGGACAAGAACGACGATCTCCCAGTCCGGATGTTTTTCCACGAGTATGTGTAAGAAATCGCCTCCGATGAGGCCAGTTGCGCCGGTGCTGATGCTCAATCAGTTGTTGTTGTCTTGCTTGGGTCTGTAGTGGGTTTGCGTACATGAAGATCCTCAAAGCCATACTTGCAGGCTGACTGAAATGTCGGCGTGAGTTAGTGGATCAGGCCAACGCGTGTCAATGTCAATGTCCCTCACATCAGAATTAGAACTCACTCACCCGGACGCGGGGCACAATCGCGGAATTAAGAAATGAATCGACTACATCGAACCATGCTATCTTTCCCTGCTTACAAAACATGATTGAGTTGTCCATGAGTGGGGACGCGAGATCCCCAAACTTGGAGATCGCCCCATTTTGGAGAAGCTCGCTGCACGCGGCACGATTGAGGAGTAGGGCGCCATCCACTGCTTCTCCTTTCTTTACAATATGGCATTTTTACCAGGGTAGTCTCACTTTGGGGCACTCGCGCGCCTAACCTCTCTGTCCTTCTCTCGCATGAGCGTTCCTGCTCTCTTCCACGGACGTCGTATTACAAAGCACTTGTCCAGAGACATAGCGTTCAATACAGAGAACAAGTTAACCAGAAACAGCTCCGCATTGAAGTCATCGAGAACGGAGCTCAACAAGAGTGAACGAGGTACCCAATTCTTAATCATAGTTGCTAGTCGAGCTGAGCTTGAGTCTTGGACAATTTCCAAGCCGGTCAGACGCTTGGTACGTGTAAGTAGGCATGTACATGATATTCCAGCAAAACACAATCCGACACTCCCGGAGGTTATTTCCTTTACTCGTATCCCCCCCTGTTACAGTACTTATACCAGATGTTAAGTCCAAATTGCCTGAGCACATGACTGTCTTCGGTGATTGGATTGTTCTGCTCGGTAGTAGAGCGAATGGCGACTGATCTTCCGAGACAACAGATTCCACTACAAAATCGTCAATAATCGCAAGAAAAGGGCAGCGAGATTAGGCAGAGGGTTCATACACTTTGCCACTTGCTGGATCATACATGATCTTGTCCGGGTCACCCTCCGCATGCTCCTGCCCGTGTAGGCGCAGCGCTCTGTAGAAAGCAAGTCAGCAATCAAAATAGCAGAGGTGCAGGCAAAAGGCCCGTTCTCACTCAACTAGGTCCACAGCTCGTGCCCTGATCGCATCAATCTGCCGTTGCCCGCGGAGGTGGTCGATATAAAACGACAGGGGAAAGCCCGGCAACCGCGTCATAGCAATGAGGTTCATCCGCCCGCCCGGATTCTCGAACTCCGGGCTCTTGACGGTGCATTTCCAGTGCAGGAGCTGAGGGAAGCCGTTCACTCCCCGTGCTGCCTCTAATGCTTGTACTTCCCATGTGAACCCGGGTTGAGCGATGCCGCTGAAGAGCCTGCTGGCCTCGCAGCCACGCCTGAGGACTGGGTGCTGGCTATTTGTATCAGACAGTAGAGATGCTGGTTAGTAGCCTTCCTAAGAAGTAGACAAATTTGAACACCATGAGGCAGGGACTTACTGGATGAAGAATTTGACCACGACTTGCTGCTGATCATCGAGCTTTGTGGCATGGAAGACAGCCCGGCGCTCAATGTAAGGGCGGTATACTTTCTCGGAAACGAGTCGGTTTAGTAAGTACCTGCGTGTCCCGACTTGAAAGTTTCTTCCTTCGAATTTGATCAGGGTGGCTTCTGCAAGAACTGGGTAGTTTGGTGGTTCATCTTGGGCAATGTCGGTCATGGTTTGGAGGAGGAAAGGAGTTAGGTGTTCAAGTTGATGAAAATGGTGGGATTGATGTCAATTTATGAATAGCGGTGCGGTAAATACTGCAAGGGATGTTTGGTAGGCGCGGGATATGGCGACATCATGTGGTCATGGCGGGCTTGGAGCAGTCGCACAGCTTCACTTCCTGATCAATCAATCAGAGAGATAATTGAACGCGATTTGAAAATTCACATGATCTAGAAAAGTATGGATTGCTTGGGAGGCAGTTCGAAGGGTATCGATCGACTGTGTAAAACGAAAAAGACGGGATGGGCTTGATCTGAAGCAGTTACTTGACCTACTGTATGCTAAGTTGCTCCTCATCAACTGACATTTGACATTGGTGTTTACGCTCAATATTTTTGCTCGTGGAATTCAAGAATCTAGGCTTTACACAATCATTCACCAGGACGAACGATAAGGTTCGAGTCGAGGTAACTGCCAAAAAGCGCCTCGAGCCACTGCATCTCTTGTACCACGGATTCCCCCCGATCTGCACACTCGAATGATCTTTCCGCTGATTCTCTCGAAACGCAATCCCGGTTGGCAAACAGGCGGGAAGAATGAACTCCCTCGGAGGGAGCGCTGTGAGCCATGACTCGCCGTACGATGTGACCCAGCTTTGACACGTTCCGGATCAACTTCCCTGAGATCCATGTTTTACGAGGGTAGGATTCCAAAGCATGAATTGCTTTCAGGGCCATGTCGCCAAATGCATCCTTGCAAGACGGCTGTTTTATTATGAGTCCGATTGAGATGATGGCAGCGCTCAGTAGATAATGAAAAAAAGGATATGTGAAGACCGTCTGCTCCTCGCAAATCTCAATGCAATCTTGAATCACGTCACTGGCAATTTGTGCACAGATCCGTTCATTGTCCAGCCCGGTAAGAATGATGGCTGGGGAAGAGGTGGTCTCTTGAAGCATGGGCCTGCGGATGAGTAGACGCAGCGAGAGCCATCGCTGCACGGTGTCAGTAGATTGTTCCAGAAGTTTTCAGTTATTCGAGACTAGGATGAACATACGACCCGCATGAGCTTTTGCTGCTTGGCTAGCCAGCCTACTGGCTTCTTGGATTGGGATTCCTCCTGCCCAAGGTGGTAGACAAACTCTGGTGGAACCTCCCTTTGCGCCCGAGAGATCAAGTGCTCGAAATGTTCGCGAAGCAGGTGACTGTTTCGAGGAGAAGACTGCATGGCTGAATCAGCGCCGTACATCCCCTCCCAAACCTTTGCCAGCACTCGAGAATAGATCACCATTGCAGCAAGATACGGGATTGGGGTCACTGCGCCTGTGGCTCTGCCGTGTGTTTTCGGAGCGGAGGCTAGACTCAAATTTGTGCACACTTGACGATAAAAGAGGCAATCATCATCTAGGCCCTGTGGTAGTGGTGTATTCACGTTCATGTCTTGGATTAGAAATGGGCGTCCAGTGTCAATGGCGAGTCGGCGATCCATGGTATAGAGACACCACCAAAGCCGCCGATTGATTTCGACGTCGGATGGTTTCAGCCCGTCCATAGCAGGCAGGGACCGATGAAGCCCCAGGTACTGAGCGTGAGAAATGGCAATCGCGAGGAGCTTTTCTGCCCTGCCAATTATATCCAAACGGAAGAGATAAATGACCTGGACGTCACGTGAGTCAGCTCACAGCGTTCCCCTTCGCCACAGGAACAACAGGAAGTGAAAACAGAGTCGGTCATACCATCAAAGCTAGAGTCTGCAGCACCAAGACCTGATCGGAGCACTCCTCAAAGCAATTGAGTATGTCGCCGACGAGCTCTGCCGCCGCTCTGTATAGACTCCAACCCGCAGAGTGCCGAGCCTCTGCACCAGCGATGCGAGGGGATGCGGTACAACGTCCCGTGGCAAGACAAATCAGTAGCTGAGCCATCGCAAATTGTTTGTGGCGGCCGATCGGCATACGGCGCTCCGGATCTGCCAAAGACCATGTGGCCCACATCTCCGTGTATCGATGCCACAGCGTCGGGAGATGAAGGAGTGGATACATGGTGTGAATCTCGTTGCAAAAAGTGTGCATACATCTATCCCATTCAGTCTTGTCTGCCGCAATGCCATGTCTGTGCAGAAGTCTGTGGAGATCGGATGCCACGCGAGATGTGGCTTCGCCACTTGGAGAGGACGGGGGGGTCAAGGCCGGTGTCGACATTCGGTCTGGACTCACAGCAATCGCAGACTCAAATCTGTGGTCAGAATTCACCAAATGACCTTCCACCTGATCAAGAGTGTATTGAATGGACGTCTCCCCTGAGAAGCTGCGTTGTTGGACTTGAGTTGAATGTTTCCGCCTTTTGGTAATATCTGTACGAGTCCCTTCCGAGCGTAAACCAGGGTGTGTCGCAGTCAGAGTGTCAGGATCTCGCCCATGTACACTTATGCTCGAATTGGAAGCCAAAGTGCCGATGTTGCGATGAACCAGCTGCTCCAGGTTCTCCAAGCGCACTGCCAGCTCTCTGGTGGTTGGGCTATCCTCGTAATCATCATTCTCAGGTGAATGGTTCAGGGGCATGGTGCTGTGAGAGCGAACTGTCTCCGTTGTTTCAAGACTGTCACGCCTCCTGGACGAGCCGCGATCTTGAATACCCTGCGTTTGGTTCCTGGCCGATCGACGCCTCATGTCGGTGCTTCGCTTGCCGCATGCGCGCCCATACACGGCACAAGGTGTGCAAAGGGGTAATCCGTCACACTAACTTATCATTCCAGTTCTTCCATCGGACTCGCAATGCAATAACGGATCCCAGAGAAATCAAAAGGTGTCTTACTTTGATCTTTCTTTGTTGGCACTGGTCACTGTTAGGCCGTTAGTGCCTGCAGTGCGTGGAGAGATCGGAATCCAAGATGGAACGAGCAACGCACCACGCCTGGGAGACATATTTCCCCCGCTTCTGTCGTCTCGAGCTGGTCAGGTTCAGCTCAGAGCCGCTGTTGTGGACTTCGGCTGCATGGCGCTTCCGTGGATCTGGTGCATCGGATCAGCCAAAGCTTTTCGGTTGTTTGTTGGTTGTAGAGAAAGAAAGAAGCCCCACTTGGTTTTCGCGGCATCTGGTGAGTATTTGAGGTGGAAGCCACCGGAAACGCGCGGCTTGACTGTTATATCCAGAGGTAGAGATTGGTGAAATAGGGATCGAAGCTGCTGACTTGGAAGAGTGGTCCGAACGGAGGAGATGAGGTGGTGGGTGTGATGCGAGTCTCCGGTTGAATCGGCATTGTTGACCGAGTGGGTGATCGTCGGAATTACAGACGGAATTGTACCCGGAACTGAAACCGCCCGGTCCGAACCAGTTGACAATCGGCATCTCTCAACCCATCTTGACAATGCTATGCTGTAGTTTCGAGAATGTGCATGAATCAATGGATTGGGCTCCCCTTCACAACTTTGCCGTATGTTGCTTTGACTGGAAAGTCTGGGAGATGGTACATACAGGTCAAGTGTTAACAAGCACTGCCTTGTTATAACCCGTCCACACCAGGATCATGAGCCTTATTGATGCCTCAGGCATAGAGGTCCTCACTTATGTAACCTTGACGGGGTTGAATCCCCGACAGGGCTGAATCGACACAACTCTGTGGGACGTCTCTCACATAGCAGATTTTGATATGAGATCATAAGGGCCCAGTGGAATGTCAATCAGCGCTCTACTATGCAGGTAGCCTGATGATAGTATTGTACTCGCGGGATTGGAAGGGTACTGTCTGTTTTGCTTTCAATAATTCTCACCCTAACAACGATTGTACTGATTTGATGGTCCGACGACGAGACCAAAGCCAATGATAAGGAGTACGAACCTAACTCCTGGCAGAACTCAGAGTACCAGGGTGTTGGATTTATTACGAGGTACTTAAGTTGGACTACGGTCATCCGGTGCCCTCAGGCCGAAAACAACCTACTCCTTAACACTCGTCAAAGACAGGTTAGAACCACACCAAAAGCAAACAACCACCTCGAAGTCCCCACGCTCTAGATCACACATAAAGTTATTCATCGCACCCCACTCCGTGTCTGACACTCAGCCGATCGTACTCGTATAGGGTTTCAGCGTCGATCAATGGCAAGCCAGAGCCAAGCGGAGAGGAGCTCGTGTGCACGGTCCCCGCGACGTCAACCAGCCCGAGACCCATGGATAGCCCGTCCCGTGCCGCTTGCCTGCTAAGGCTGCAGTAGCTGCCTCTCATTCCCCTCTCTTGCTGATCTCTCTCACTCACTCTCTCTCTCTTCCTCCCTCTCTCGGTGCACTCCATGCATTCACATATCCTACCATACTCATCACTGCCTGCCGAAGAGCAATCATGTCCGCTACACCGACACCGACACCGACACCGTCCCTCACGCTAACCCGTCCCGCCCCAACAGACAACCCGACGAAACCCCTCATCATCCTCTGCGACGGGACCTGGTGCGGTCGCGAGACCAACACGCGAAGCAACATCTACAAACTCGCCGAACTGTTCGGGGTAACAATCGGCACCCGGATCCAGTCTCCGGACGGAGTTCTCTACCTTGAAGGTGTAGGACTGGGCAGTTCATTCCTCGAGTATGTCCCCATTCGCTATCCACCCCATCATACCGAATACCACCCACCACACAGCCCACTCCGCATTCCAAAGCATCACTAACACTTCCCCCCCCCCCCCCCCAGCTATCTCTTCAACGGCGTAACCGGCCAAGACATCGCGCAGCAATGCATCACGATCTACGAATACCTAGTGCACAACTACACCTACCCGACGCACGAGATCTGGCTCTTCGGGCTGTCGCGGGGCGCGTACCTCGCGCGCGCCGTCGCGGGGATGATCAACAACTGCGGCATCGTCCACCCGGTCCGGATCGCGGGCACGAACGAGATCGACGCCCCGCAAACCCGGCTGCTGTGCGAGACGGTCTACAACCTCTACCGGTCGCCGTACGCGACGAACGCGCCGCACGCCCCGCAGTCCCTGCGCTTCCGGCAGACGAAGTCGTGGCCGCTGATCGGCGACGAAGACCCCGCGGACCGCACCGCGCCGCGGTTCCACCCGCCCATCCGGTTCATGGGCCTCCTCGACACGGTCGGCAGCCTGGGCATGCCCGAGTACACCGGCGGGGTCGGGCTGGACTGGCCCGTGTTCTACGATCAGCATGTCTCGACGGTCGTGGCGAATGTGCACCATGCGGTCTCGCTGCATGATCGGCTGTTTGTCTTCCAGCCGTGTCTCGTGAGTCGGGACCGCGCGAGGCATTGCCGGCGGGATTGGGAGCGGTTCGGGGTTACGCGGCAGGAGTGGCTTCCGGGGTGCCACTACGATCTCGGCCGCCAGCGGTTCCGGTTTCTGCGCGAGTTCGGCGGTGGGTGGCTCGAGTCCCTGCTGGCCAGTCGGTGGTTCGGGTTCGCGAGCAAGGTCATCGAGCCCAACCATGTGCTGGCGGATCTGGCGCTGCGGTGGATGCTGCTGGCTATCCGCGCGCAGAGCACTACCGTGAATTATGAAGTGGTAGCCAACATTGAGCGGGTGATCGAGGATGTGACGGAGAGTATTCGTGGCAGAGCGCGGGAGCCCGGTCGCACCGGCGACGGCGATGTCTACGGGCATGTCCTGTCGTATGCGCCGTTTGGGTCGCTGCTTCTGGACGTGGTGCGGACGCTGCGCGGGACCCGAGGCAAGGTGTCGGCTCTGTATCAGTTGTTCTTCGATCTGCGGGACCGGCTGATCCCAGATGATAACGCTGTGGTCTACGATTTCTACGGGTTTGATGAGGATATCCCCGGGTGTGTCGGGGATTTGGCGCGGGTGAGTGAGCGGCGGTACCCTTCCAAGTCGTACGTGAAGTGGAGGTTGAGGCAGTAGGGTGGTTGGGTGGGCAGGGGGCACGGTTATTCTTTGGCTTGCGTCGTGCTATAGCATCAATGAATTGCTTCCACCGGGATGGAAGTCACCTTGCAAAACGTCATCTTGCAAGTGACGAGGTACTGTACTGTGCTACAACATTCATTGGGAAGTACAGAGCATGCGCGAGACGGTGTAACTGTAACACACTCATGTACCTGGTTCCCGGGTCGAGGAATCTGCCGCAGTCGCAGGTACTGATTCCGCGTCCGTCCGTAGTCGAACATTCGATGAATGGGTGACGTTTATTGATCCTGCAAGATATAGGTTCCAATGCTCCCTTCTCCTCTTCCATCCATCATCCCCAATATGGTACGATGGTTCAAGTATTCAAACGACCGATAAAAACAATCAACCGAACAAGACCATGCCACGCCCCGTCTCCGGAATGCAAACTTGAGTCACGCGGCAACAAACCATCAACAACCTCACGGAACGACAGATCTCACTTATCCAAGCTGAGCAATAGAAAATAGGACAGTGACATCATCACCGCAATCGAACCATTCTCGCCGCGTTCCACGAAAGACCACCATGTTTATCTGGGGTGGCTGGGAAGACATTGAAGGTGGCTGGTGGTACCACCGGGAGCAACCGATGCGGGGAAAACACCTACACAAACAACCTCGGCTGGGTAATATGGGGGGCTTATCTTATCGCGCCCCGCTTAGGGTTGGTCTTTTGCCCCACATGCTGACCCTCTGCAAGGCATCATTGGTCCAAGGATAATCAAGATCATCGTTCGTCAACAGTATTTCCGGCCATCGCGGTGCTATCCGGTGAAATTTCTCCGGTAGAGGTACTGGCTATAAAGTACCGTCAATGACAGGGATGCGCTTCCAGCCAGGAATCAGTGACTGAATCCACGGTACGGATTACCCCCCCCCCCCCCACAGAGGACCGTCGACAATGCGTTTCATAACAAACCGGGCTCAACTTCTCGGGCTGGGTCTGCTGGGTGCCACCGGCGTGCAGGCCGTGAACCTCAGCACTTCTGCACAGAATCTCTTCGACGAGTCGATGGTCATCCAAGATGCGATCTACGACCCTGCTGCCGCGTATCTCCGGTACTTCTACTTCCCGCTCGCGGCCGGGCCACATGAGACCCGGTCGAGCGTATGGTATGCGGCGGGATTGCTGCAACGTGATCGAGGGGAGGATCGCCAGGAAGCGGTGAGAATCTTGCAGAATGTCATCGGAGGTCAGGAGAAGAATGTCTCAGTGCAGTGGTATGGCGATTACACCAAGTACCCGGAACAACCGACGGTGGGGACGCCGGCTTATCCTCCTGTTGTGAGTACATACCCAACCGACGATCATCTGCTGAGAGATCACGCGAGAGTGCTGACGGTGGCAAGATTTATAATTCATGGGACCCCAACTGGCGCGGGTTCATCGGGACGGCATTGATTGTCATCTACGAGGAATTCGGAGACCGACTTCCCAGCTCCATGCAAGAGCTGATCCTCGACAGCCTGTACAACAACACCGTCGGTGACACTTACCGCGTTGGCGGCGTAGATGGCGACAATCTGTACCCCGCGTACTCGAACGCCTGGCTGATGCGGACGGTGGTGGGGTCCTGGACGGGACGCAAGTTCGGCAATGCCAATATGACAGCCGCAGGCGACAGCGACGCCCGCGCCTTTTTGGAATTGTTCGACCGCAATGGCACGCTCTCCGAGTTTAATGGGCCGACCTATGCCGGAGTCTCGCTGTATGCCCTCACCATCGCAGCGAAGTACCTCGGCGCGACCAACGCCACCATCGGCCAGCAGGCGCCCCGCGTGATCGAGAGCATATGGGGCTACGAGTCGCAGCTGTGGAACGCCAACCTGCGCAACTTTGCCGGGCCGTGGGACCGGTCGTACGGCTACGACATGAACAAGTACGTGGCCATCATGTCGCTGTGGGTGTGGTCGCTTGTCGACAAGGAGCATGTCTTCCCTAATGCGACCTCACCGGTCTGGACGATGGCCCACGCCGACGACTTCGAGATCGCGCCGCTCATCGCCGTTCTGTCAGAGTTCCATCGGACCCTCGTACCTGCTGCTGCTCGCTCACGCCTTGAAGGGTTCGCGGAGGAGGAGCAACGTACCTACACCGGGCACGCCTACGCACCGCCGGCGGATCTCGAACCGCGCAACATCACCACCTGGCTGTCACGCAATCTGACCATCGGAACGGCCTCCTTCAATCAGTCCGTCGTAGGAGGATTCTCTGAGGATTCAACCTCGTTCAGCCCAGCAGTCGTGCAGTGGCTCCGCCCTGACGCCTCGATCGGGTATTTCAACCTCTATCCGCAGGAGACAGCCCTGGTAGCCGACGTCGCCCCCTACGCGTTGAATCTGACATACCCGCTGGGCAACGCGTCGAGCACCTTCACATTCGTTCTGGCTTCGAACCCCCTCCGCGCGAAGCGTGATATCGCAGGGTTTGAGGATGTAGACGGGCTCGCGATCAAGGTGGTAGGCGGTACTGTTGATCCCGTTCCCGAGATCTCGTTCTGCGGGCTCCTGGGCGGCACGTGTGAGGTTATTCAGTGAGTCTTCTTCCGCCACATCACCTTCTATCTTTGGTATCTTATGTCAAATCGGAACATACTAATCGTTATTCAGCAACTTCGAGTTTTGGAATGTGACATTCTCCATGCCGGCAAATTCCACGGCTGTTCCCAGCGTACAGTTGAAATTTGCATTCTAGGACGAAAATTGTGCGGTTCAAGCCAAGGAGAACAGATGCTGAGCATCGATGATTTGATCTCCTGGACCTCCGTCCCAGAGAAAATTTAGAAAGCGACAAAAATACCACTCAATGGCTTATCTTTTTCCGACAGCTATCATGCTGGAATTGCTCCGTAGAGTACAGACCAAGGCAGCAAGAAAGCAGGAGTCGATCCGCTCTTGAGCAGGGGATGAGGGTGTCCGTGAGTGTGTGTGGAAACGGGATAGGTGGGCGAAGCGTTGAGGATTTGATGAAAGGGTCGAGAAGCGACCGGGAAGGTGAAAGCTGAGGGCGCGATGATGAGCACGTGATATCATGCGCAGGGGCCATGAGCATCTGGAGTAGGCGCATCCAATTTGGACGCGCAAGGTCTAAAGTAACCCCTACGTTGGCCTTGACTCTAATTATTCAAATGGAATCAAGTGAAACAAGCGTAATCTGAAACAAACCCATTGTCACGGTGTGAGTATTTTGCGTGTATCCGGCGTTCGTTGTGATCGGAACCAGTTTCTACAAGCAAAATCGGAAGTACTGTGTTGCAGTAAACTCATAGTAGGGAGACATCAAGGCTACCCGCAGTAGACTGCGACCACACACATAGTCAGGGTGACATGATATTCCTCCCCTCAGCCGTCTCACAGAAGTTCATTTGGCCTATCCTCGCTAAGCAGGATGGAGACCTACACAGGAATAGACGGCGCCACATCCAGCAAAAAGTCACAGCGCGCCGGAAGGTAATCGAGGGCGACCTTCTCGAAACCCTCGAGGGTGACGACAAACTCCTCCTGTGTTGTGCGCAGTTCCGGCAGGGCGGGCTGGGTGGCGTTGGTAAGCTTATGGGCATTGGGATCACCCGTCTGGACAAAAGAGGCGTAAGCACCAGCAAAGCCCTCGTAGACGAGCGGGTATTCCGCCTGGATGGGCTCAACGCCGGCCTACCACTGGGCCTCGTCGCCGTGGTTGGTCGGCGGGATGGTGTACTCGATTTGGTAGCCACCGGTCTTCGCTCCTCCAGCAATCCAGTGGCCCGGGCAGGCGAGCACGAGATCGCGGAAGACGAGTTCGGCGCGCACCCAGGTCTGGTTGTACGCCCCGATGGTTTCGGTGGCACCCTCGACCGGGTAGAGGGTCTCCAGGCGGGCGCGCGTGCTGGTATTGAGGCTAGGGAGGAATTCCGTCAGCCACACCCCGAACGCGGCGACCGTGTCGTTGAGCGGCGGGTCGCCCGACGAGGTGGAGCGGTTGAGGGCAGAGGGTAGGAAGTACTCCCCTTCCAACTGGGCGTATGTGGCAATAAAGGCTTCGCCGTTGAGGCGCTGGTTTTGGACGGCCTCGCTCAGCGTTTGCGTCAGGAACCCGGTGTCTGGCTCGATGACGGGGGCCCAGGTGAACATGCTGGGCCGTATTTGTCGCTCTTGGTGATGGTGTAGGCGGCGGCATTGAGGACGTCCACATCGAGGGCACGCAAGCACGCTAATTGACCATTGCCGGCAGTGGTAGTACTACTATTACCAGCCGTGTCGGAGGAGGAGCAGTTAGTCAGGATGACCAAGGAGTCAAAAATAGCCTACGACTCCGGGGCATTATAGGCGTAGGTCTTGGGCCAGTAAGGGCTATCCATAATGCCGCGGCGGAAGAGAGGGGGTTGAGTCTGCCCGTCGTGGGCGATCGTGTGGGCGACGACGCTACCCCCACCAGCACTAGTGCCCCAGAGGGTCACATTTCCAGGGTCTCCCCCGAAGAGGTGGATGTATTTCTGCACCCACTCTAGCGCGTACTGCTGATCCAGCAGGCCGACGTTCAGGTCGGCGTCGGCGGCCTCGAAGACCTCGCTTCCCGGCAGGAAGCCAAAGGCATTCGTGCGGTAGTTGGGGCCGACGCCCACAAAGTCGTTGGCCGCGCTGACCTTGAGCGAGGCGGCGTTCAGCCCCGGTGGGCCCGACGAGGCCGATCCCTGGACGAACCCGCCGCTGAAGAAGTTGACGTAGACGGGTCGCAGCGGCTGGCCCGTGGTCCAGGGTCGCGAGTAGACCCCCAGGTACAGGCAATCCTCCGATCCGTTCAGTCCAAGTTGTGGGCAACGCGGAAAGCTGAGGTCAGTGTCGTACATACCGGATACGTTAAGTGGTGGCTGCGGCGCGCGGAATCGGTTCTCCCCCGTCGGAGGCGCCGCAAAGGGGATCTTAACCCATTAGCTGATGTTGCTGATCGTTGAGAGCTTTCCCTCAAATGAGCCGTAGTCAAGGTCCACTTGGAGGGTCTGGGCCGTAGCTGTTCCGAGGTAGGCAGAGCAACCAAGCATCATATAAACGACGCGGCCAAGCCAGTGACGGCTCAGCCCCACGCCGTCCCGGCGCAGGGGCATGTCTGGAAAGCCTGAATACCACTAATGGGTACACCACAGCACAGTACAGCACTTTTATGGTGGATTCGAGGAACCAGAGACGCAGTCAATCGATGAGCACACGGTTCATAATAATCTCTCTGGGTGCAGTTAAGCATGAGGTCTTGGGGGCAGTATTCATAACAAGCCCTCTCACACAGTGGCTCAACATACTTTGAGCGCTGAAGTACTTCGGGGTAGATTAGCCCGAGGCGAGTGCCATCTTCCTGGGGAAGCGGCATCTGCCAGGGAAAGCGTCATCTGCACGGCTATTGATGTGCATGAACTATACTAACAGCATGAAGTAGATGAGATGCGTGGGGGATGCACAAGGGGATGTGTGGGGGGGCATGGCGGGAGATGACATCCGTACCGCATTGAGTTTAGTCGCCGCCCAACGCTTTGCGGGGGCGGGAAGTGTGGAGCCTGAGGCCGTACCGGGCTCGCTTTTCTGTTTGTTTGGTTGTTTGATTGCAATGCGGTTCAAGTCACTAGGAGTATACCTGCCTTGCCTGATTGATAGCATCAGCTCATTGCTGATGTCTGTGACATCTTGAGCCATGATTGGGATGACTGAATGAGGGTCATAATTCCACCGATTATGTTGGACAACTCTTTCCGGGTCTCTTATCATGACTCGCTAGCAAGGGAGTTCCAGGAGCCCATAATGGACAAGAGAATAGAGTTCGAGTCATGACACTTGAACCGCGACCTATTATCCAATTCCCTAAATAATGAGTAATCTGTACAGCTCTTTCTTGCATGCCACGCGTGACCCCCACACCCTCCCCTAAGGCCCACCAGTAACTAACCTTCCTGGACATCCTGCCGTTTCACTCTCCACTTCAGGGTGTCTCGACTACATCCAATCATCCTAACCATGTGAGACACCATGCTTTCAAGCCAGGCCTCCGGCGGTGGTTAGCTTGAGTAAGGATGAAATGGGGGTGGCGCCCGGGTAGAATGAAGTGGGAACCGTCGAGATCGTAAAGGACTGGGTCGAAGGGAATGGGGTGCTTAGGTCATTGGCCATCGTCGAGATTGAATACGTCCTAATGAGCGCCAATTGATCTCAGTGGTCCCGAAGACCCGTGCAACTAGGATTCAGACTTACGGCGTGGCGGTAATGGTCGTGGTGGTCGTGTATGAATCGCCAGCATGGCCATCGGACTCCGAATAAGCTCCACTGCCAAACGCATTCTCGCAGGTCCAGGTGACATCATCGCCGCTATCAGTCCAGAGAGCGACGTCGTCCACCACAATATCTGCGCATGTATCATTCACAGAGCAAAGCAATCGGATTGTGGGTCGCGAATTGTCCGAATTGTATCCATGCCAGTTCTAAATCAAGTCACACGCGATTCTCAGCATTCTTGCATACGGAGACAATCAAGTCCAGTCACGTACCATAAAAGTTAGGTCATACACCTCGAGCCCGTCTCCATCACCTTGGTCACCCCAAAACCCGGTCAGGCTGAGCAGATAACTGCCCCCGTGTTGGATGACCGTATCCCAGATCACGTTACTGAGCGAGCCGCTCGACCGCCCCGTAGTCGGAAATATCACAGATCTTGGCATTCGCCTTGTCCGAATAGGAGGTCAAGGGGCCAACACTGCCGGAGAGCTGCGCGCCAACAGTGGCAGATACCGCCCATATCCCGGAGACGACTGGAAACGGATACATCTGGGACAATATGTGGTTGAGATTCAGTCACAATACTTGCTATCTTGGGGATGCCTCATTCACGGGCAATCATACCTAGTCCCTTTATATGTCTCGTTTCTCCCTCTTCGAGAGGTCCTGATCGACATCATTCATAAGTAACACAACCCGCGTACGCCAATCCACGAGACACCACAGGGGGTCTCTTCACCCAACAAATGGCACAGGCCGTCTCCATTGTTGACAGGATCAATCACAGACTGAGTCTGGCAGTCGGTTCTCCTACTCGCACCGGGTTCATGATCCCCCGAGGGGACACATTCAATCGCCGACCCGTGTGAGGCGTAATCATCGCCTGGGCTTGCAACCCGACAGGATGCTTACGCATGCCCATTTCGATTAACCAGGGGGAAGTTCTCGCGTCTCATCTCACGCGCAGGATTGCGGTGGTGAATAAATTCTCCGTGTACGAGTTGTCCCTGTGCTTCAGTTGTAGAATCCGGTTCGGATGACGGCTTCAGATATGAGCACAGACCCCGGATCGCTTGCGCATAGTCAGAGAACGGTGTGTAGGCAAGTTCATTCCTTTACTGTACTGCGTCGCTGCTGATGTTACACTGTCAACCTTTATGGGCTGAAGTGGTGGTGTGAGATCTGCCAAATCGGTGGAAGGACCGAGAAGCGATCACGGAAGTTGACAGGTGAAGGTGAAGGTGAAAATGAAGCCGCGACGGTGGTCACGTGGTGAGCTGTCCGAGATGCCTGCTACAACAGAAGCGAAGGTGCCTCCAAGGTTCTCTCGGTGTGCTTCCCTACCCTCCGCCGTTGGGTCGTTGGGTCCCCTCCTCGCTCAGAAGCATCTTTGCAACGGTAAGCACTTGTCCTCCATTCACTCTTGGAACGACTCTTTACCACGATAATAACCAAAGATACGACGTGTCCAGAAAAAGGAGTCTGCTGTGAGGCCTGATAAACACAATTGGGTGTTTCTTATGACTAAATTTCCCTCTGCATGATTACTGATTGACGCCTCCCATCTGTCAGGAGGTCTCTGCCTACGCTTCTACCAGCAATACAATGGTTACACTTCCAAATTCCCCTCTCCTCGGCAGTTACTGGCCAATTTTCGCTCGATACCACGTCATCCTCGCTTGATCAACACAGCCTCCCCAGCTCCAACCCAGACCTTCCTCTGTTGCACCTTCTCATACTCCGCAATGCCAACGATTCTGCCCTGCGTATTCACAGACTGACCCGCCAGCGTGATGTTGGCGGCCACGTCCACGCCCGGATTGGTCAATTTCATCACCTTGGCATTTTCCCAGCCGGCCGCCGGCAACTTAAGTGCCGTGTATGGCCGCTGGGCCGCAGGGGAGGTGGAGTTCCACACCGACAGGCTGACCGCGACGAGCGACTCCAACTGGCCGTTGTCATAAACAGCATAGGCGCCGAAGTCGGTGGTGTTGACCAGCACCTCGGTCTGCTTGTTGCCACCGGAGAAGACGTGGGCATTGAACAGGGCAGCATAATAGATGGGGAACACAGTGGGTGCCGTCTCGTTGAAAATCACAGGCAGCCAGCTGGCGTAGGGGTATCGCGTGCCCATGTGGAAATGCACGCGTTCTACCCGCAGCGACGAGAGGTACAGCACGTAATCGACCGCCCAGACCGCCGCCGCCATTACGTCCGAGATGCCCCGCGCGCCCTGGCATGATATTGAATTGGTCTCGCCCAAGACATACGGGATGCCTGATGCCGCGGTAACGTTGCCCAGGTAGTCGTGATACCACACCCGCGACAACACATTTGTCCGGTCGAAGATCGTCGTCGCGATCGTGGGGCCCACCCCGGTGTAGTCACAGGCTGCACCCATGTACTAAGATCCCGATGGTCAGTTAACATTTACAACACAAGTATAAGGGACAGCTCACCTCATGGTCTGCCACGCTCTTCGCCTTATCCGCACGCATCCCGTCCGCTTCGGCATTCGCCACGTTCCAGTCCGTCGCCGCCGTGACATGGCGCGGAGCTTCAAAAGCACATCCCTGGAACAGCTGATCCGCATCATGTTGGGTGAGATTCTCGCTGATAGCCGATGCATACTCGTTCCATTGATCGACGTAGTCTTGGATTTTCCAGTTCGCCGGTCGTCGTTGGCCTCCGGCCCATGCTGCATATGCCGCCCCCACGTCAATCAATTAGTGAAGTGTATCATGGCGTTACACAATCGAAAGAAGAAGAAGCAGAACTGTGGATGGGGAAAGGAGTTCAAACGCACAATCGACCTCATTACCAATCTCGAATCCGTAAAGCGCATCCCCAATGGCGTGATAGGCAGCGTGAGCCTCGAGAACACACTGCGCCAATCCATCCCCCACATCAAACAGGGTTTCGTTCTCAGCATTGAAAAAGTTCAGTCCTGAAAGTCTTCCACATCAGCATTCTTCACCCTCCATCTGCATTCCGGTGGAGCGATGCTACCAAAGATATACTTAGAGCCAGCGGGGAATTGCTGAAAGGACTGCAGAAACGCCGGGCCAAAGTACGAGTGACGCGGCTGGCTGGAGGCAATGGAATCAAACGGATCAATCAACGCCTCTGTCTGGTCAGGATAGTAGACCGCCGAGTTCTGCGTACTTCCGCCCACCCGGAAGATGGGAGCCTTGCCAGCAATATCTTTGAGGTTTTGAATGACCTGGCGCGAGAACAGGTTGGGATGTCTGTCGAAGCGATCCAGCTAAAAGTTAGTCTCATGCTTGCTCACTCCACCTTTCTGGGTTGCAAGGGGGGCTTACGTATCATTCCCAGCGTAGTCCACAATATAGCAGAATTCAATGGAGAAGGAATGGTAGTCAGCATCATGCACGGGCTTCTCAGGGCGAGGAGACGAGGCAGGAGCCAGCGAAACTGTACTGGTCACATTGTACACCGTAGAAGCGATTGCCCAGCTTCCCAGGTGCAGGAGGTTACACAGCGTGAGTAACAGATATAGAGAGAAGGCCTTCATAGTGAAGATTGTAGATAGGCGATAAGAGACACACGGCAGACAACAATAGTTTTGTCCCGAAGAAGCATCGCATGCATCTGCGTATTTGTGCATCTGCGTTTGATGGCCCTGCGTTCACTCGGTTGATCTCGTCCCGAGTGCAAACTCCAGTCGTTCTCTCAGCCGGCGGTTTTTCCTCCAATAACACCCCCCGTCCAGCTCCAAGCACAAGCCGGACCACATGATGGTCTACAATGCTTGATCACCCGCATTGTCGGCGTATGAAGATTATGTGAGAGTTGGAGGACTCGATAGCCGATGCCTGTCACGGTTGTGCCTAATGTCGACAATGACGCACGTGGGGTGTATTGTGGACGAGGCAGTCTGTAGATCAGTCCTCTTCTGACACGGAAGGCCTAGAGCATTGAATCTGAACATGGAGTCTGTGAAAAGAGCCGTTCAGCTCATGCAAGGTATTCGTCAGCCTCTCTGTCTGGAAACAGTGGTGGGGGGTGCTTGCTTGATTGATGAAGGAAAAGCGATCAAGATGGTGGAGGTAAAAACACGAGGAGAGTCACGTGGCGTTCAGCGCAGTACGTATCCATGTCAGAGACCTCAAGTTTGTACTTTTTGAATTAGCCACTATTCGTCCAATACCAATCTATAAATCAGAAATGTAATTGTCTTTGCTGTAGTATACTTCTAACTAAGTTCCTTTTGGATAGACCAGAATCCGTCCGTCTTCTTCACACTCCCCAGGCGCCCGTCACAACAAGAGGCTTACCCGAACGCTCAATCGAGCAACTGCCGAGTAAAATTCCCTTCAGGATCCCACTCTCGTTTTAAGCGCCGCAACTTCTCGAGTCGCGCTTCCCCGCGGTACCGTCTCTCGATGGGCCCAGTCCGGGTCCCATTTTGGAAGTCCACAAACCGCGACTCGTCCGGCCCACGCATGATGGCGATGCACTGTTCATTGTAGCTGTCCACCTTACCGCGATTGGCCGCGTCTGTATGCCAGATCAAGTTGTTTCTAGTATCAACCCGGCAGAGTCAGCATTCTCACTCAAGAGTCACCAGAGAGGAGACACGTACTGCCAGTAGCGAATATCATGCAGCGATTGAGCCGAATCCACATCAGGCGCCTTGACAGGCCTTGCATCCCATTGGAAATTGAACGCAGTATTGATTGCATCCGGGCACTCATCCACCATTCTCTTCCACACTGCAGTCGTCTTTGCAAAAGCATCAACATTGAACTCGTGCAGGCCCACCACGCCAAATTGCTTTAAGTCACCCTTTGCGCACAGGATCTCTCGCGCATCACTTGCATTCTGGATCGGCAACTCCCCTCCGGTCACCATCAATGGCTGCAGCTCGTACAGCGGTCAGAAGGGGATATGGGGATTCTCGTCACCCGTGTAACGCGCCGAAATAACCAGCGACGGGACGCGAGCCGGCGGAGGGGCTATGATCATCATCAAGCCAGCCGTCGCATGCTGTCCGTCCGCCATGAGTGGCTTCATCACGCGAGCGACCTCCGCCGCGCGATCCAGCGGGAATACAAATGCTCCAACCCATATGAGGCCTGCCTGCTTTCGCAGCAAAGAGAGTGGATGGGCACGAACGGTCAGCTGGGTTACTAATCCGAAGAACTGGCCGGCACCGCGTAACGCCCACAAAAGATCCGGATTTTCGATTTCCGTTACCTCCACTAGTGTTCCGCCGTCTGTAGCGGTGATGACCCGCGCCGAAATGATCTGATCAGAGCCGAAACCAGTGATGGAGGAGGTGATGGACGCTCCTCCGCCGAGGAAGTACGGTATCGCGCCGACGGTGTTGCCGTTTCCGAGAGCTAGATACATTCCACGTCAGCATCAGCACTGAGTGAGAGAAACGCCTAGGGAAAAAAGGCATTGTAACCGAGTAAGGTACCTGTAAATAGCCCTGCTTCCGCGAGGCGCAGGCCCACCTGTTTGGACAGAACCCCACCAACTAATGTGGCCGTTCTTGCTGCTTCATCTACCGAAACATGAGTGTAATTACTCAGATCAATGATGACGCCACCCTCGCCGATCGTAGACCAAGCACTGTGGCCTCCGCAAGTAGGTACAAACGGGATGGAGGAACGAAGCGCCCATTGAACCTGCACCAACATCAGCACATATTGCCGAAGGGTCGGGCGTCTTGCTACCGAGGGCTTACAGTTCTGAGACAGTCTTCTTCGGTGCTTGGCAGAATAATCGCAGTCGGGGTTTGATGATCAATATCAGTCCAGCGCCTCAGACGTTGGCAGAACTCAAAGGACTCGGGGTCTTGCAGAATCTTGCAGTGTGGTGCAACCGTAGCCTGCAGAGCTGGAAGCTGGGCCGAAACATGAGCGGACATGATTGAGAAGATGGTTGAGAGAAGAAAGTGCAAAAAAATGGGGCATGGACGAAATCAAGTGAGAAGGCTACAACCGGCTTATGTATTCGAGGTGGGTTTGACGTGTTCAGGCGAACCGTAAGATGTAGTAAGCTGACCCTCCTATAGTACTTGCTTTGTATAGCTTCAAGTGGGTCGTACCTCATACTGCTGATAGCGTCGGCCAATACTTAAGAACCGAAATCGAGGCGTAGAATCGAAGGCGAGAGGGTAGCTGCTTCATATACCCAATGGCAGGACACAGATTATAGGAATTGCGAGATGATGATCCGTGATACTGTGACCGAGCTGTAGTGATCGTTTGCTGCGCACCGAACCGAATAGATGATCAAAGGAGGCTTCGCTGGTGATAAATCACCGTCCCTATCGATCAGTCGCACCTGTTAGCAAATTAGATTGACCCCGGACAAAGTCTTCCTTATATCAATGTAAGAATTGAGAAGGTGGAGATCTGAACCAACCACTACCAAAATCATTCCCTTAAGTCAATTTGCCCTGGCACAAGGAGAATTCGAAGCAACTTGCCTGTAGAAATTGCAGCCATCAGCTTACTACGCAGACTCAGAAGCAGCAGCCTTCGGTTTGGTCTCGAATGGTAAACCTTCTTGCAGCTGCATGCTTGACTCCGTCATGTCTTCCTGCGCAGGCAAATCTCGTAGCACAGCAAGCCGGCATTTGGAGACTGTGAGATTCTGTCAAGAAGGCTTGAACGAGTACTGATAGACCGTGTTCGGAATGGCGTTTCGAGTTTTGTAGTTCAGGACAAGGAACCGTGCGGACGCCACCTAAATAAAAGCAGAATAATCATTAAGCTGGTCAAAAATATATTGTCGCAACTTTTTATGGAGACAATGTCCGGCAGACAGTGCCAAGAACTTGCATCGAGAGTATAAGCAAGACCAGATAATCATCACCTGTAAATAGCCATGAATCCAGTCGTGATGGCAACAAAGACGTGATATCTGAGAACTGCCAAGTGCAGGTTGTATCCTGTTCGGCGATAATACAAAGGCGGTATAGAGCACAAAGTTCTGCCAGGTGGGCACGGTGGGTCTTTCCCCCGCAGCTCGCATTCCCGAGAATGCACCGCACCGCCTTTCCGACAGGGAAACCAAAACAAGACATATATTTCACAGTCGGTATTCATTTGGCAACCAGCAGGGCCTGTGGCGTACTTGGGAACACACTGGCTGATCGTAGAGGCAAACGCCCCAGGTCCTGCGTTCGAATCCCGGCTTTGGCACTTCCAGACGCTGGCTCTACCAATTTCGGGATTCACCGGTATGAAAACACCCGGGGATAAGAGGGGTTTTCGTAGCCCGCGATGGCGGGCGAGCTTTTTTTTTTTGGTGATTACTTCTAGCATTTATTTTATTTTATTTTGTCTAGAAAGCAATGGCTGGCATACTGGTGTTGACTAAATGGAACCTTTTGACAACAGCTCTGCTATGATTGATGAGTGGTGTTCATCAGGTCAAGTTGGAGGAATTGGTTTCGGCAGCCTGGTCTCCCTGAGGCAGATGGCTGTGTTGATGTCCACATCATGGAGGTCTTCTACCTCTGTAACTGCCTCGCTTAGGTCTTCCTCATGATCAAGGTCGACACACGACTTTTCGTTGTAGACCCTTCTATGGATTGGTCGGGGTGAGTCGCTGGGGATCCTGGAGCTGTCAGAGCCCCGTATGCGTCCTCGCCTTTTGAGAACAGCCCTTACAAGTGCAATGCCGCTCGGTACATTGATCGAGATAACGGAGATAGCACTTTCGAGGACAGCCCAGTGAGCGTACTCCATCGTTGCACAGATCAACTTGGCGGATCCACACGGATCGCCTTGGGCTATCACGACGAGACGTATGATAGACATCACGACAACCGAGTAGGCCATGAAGAAGGTAATGAGGACGAGAAGGCGGCGACGGAAACTTCTTTTGAGGCGGATGATAAGCGGGACTGGAAGGAGGAGAACATAGAGGTCTATCAGGCAAGAGAGGCTCGCTGTCGATACGTACCAGGGGTAGAGCTGAAAACAGGTGCCCGGCAGCGTGGGATCCCATGCTTTTGCAATCGGTCGACACTGGAACACTGTACTTATCCAGACGGATACAAGCCAGCCCGCGACGAGAGAGCCCGCGACCCACAGGAGAATCCGAAAGACGCGATTATTCAGGCCGAAAACGCGGGCGTAGAAGAAAATGGCGGACAGTTTGGTGAAACAGATAGCCCCGTTGAAGAAGAACAAAGACGTGAAGAGGTACGGAAACCTGACGCTGGGGTAGTAACGGAGGCCGATTCTGAGCCATAGGATTATGAGGGATAGGTAAGGCACTTCGGACAGCTGTGCGCAATACATAAATTAGTTGGTCTGCGTTGGACCATATGCCTGGACCTCATACCAGAGAGAGGATGGCGAAATGATCATCCCACCACCACTGTGGGTGTTCGGCGATGGATTTGCTCGCTATTCGAACGATAGTAGACAATGTCGTGAGCACGATGAAGACAATATTGAGCATGAGAAGCCTTGGTCTGGCGTTGGATGGACAAAGTGATAAATCTGCCATTATTGTAATTTTCATGCAGGATGAAACTGACTCCGACCAAAGTCATGCCAGCTGGTAAGCTGACCATCTTATAATAGACGGCCAAATTGAGTACGAAGCTAGTGTCTACAATGTGCAGCACAGCCGCACGGGGCCCGGGTGCATTCCTGCAGCGGTCTGTGTAGCGTCTTCATGGAGTGCCCGGATAGTGACGGTCGCATCGGAGCATATATGAGCTGAGGAACATCCCTGATCCCGCAGGTCTTGAAGCTCCCGAATCTGACCTTGTGCGACCGGGTAGAAAGCCCAATTGACTGCGAACCTATCAAGGCAGTCATCTTTGGTGCTTGTGCCCACATGCTGAGGATGAGTCCACCGCCGTTGCACGAGCTCGCTAAAGGCAACTGTATCCAGATAATATCAAGTTATTGTCCCCTTTTGGCCCCTTTGCATTGTCAACTCACGATGCTTAATCCTCAGTCCGAGCTGCCCGTAAAATTGCATGGTCAGATCCCTAGGGTTGTGTAAAATAGCGGAGAGTCCTCTGGCGTCGAATCACCCTGATCAAAAACCTCTTCGTCCTCCCCCCTGAGTCCTCGCCACCACTCACTTTGCCGCACAAGTTCTCCATCTTCACCGCCCAGCAGTGCCCAATACTTCTTCAAAAACCAGACTTTGGCCTCCCAACTGCGGACATCCCACGGTGTGCCTGTTGGATGACGTCCAACCGAGACTTGTCTGTCCCGTTTCCCCATACCGGCGCCTCCCCAGCAGACCAAGCCGGAAATTATATCATCCATGAACTCATCCTCATCCAGATCAGCCTGACGGAGCAATAGATTTCTTCGCAACGTTGGGAAAGGCAGAATGTCAATATAAGGGTGGTGCTCAATCATGATCTGTTCACGATTTGGCCGCAGGTCCGGTTTCAGGGTCTTGAATATTCTTTGTACAGTGCCGACCATGTTTGCCTTAACCAGGTCATTCGCGGAGGACGCGCTGGGCCGGTAGAACGGCGAGAACGACTCATCGGCACAAAGCATTGATTCGTTGACACCGATCTGTATTCCAAGAGTGTACAGTGCTGTCACGGTGCAGACTGGGTCAATGCGGATGTGGTTAGCATATGGATCCGCAGCTGGCGCACCGGCTTCAAGAGTGACGATACGAATCTCGCCAGAGCGAAACGGATAGGGGCTTTGGGTCTGAACACGGATGTGAGATTTGGGGCAGCGGCATTTGACGGCGATGATGCAGTTGGAAGCACCGGTGTTATCGCCATGATTGTCTGGGAGGAGAAAGGACGGTTTGGATTGAGATTCAGTGCCCACTATGCTCAATGCTGATGCAGGCTTGTCTGATTGCGGGACACTAGTGGTGAAATCCCTTAAGCTGGGAGCAGACGAGAAATCGTCGGAAAGTGAAGCTTCTACAGAAGCATCCCAGATGCTAGGTACAGACAGATTGTCCGACAATGGTGCATAGATCGTGGGGTCGAACTCCGACAGCGATGATGAGGTACAATCGGGGTTAGTGACATATGTTGAAGGTTCCCACAAGGGAAGAGCTGCTGAAAAGTCTTCCAGTGAGGGGCATGGGTCTCTAGGGATCACCGCAGATGGAAAAGGAACTGGTATTCTCGGGGCTTCAGAGGCCGGAATTCCATTTGCAGCGATGTGGGGCAGAAAGGTCGAAGGTCCATGCGCTACGGCCGCTTCCGAGGCGTCAATCTCCACAGCTGCTGTTCTTTCAACCGCATGATTCTGCGCAGCCGACGCTGCGAGTGCCTCGAGGTTCTCTAGGCGTTTGCGAAGCTTTTCTCCTGAAAGAGAAACAGCAAATCAGTACTGACAAGATCCAGGGTTTGTGTATAATCAGACACCAGGCGCCAAAGTCAGCAGTGACGTGCGCTTACTGTACTTCTTCTGAGCTTGAATGTTCTGTTGCCTCCTCTTCTCTGGGTCGCGGCGGACGGGCTTCCGTTTCGCACTTCCGGTACTGTCACTGGGCTCTGTGGAACCCCGGGTCTGCATCGGCATTGCGTATGTAATTAATCAGGGGCAGTCCTTGGAAGCGAGAGTGTGAGGGGTTATCGTAGGGCGCTTGTTGTGAAATCGTCAGACGAGGTCTGAAGAAGCGGCGGCCAGACCATGGCTGATGTCAGCCATATCGCGCCTTTCCCGAATAATGCTAGTGCCAATTCTTCCCTCTATACATGTCCCTCACCCAATTCCAGTTATCCCTCAATCTTATTCTATAACGCGCAAATACACTCCGCTGGCACATTCCTCTTTCCATTTATTTTAGCCACTCTTGATCATGTAGCCTGTTCTGTCACTCAATACTGGGATAGTGATATCCTTTCTGCAGCCATGCGAGCAGCTTCCACGGCTGCCGTCCCGACGGCCAATTGGCCATGACCTGCAATGGGACCGACCGACTCGTCCGCAGTTCAATCTATCGAGACAAATCGCCAGAACGTGCCTGTCATAGCTTGAAGCCCCGGTTCGAGCAAGCTGAGGCTCAGCTTATCTTTTCCTAAAATGGAGCTTTTAACACACTGCCCCACCCGACGCGCGAATGAACGCACTCCTCTAAGAACGATAGCCCATTAAAACCGAGCGCTTGAACATTGCACTACACGCTAAGCTTCATTCGAGATTACGAGATGAACTCTCTCAGAAAGCTTCGATTGGATGACCAAAATCGAAGAAATAATTTTAGCTTCTGTGCTAACTAATTTCCAGTACGTAAGAAGTACATTGATCAAAGTAAAAAGCTCATCCCCATATCGGTTGAAGGTCAACATCACTCACTGCCTCTGGTCGGAGGCAGGTGGATAGTAACCGCCATAGTGAAATTCCCCATTCGGAGTTGTGCGAAATGATGTCAACTGTTACATGTCCACACCGCTGGAAGAGTCCTCGTTGATGACACCACCAGACGAGGTCAGAGTTGAAGCCCAAGTGGCGCTGGAGTCATGGCTTGCGGTAACGTTGATGCCAAGGGTAATCCAAGCCAAAATGCCATCCTCGATCGAATCACCCAGCAAGGCATACTCAAAGAACGGGTCGGAGTCACTATCCTCAGTCTCAACTATGACCACGTGATCATCCGCATTCTCGGTGATAGCCACCGTGCTGGTGTTGTAGGGATAGGTAGCCTCAACCTGTGAGATCAGATCTTGGTCGAAGAACAACTGCCCGACGTGGGGAATGTGTCCCCCAGTCAGCGTGTTGTTGGGAAGGACCTGAGCGCCCACGTGGGCGATGACATGAACGTGGGTCGCGCGGCCTGAATAGTGTCCGGGAAAAACAGTCTTGAATCCAGCAACACCGTCCGCGTCGGTCTTCTGAATACCGCGGAGGAAAGTCTTGTCGAGGTTGGAGGCGTCGTTGCCGTTGCCATTCATGCTGCTCTGGACTCCAGAGTAGACACCGGTGGAGTTGCAGTTCCAGACATCCCAGTAGAGATCCTGGATGGGCTCGCAGGTGTTGATGTCGATGAATTGACCGTCCAGGATGATGGGAACGCCGGCTTCTCCATCGGAGATGTCGTGGCGGATAAGCTCGCCCTTTACCCAGAAGGGACCGACTTCACCCTCCGGAGCGAGGATGCAGACTGGGTCTTTCGAAAACAGCTCTGACTCAGAAGTGTTGGGCGTCACTTGGAGGGAGGAGTGGTGCGAAGTGTTCACCACCTTCTCCGTATCGCGGAGGCCGAGGGAGCGCTTCTTGTACTTCTCGAACAAGGCCGCGCGACGGGAAGCAGCTCGTTCATGCACGCCTCGCTTCTCGAGCTGTCCAGCGCATTGGCTTAGGCTCCGGTGGGCATTGTGCAGGAACGCACGCTTGGAGACATCAGTGAAAGAGCTAGGCTCATGAGCACCAGGATGAGCAATGGCAAATCCGGCCAGCGAGAGTGCAATGGCTTGCTTGAGCTGAAGAATCTGCATTTTGAATTGATTGAGACGAAGGGGTTCGAAGGACGATCAGAGTGTGGAATGGTTGCTGGAATTGAATCCCTCGAAGACTATGGGCGTGACCTTTATATATTCTCGGACTCCGTGATCTAGGACTCCTGCAATCATTAATTCCAGTGTCCATGCAATGGACTTCACTGTCCGTCTTGTTGCTGCAGTACTCAATGCCGCTCCGCGGACCCCATGAACGCGTCATCGTCGTCGTGGGCAATCTTGGCTGGTTGTTCTGGGTATGCTCTCACTGGGATGTAGCAGAACAGATAAAACCGATGAGAACAATATCAGTTGCAGGTCAGGGAGGCCCTGGCTGACGAAATGGGGGACTGTGATTGATGGAGGCATGTTAATCGAGAATTCGAGATGAAGCATCTGGGCGGGATGTGGATCCGGTGTCGGACTTGGCTCTTGGCAGCTTCCGCGTCTCGGGCCCTTTTCTCCACGATCGACACTTCCGCCTACCCTCTACAATCAGGCTGCATCCATGGATGTTTTCCCCCGCGTCGATCCCAGCTTGAAACCCTTGCAAGTATCGGCGCAAGCAATGCCGCTGAGTCATCCGCTTCCAAATCCAGTCAAGTCGACTTTTTTTAGTATACCTTCGTCCCTCCCCCGCGGTCCAGGCAACACATAACTCCTGTCGGAATTGAGGTGCCGATGACTGAGCAATCCGGAGTCATTCAGGGAATCTGTGTCGCCAGGATCAAAAACGTTGCAGTGGATTCATCAGATCCCTGGTTTGCTAATGATATCCCGCTAGCATGAGTGGTCAATCTTCGTCTCAACGTGCTGGTGGTCGGGTCCGAAGTGCTTGTGATTTGTGCAGGCAGAGAAAGGTTACTAATTGCGTTCATCTTGTGGTTACTCTGCATCAAGCGGATGTGGCATTAGCGCAATCAGGTGCTGACCCTAGGGTGTTTTAGATTCGCTGCGATAACGTCCAGCCTAGCTGTGAGACGTGTTGTCTTGCCGGCGTGCCGTGCACCTTCACAGATCAACCTGACCTGTCCCGAAAAAGTCTTCGAGAGTAGGTACTGGCGCCAGCTCTATCTTCCAACACTAATCGATATGGCAGTCAGCTCCAGGATGCCAGAGCGAGAATACATGACCTAGAAGCGCAATTGGCCGTCCACCGGTCTTCGCCCCCCACGGACTGCAGCGAGCGAAGTAACTCCGATGACATCTCAGAGAGCCCTTGGCTTTGCTTGATGACTCTGGACCACCTTCCAGACAGCTACGATCTAGACGCTTCTCTGGGAACGTTTCAAGGAGAAATTGCTCATTGCGGAGTGGGGAAAGCCGGCTCCGTTCAACGATCGTCGTTCTTCTCTACGGTCTATGAGAAGACCGGCTCTCCAATCGATCTCGACCATTTCCTTACCCAGGCGGCACAGTCTCTCAAATTCCAGGGCCTCCAGGAACGGACAGGTCCGAAACGGTCACTTTCACCGAAATGGCCTCCCACGTCTCTGGTCCAACACTCCATTAATCACTATTCCAGGAGCGGGCTCTATTCTATCTTTCCAGTTGCAAATGCTGATGCGTTGAGCAAATTGATTCAGGAGGGTATACTGGATCACCAAGATGGCACCGTTCCCGCAGCTAAGCTAACATGTCTTTTTGCATTCACTGCGATGATGAGTGTAATGCACCGGCTCGATCCGGCTTTCGTCGGTGCTGAACCTGATGCTTACATCCAGGCTGCATTGTGCCTCGTGCCCAGAGTCCTGATGGAGAAGCCCACAATTAGGAGCCTGGAGGCTATTGTCTTGATCGTATGCCACCTGGAGTCTTCAAGAGGAATGCGGCTGACTTGCGCAGATGACTTACGTGATGCCAGGTGCTCAAGTTGAACAAGGTCAAATGCTACTATCTCTAGCTACTCGAATGATTTTGAGCCTCGACGGCCATCGATATTCCGTCATCCACGAACCAGAAGGGAGACACCTCCGGGCTCTCTTCTGGTTCTGCTACGGTGCAGATAAGAACATGGTCATTCGCTACAACTGCTCGCCGCATTTCATCGACGTGGATTGCGAACTGCAGATCCCGGACAACTATGTCTCGTCATCCTCCGACCACCAATTCTTCTCGCGGCCACTTTCAAACGACGAACTCCTCTTTCCCTCGGACATCCGACTCTCCCTCCTCAAATCCAAGGTTTATCATCTGCTCTACTCCGACCATGCTCGAGCTCAGCCTGAGGCGCGTCGCCTGCAATACATCCGCGAACTGGATCAGGAGCTCACCGACCTCAAGGCCACATTCCCGGTCAGCTGCTGGCCGGACCTCTTCGCCACGGAGACGGCACCCAACTACACCTTCCACGACCTGAGTTTGCGGGGAGTATGCCTCCATCTGGAGTTCTATTTTCTTGTTGGCAAGATCCACGGGGCGAGCGGCACTGTCGGCAGCAGCAGGAGTAATCCCAGCTGGTCGATTCTGCCATCCAGTGCCGAGCTCTTCCATCAAGAATCCCGGTCAATTCTTGTCTACATTTGTCGGACGCGGGAGTTTCTCAATTGGCATACTTTCTGGTACGTTGCGTGCTCCCATCCTCGCTCTTTTGTCTGTATATACCTTTACTCCTTACTGACGTTGAATGACCAAGGATCTACGCTCAGTTCCTCCTTACCGGCGTCTTCTCGCTCTTCAAATTCCTCATCACCTACCCCACGGCGCCGTCACACGCGAACGATATCCAACTGCTGCAAACCGTGGTGGATATCTTTGTAGGATTGGACAAGAAAGAGTCGTCAGGCATGAGGGGGCGCTTTCCGCCGTTCTATTTCACCGTGTGCCTGGTCAAGCGGTTGATGTATTTGGCAAGACAGGCTGCCGCGAGGGCTGCCGTATGACATTAGTCACTCAACGTAGTTAGTAGCAACAAAGACCTCCATATAGAATAATCAAAGATACCATCGCCACGCCACTCCCTAATGATTCCCCTTCAACTCCCGAGCCAACTCCCTATACGACCCCGACCGAATGTCCTCCAACACCCCCGGACCGGAAGGCACCCACCCCAGCACCCTCCTGGCCTTGTCCCCGGACGCGCGATTCTCCGTCCCCAAGAACCTCGCCACCATCTCGCCCAGCTTCTCCCTGGCCTCCGCCTCCGTCAAGTCCACCACCCGCACCCCCAGCACCTCCGCCAACGCCCCAAACATCTCGGAAAACGTCACCCTCGTCTCGGCACTCGCATTAAACGTCTCCCCGGCCCCACCCCTCCCGATCGCCAACAAGAATAAACTAGCAGCATCATCCACATGCACCGTCGTCGTACACTTCCCCCCTCCGCCCACCATCACAAACGACCCCGTCACGTGCGCCTGCCGCATAAACGCCCCCAGCCCACTCCCGCCCCGCCCGTACACAAACGGCGCCAGCCGCACACTCATCGCCTTGAACCCGTGCCGCTCCCCCAGCGCAAGCACATACGCGTCCGTCTTCGAGCGCGTGTTGATCGGGTTCGCGTCCACCGGCGACGTTTCGTCGGTCTCCTGCCCCTCCGGGTGCGGCGCGTACAGCAGCGTTCCACTCGCCAGGGCGAGGGGCTTTCCGCTCCCAGATAACCCGGCGGCGATGGCGTCCAGCGCGGCCATGTCCTCGGGGAGGCCGAGCTCGTCGTAGGAGGCGCTTTGCCCGAAGGTGTAGGCGGTCGCGAGGCAGATCACGGCGTCCGCGGAGCGCGATTCCGTCGTGATGGTGGAGTGAGAGCGCAGGTCGCCGCGGATGGGGGTCACGCCGTGGGAGGTGAGGTGCGTGTCAGTTTGTGGGGTGCGCGAGAGGGCCCGGATGGTCGTGAAGTTGTGGGGGGGCTGCGTGGCTTGCTGGAGGAGTTGGGTGCCGATGTAGCCGCTGCCGCCGAGGAGGAAGAGGGTTTTTTGTGAGGGCATTTTCGGGGGTTTGGGGGGTGTGGGGGGTGGTTGTGTAGTGTTGTGGTGGTGGTGGTGGCGGTGGTGGTGGTTGTTTGGCGGTGTCGTTGGGTTGGGTTGTGTTATGTTGTGTTTGAAGATTGGTGGTGGCTGTATAGTAATTGCCGTTTTGCTTTGGACGTAGTCTTTGTTTGAGGATTGGTAGTGGTGGTGATGATGTTCCTAGGTTGGATGGATTAGATTGAATGCAATCCTGAGGAGACACACAGGCTTATATACCTCATTGCATAGCCAGTATACTTTGTGAATAGTGGCGCAGTGGTGGAGCGGGCAGTGGAGCGGGCAGTGGAGCATTGGAGCTGAGAAAAATGACCAGCGGGGTTAGCCGGCGATTAGAAGCAGCAAACCACCGTCGGATGTTGGGAGCTGCTCATTATTTGGGGGCCGCGTCTGAAACGGAAGCGGGTTTGGCTAGTAGGCACACACCATCTCCCCGTCGGAGTCTGCAGCTGCAGCCCCCCGGGTCGGAGTTATTCCCCTCGGTCCCACAACAGCCTGAGCTACGTATGTATGTCTTGCATTGCCAATTCATCGGCCAGATACTTGGACTTCACAATTCTCGGAAATAGACGGGGATAACGATTTGCTACTGCACTATGTACTGCTCATGCAGATTCTTCCATCTAGACTACTCCAGAACTCTCATTACTAACTATCTCCTAAGTAGAAACAAATGTCATAGCTCATTACCCCGTGTTGCCCCTCCACATATGACTGACTACTCCCTCCACTTAAAACAACCACGCCACAAACTTCCGATAGAACCAACTCGCCCCCTGGTGCTGCTCCTCCATCATCGCCTTCCGCCTCAGATACTCCCGTTCCTCTGCATCCACCTGATCCTTCCCGCTCCACAGATCCGCCTGGTACGGATCCACCCCGGAGCATCGCGTCACTAGCTTGTACCCGCCGATCAGGCACAGATACAGCGGGATGCCCAGGTACGCCGTGATGAAGGTCTTGTAGTTGAAGTTGCCCCACTTCTTGTTGTGCGTGAACACGTCGAAGCTCTTGGTCAGGCAGATCAGGATGCAAAACGCCAACGCGGCGTAGGATCCGTACACCCCGAACGGCGCCCGGTACGCCAGGTCGCTGACGGGCACATTCTGGGCCTTGCGCGCCCGCACGAAGTAGATGTGCGTGATCAGCAGCGAGACCCAGGTCAACAGTCCGAAAATCGTGACGAGGTCGACGAAGTAGCCGAACACTACTTTAGAGTCGGAGGAAACGTTCATGTACGCGATGCACGCGATTGCCGCGCACACCCCCAGTGCGTAGATCGGTACACCGCGCCGGTCGGTCTTGGCCAGAAACTTGGGGGCCTTGTTCTCCTTGGCCAGCCCGTAGATGGTACGGGTAGCGATGTAGAGATCCGAGTTGGCAGCGGAGAAGACAAACAGCAAGATGCAGGCGTTGAGAATGTGCGGGAGGACAGGAATACCAGCGAGCACGATGGCAACCACAAACGGCGACGCGGCGGCCGAGGAGGATTGCTTCGTGGCGAAGATGAGCTCGTCCGAGTCGTACGGAACCAAAGTGCCGACGAGCAGCACACTGAGGATATAGAACACCACGATGCGGTAGAAGGTCAGTTTGATGGCCTTGGGGATGGTCTTGCGGGGATTCTCCGCTTCGCCAACCGTCACACCCACCAGTTCGGTGCCCAGGTACGCGAATGTGGCAGAGACCATGGTCGCCCAGAAGGCGTAAAACCGACCGGCTGGTCCGTCGTCAATGTAGGTGTTGAATGCACCGGGGTTCTTCCAGTAGCGGAACCCTTTGCGGTCGTGGTCCGGGCCGCCCCCGAGCATGAGGATGAAAGACAGCAGTATCAACCCGAGAATCACGACGACCTTGAATGACGAAAGCCAGAACTCGAACTCGCCAAAGAAGCGCACTCCGAAGTAGTTGATCGAGACGATCAAAACGAGGAATATGGTGATCCATACGCCCGGATTGACTCGTTCTTTGTCGATCCAGTAGGATATGACGAGTGCGCCTGCGGTGAGTTGGTTGGGAGTGACGATGATGTATTTGAACCAATACCTGCTTGCTGTCAGTGCAACGAACACAGGTAGCATTTAAAATCAACGTACGTATAGCCCATAGCAAAGCCCAGTGCCGGGTCGCAGAATCGAACAGCATAACCAGTAAAGCCCGAAGACAACGGCAGCCAGGCAGCCATCTCTCCCAGACCACACATGACCATGTAGACAACAAGACCGACAATAGAGTAAGAGATGAGGATAGAGGCCGGCTAGATGCGCGTCAGATGTTAATCTGTGATATTCGGAGCAAGCAGTCACCTACACCAGCTCTGAGGAAAATGTCAGCTCACTCTCTGCACACAGCTTCCGGGAAAGAACTTACTTTGCAAGAGCAGATCCTGTTCCGATGATGAGACCTGTTCCAATCGCCCCGCCGATCGCTAGAGACCCCGGATTAGTTTCCCAATGGCAGGTGCAGCCGGACAGAACAGGGTCGCACCGATCATGGTGATGTGGCGGGCCTTGAGAGCACGATGGAGCTCATTGTCACCAGGAGCTTGGATTGTGCTCTCTTCCGCTGTGAGTACATCGGTCGCATAGCCCTCTTTGAAGAGGGGCTCCTCTCTGTAGCCCATCTGAGGAGATAGCTGCAGTGTAGACCGTGAGTTTGTGTGATAGTCTTTAACAGGAGGAAGAAACGAGAGGTTGAAAAGAATGAGAAAAGAAGACAGAGAGAGATGGAGAAGGTCGAGCAGGGGGGGGAAGGTGAGAAAAAGAAAATAGCGCGGCGACTGTTAGGAACTAGGCTGATCTTCAGGCCGGGGGAGGTAACATTGGAAGGTGGGATATGATATGATATGATATGACATCTGACTGCCCGTAGTTAGCCCGTACTGGACAGCCGATGATAGGCGTCGGCCCCTGTTCCCTCTCCGCGGCTCGTCCCATCCACGAGGCACTGCACCAAAGTAAGCACTTCCTCTCTTTGCATTATCGCAACCATTCACTGGTGGGTGTGGTCTGGACCCGAGGCGGATCCCTTGGCACTTTGCATGCTGGCTGCATTTGGGGGAATTGATATATTGCCTGTTCCAGCTTCTCAGATCGTGCGCATTTCTGTACAGTCCCCGAACGTGAGGATATTTGTTGATAGATTCATGTGGAAGACTTCTCTCCTCTTCTCTCCTCCCGTCAACCACGGCTCTCTGTCAGGCTTTAATCACACCCCGCGGGGAACGGGCTTGGCAGGATTGGCATTACCCAATGCATTGCCTCTGCTTATCCCGCCAAGCACCGCTTATCACCATCCGCCGCCGCCGCTTATCATTGCACCAGTTCACAATATCCCGCCCACACAGCCCATTACTCATCTCACCCACTAACATCGTCTCCCAATTTCGCCCCCCCCGCCCCTTTCCCCTCTATCAGTGTAACCTGACCAAACTCTCTGACTTCCTGGTAAATTGGAGCGATAGCCAGCTTGGCACCCAAGAAACTTTATCATGGCCAAGACACGAGGGCAAGACTTCGCACGGATTCGGTGCCTAAAACAGTAGGCGATCGTCACGGCCGCACCTATCCATAGCATTACTTAAGTGAACCAGAAGATGGCCACGGTGAAAACAGTGAAACATAGTGATAAAGTCATCTCGGTCAGATATCAACAGTCATAGATTGTACCAAAAGATTAATAAAAAAAATATACACTGGTTCCTGGTTCATCCCATGCTGCCAAACAAGCATCATTAGTCATAGTCGTAGAATCATCGTCCCAAGCCATCAGCTAGGTATCGCCCCCGGGTGGAGAAAGAAACAAATCGCAAGTGCAGACTTTTCTGTAAAGTCAACTCGATCACCGACGGAACTCGAACGAATGTTGCTCCGTCCAATCCACCACCTCCCATTCCTCTGGTTCGTCTGGGTCAGTGTCGGGGGCCGTGGCCTCGTCATCGACTACAGACAGGTGGTCTCCAGTAACAGACTTAAAATCATCCTCCGACGTAGCAACCACTCCGATGTCTTCCATCTCGGCCTCCCAGTCAACGTCGAAGGCATTCCCCTTGAGAAGGAAGGATCCCAACTTCAAGGCCACATTGTAGATTTCTTTCCCGGTGGGAATGATATGCTCCGCGGGAAGCAAAAACCCATAGCTACCACGGTCGCGGAGCTTGATCTGATAAGAATAGGTCGCGTGTAGCTGGTGGTAGAACCAGTCAAGAGCGCTACCACCCGAGGATCCACCGATGGGGAAGAAGCGTCCACTGTCCGGCGCTCGCGTGGTGACCGTGCCTTCACACGCCGATGAGACATCATAGATCTCATGCGTGGCATACCGGATGACCTTGGCCAGCCCGAGGCCAAGCTCTTCCAAGCTTTCCAGGGTAGGTGGCACAGACGAACACGAGTATGAAAAAGGATACAGAATCTGCTGCGAATAGGAATGCAGATCCACAAAGCTGACAATTTCGGCGTTGTTGCTCTGCGTCTCATTGAGAGCCCATTGGGCCAGCTGCTGTGCTTCCAACCCCTCGAATGGCTCGTCTCCCGCATAGTTCTCGGAGCAGGGGTTGGAGCGCGTCCGCTCGCCGTCCCATTGGAAATCCCATGTCCGATCGAGATCCAGCCCAGGACAGAACCGCAGACTGGTCTGTTGGCGATTCTTGCGCCAGAGACGATCCGTCTCCCAGGTGTACACGTAGCCGTCGGGGTTGAGCGTGGGTACTAACACCCAGTCAAAGTCCTCCAGCAGCCGGGTGACCGCCTTGGACTTACCGTACTTGGTGATCAGGTTGTAGGCAACGTAGTTCACTGTCGAGGTACTGATCCATTCACGAGCATGACTCCCCCCGACGAGGAGGATGGTCTTGCGCGGCGTGGGGCTCTTGTCACGATTGCTGCCTACACCCAGTCGGAGTGCGGGAATTTCTCGGCCCTCATAGGATATTCCCACGTTGGTCATCTGCGCATGGGAAGGAAACATCGAAGCCATCAGATGCATCCAGGGCACAATGACGCCAAGGGGTTGGTATTCGTGGAAAAAGACCTCGCCGAGTTGCGTGGCTTGCCGACCTGAGGAGATATAACCCGACTGTCCATTGAGCCCCACCGGTCTGCGACTCGGGTAAGAGGCATAAATCCTGTGTGCTAGATCATCGATCAAGGGGGTGTAGGCAGTGTGGAGGGAGGCGGGTAATAAGCCGAGAAGTGAGGGGATCTAGGCGCCGCAAGCGTTATCAGCGTCGGTGCATGTTATCAGTAATCAATCAGTCGGAGACTTACCACTTCCTGGGCCAAACGGATATCGACAAATTGGGGCGTCGACGCCCAGACGTCAAGGAACAAGATATCAGCTGCTTGAGCCAGTACTTCCGCTTGATCCTCGTTGCGCAGGGTGAACCGTAGAACCACATCGCTGCCGTATCGCGCCAGAGCCTGGGGAGGCGGGGAGTGCCCGCGCAGTGAACTGCTGGCGGACTTTGGTATACTCCATATAGACTCAATGATCCAGTCTCGAAACCGAGTCCATGGCCTTCGGGTATCGGGTGGCTGGCAGGATAGAATTTGAACGGGCTCGATCGGCGGCGGTGGAGTGATGCTGGAGCCTGCGGGGACGGCGGAGACCAGGGCGACCGTTGCGACCAGCAGGAGGACTAGAAACAGAAAATAGCGCATGACGAATGTTAGGTGCATCACGGAATATGTACGGGTGACCTTGGTTGCATATCAATTCCCCAGACGAATGTCTGGCGGAATACTCGAGTGATAGCAAGGTTGATTGCAGTGAAGTGAGAAGAAAAGAAAGTTGAAGAGCCGAGGGTGTGAGAATGACGGCAACGGCGAGGCTGAGCTTTCCGCCTCAGGCATCAGGGACACGAGGTCGCACCGTGGGTCTAGCCGATCATTTTAATTGTGATAAGCATCGATATCAAAATGTCACTTTTAAGCTTGACTATCATTTACAATTAGAGACTCGTGCATCTCCCTGGGTTTCATTAGGTTGTTCCACTCACATGCCTTGGAAGGAAATATAAATCCGCCTTCCAGACAGTAGGCAGCCTTAAAGACTGTACTCTGATTACACTCTGGTTACAAGATAATTGTTCTTCTGGCATTTCAAACGTCGGATAACGAAGTATGAGAACCCAGATACTGAGGTGGGCCATGTAGAAATACCCAAGCGTGTGAATTGAGCCATTGTGTCGAGCTGTCCATTAGCAAACAGCGGATTAGTACGCCTGGATCCTCATCATCGTCTGCCAGATTCTCTATCGACTCCGCTGACTGGCAGAGCCGGCCACTAATCCCAACTCGACTAGACCGGCCCGGAAGGTCATTTTGAGCTAGCCTTTTACAGAAAGGTGCCCTCTTGCATGGCAGTGCGTGCTCTTGCTCTCATACTTGCAGACTTGGACTGCGCTGAGCGGAAAACAGCTCGATGTTTTTGTACGAAGAGAGTCGCTATCTAGCTCTGACTCCAGCGCTTCTTGTCAAGAAAAGGATGATGTTACTGATAGCCAGCATCACATTTCCTCCATCACCGTCGCTTCTCCTTGACACGAACCGGAACTCGAAAGATCGCGTACCTCGCATTCTCCTTGCTCAGCTTCCCGGCTGACATGTCACAAACTCATCGCAGGACTCAGCGCCATCATGGATCCGATTCATCCTCACCTTTATCGTGTGAAACAACAAGCGAGCAAATAGACAACGACAAGCTGTATGCGAACAACAAACCCAAGTGATCCGACGGTATGCATGACAGACTACCTATTGTTATATGGGCTCGTCCTACCCTGCAACACTCATATCATGGAATAACGTGGTCTCGTTCTTTTTCGCAGCGCCCTTCCTGTGCGGTGAAGTACAAAAGGGAATCAAGAAATTTCAAAAGTCCCTTGCCTTCGGTGAAAAGAAGATAGAAAGCATCCTAATGGCGGTGGAGGGCATTTTCATGGAGTTTCCCCTGACCGTGCAGATTTGCTGCGGCCGGTCGCGGCCTGCATGCACCACCCATGGAGAAATCAAATCGTTTCTTCTAGAACAGGTTTAAGAAGACCTTATCAATAGACGATAGCTCGACGGCCCAGGCACATCGAACAATTTGTCGGTGGTTTACCTTTGACGGTTCAAATATCGGATGTGGGTCTGCGTCGCTTGCGATCCTTTGTAGTTATATATTCCCGTAACGGCATCGGCCGGCATCGATCCTACACCAGATACCCCCCAAACCCATGATATTTCCTTGTTCGAAATGCGACGGTCGCTTTATTTTATCTTGCCTCTTTGAGATGCAGATTGAATTAAATTGTGAATGGAATACGATAGGATGGTCGCATTGAGAAAGCATTGGGTCTAGCCCCCACGAAACATTGATCCTGACAGGTGAGCGGTGTTTATGTCTTACGTATCGTTAGCCCCTGTCAATGACAAACCAAAACCCCGAGATGAGTTCTTGCCAAGCCTAACGCTTGACACCATCTCGCATGCGGAAGCCGGAGGAGGCCGAACAGATGATCGGGTTGACTTTATATAAACTGCATTGCAGAGCTAACCCTTCAGGACCGATATGAAGGGGACGAATTTGGTGTGGTGGTTCGGTTCCTTTCGTGGCCCTTGGTTCGAGAGGAAGGGGCGGCTGGCCAGGCCCTACCTCCCTAGTAGCCATCCACTTCCCCAAGTATCCTATGAGTAAACCCATTTGCGGTTGAGAGGGAGAAGGGAAGGGGGTCCGCAATTGCCCAATTGGAATGTGCCGGTACAACGTCTCTCCAAGGCTCTAATGACCATGCTGATTCTTGACATGAGTGGATGGTGGGGGGAGTGAGCGGAGAGTGTGGATAATCACCCTTGCCCATGCCCACCAAGTGGCCTTGTTCTCTCGTTAAGTCTTGAGAAAAAGTCTCTGAGTGAAGGAAGGGGACACAAGGGGAAAAGGGACAGATGACGACAGTTGGGGCGCTTGACGTGGCCAGAACACCGATCACGTGAGTGGGTATAGGTTTGGGCCTTGCGGATTGCGTGTGCTGTACAAAGTACTGTACGGAATACGCGATGTACTGTACATCCTCCTCCACAGTACAGTTTTGTGCACAGTGCCAGGTTACAAGTATTTGAAATGCTAAACGTTCAGCTCTTACTCATTTTGTTTTCTATATTTAGTCAGCAATTGATTGAAAATGAAGATTAAATGATTTCTCTCAAGTTTAAATTTGGCAGCATTGAATCCCTAGAAATAGCCCATGTTTAGGGAAGGAAAGGGGCCAAGAGCATCATCCTGGCCAGGGGAGAAACTAGGGTAGAGCGCAATCTCTACCAGATCCATCCATGCACCCGCGTCTCTCTATATTTGGATGGGGTACGGAGTATACAAGCACTGTATCAGAGAAACGCACGCCAGAACTGTCAGGGTCGCTGGCCCATTGATAAAGATAGAAACAATGTTGGGACCACGGGCAGTTTCACCCGTGCTTCCAGATGAGACATATTATCGACACTATATGGCGGGAGTACACAGCACAATATCTATACAGTATGGAAAAAGGCAGATGCAGAAGCAGACAAGTGCCGGATCAGGGAAGAAGAATCTTACAGGGGCTGAAAATGGGAGCTAACCAGCCAGCCCTGTGGTGTACTAGTACGTACGTACATTAATTCTGTAGCTACTAGGTACTGCAGCTGTACTACTGAGTAACTTACTCCGTACTTTACTAACTTACCATCTTACCGTACCTACCCGCACGTGTGAATCTCGGCCCGGTAGTCCTAGTCCTAGTCCTTTAGGAACAGCCAACTTGTTGGAATCCGACTAGTCACTCTTCTGGAATCCTGCTCTCGGCGGGCCTCCTCCTCAGGCTCCTAGGCCATCCATTCATACCCACGGAGTGAGTACACACGCACTCCATCCAGTCCTCCACTTCCGCCGCCCGTCGTCAGCATCGCCAGCTTATCCTTACCTCGCCAACCACCCTCTCCCCCCTTCGTCTCGGCCTTCTCTCATCTTACCCCCACACCGTCTCTTAGTCGCTTTTCTCTTTATTATCATTCCTTGCCTAATACCCATTTTTCTTCTTCTTCTTTCTCACACCAGCAGTCTCTGTTGGACATTTCCCCTCAAACACCCCTCAAAAAATTGACTTTTATTTCTTTACCCCTCCTGTTTGCCTGCCAAACTTTCTTTACCACCACCAGCACAACCCCCCCGGATCCAACAACGACAAGCATCACACCTCTCTCTCCGTCTTCTGGCCGATCGCTTGCTGCGTTACTTCAATTCCTCTCTCCGATTCCTCGATACACAGTGAAATCGCACATTCACCTGGCGATGTAATAGCTCCTACCGGGAGCTTCGACGGTTTTGACTTGCAAACGGGAATTTCTGCATCGGTGATCGACTTTTGCCCGCCGCCTCCTTTCCTCCCTCCTTCTCTCTCCCCTCCCCCCCTTTTTACGGCCTCGCTATTCGCTGCCCAACGACCTCCCCCTAGTCCGCCCGGCTTGATATTCCCCTTTCGAGGCGATCGCGATGCAAATCGGTCTGATCCGCAGTGACGTCTTCGCACAGTATCCCTACCATCGACAGGTTCCCGCAGCCCCAGTCTCATAGGGTGTCGTACATTCTGCGCGGTGAAATTAGTGACCAAAACTTCATACACAATCGAATGGGTCTCTTGGATAGGTTGCGCTGCAGGATTACCCAAAGAAACGTCCGCCGGAAACACGCTCACTATGCACTGGAAGGGGTTACGGATCGGTTCTTCTGATAGCAATGAAGCCAAGCGACGGAGCTACTTGTTCGAGCCAAACGCACAATCCCGCCATAGCGAACAAATACCACGTCCCACACTCTCCACGACCGCACTCGACCCGAGACGCTCCGAGTCGGCCCCTCGCTCACCCTCTCTGGCCGGCCCAGAATTCGACGAACATGCGAATGAAGGACAGGGCAACAATGGTCTCACAGGAACACGCAGTCGCACGGATGACGCAAGCCCGAGACCGAGAAATACGGGCCATCCACCTTTGCCGGGGAGCGGTCCCAATTGGCGCATAAACCGGTTCAGCTTCATGAGACTCCGCCACGCGTCGGACCCTCAGCTGTCCAAGTCGTATGCCAAAGGAGAGAAAGATATACCTCCTGTGCCCGAACTTCCACGTGAGTTATTCTTGCCATCGCTATGATTACGAGCCCTCGCTAATCATTCGCCGGGGTCTCTTTCTTAGCTCCGACTATCATCACGACTGCTCCGACGGGTCATGAAATCGACGAGCCGGTCAAGCGTAAGACGAAGTTCAAATTCTTCCCGGATAACAAGAAGGCCTCGACGGAAGAACTCCCTCTTGAGCAAGGTAGTCTCCATGGAAGACCACGATATGTCGCCCAATCTTCGACAGGATCACAAGCCGCGGATACCAGTCGCTCGATTTATCGTGTGAGCGGTGAGGAGTCAGGTCGTTTATCGACTACATCGATTCGGAGTAACGGGCGGGATCATCTGGCGGAGTCTAATCGTTCTTCGATGGTTGACGTGCGGTTCTCTGAGTCTTCTCGGTCTGACCAGAGCTCTGGTGATCACGGAGCTGCCCGTCCAGTACCCTCCAATGAAGGCTCAATATCGAGCGCGAAACGATTCCGTATGCCACGCTTGAAACGAAATCGCAACCCTCTGTTCCCCCTACCACCCAGACCCACTGCGTCACAATCGATGAACGGTCGCACTCCCAAATCCTTGAATGGCCAAACAGGCCCCAAGCCAACTACACCAGATGCGCAAGAGCAAGACAACATCTCCCCGTTACCGTCTCCTTCTCGTTCCGCAGGCGTTGCGTCCCCCCGACCGCCTCTTTTGAGGAATGACTCCGCCAATTCGACCCACTCCGCTCGTTCAACGCCCTCGACCAGGAACCGAAACCCCTTGACTACACGCGCGCGTTCGTCAACGTTGGACTCCTTGGCGAACATACGTTCCAGTGAGCAGCAGGCATCGCCTCATCTTACACCTTCCGGACGTACGTCGACCTCGACTAGCGGGCGCAAAAGCTTTGGTGATATTTTCAGCATCCCCCAACGACTCCGACAGAATTCCGAGCCACCCTATCCTCGCAGCGGTTCACCTGCTGCCCGAGGCGCAGACACTCCTGTCTTGAAAACGCCATCCTATCCGGCCAGGCAGGAGGATGACACGCCAGCCACGTACCTAGAGCGTTTGGAAGCTGCGATTTCAAAAAGCGCTATCGCTAGTGTGCTCTCACAAGCAAATGACGAATTTCACAAGACCGCATTGCGCAAGTACATGCGGGGGTTCTCGTTCTTTGGCGACCCAATTGACATGGCCATTCGAAAGCTATTGATGGAGGTGGAATTACCAAAGGAGACGCAGCAGATTGACAGATTCCTCCAAAGCTTTGCAGATCGATACCACGAGTGTAATCCTGGTATCTTCGCAAATCCAGGTACTAGCTTTGATTCCCTAATTTGTACTGAGCTGACTTCAGAAATCTGTAGACCAGGCATACTTTATCGCGTTCTCGATCCTAATTCTGCACACTGATGTTTTCAACAAGAACAACAAGCGCAAAATGCAAAAGCCGGACTATGTGAGGAACACTCGAGGGGAAGGCATATCAGAGGACATTCTTGAATGCTTCTATGAGAACATCTCCTATACGCCCTTCATCCATATCGAGGACACCAACCTCAATGGACGTCATCTCCCAAAGCCCCGACGAGCTCTATTCAAAACCGCCAGCTCCGATCACTTGGGTAAAGAGCCAGTAGATCCTTATACCTTGATCATGGACAACAAGCTCGACTCCCTTCGCCCAAGTCTGAAGGATGTCATGAACCTCGACGATACTTACCGTTGTGATGGCACGGAAGGACCCCCGGACATAGAAGGTCTCCATCGAGCATTCTCAAGATCTGCGGTCCTGCAGATCGTCTCCGCCCGGTCCCGTCCCGACGCTTTCATGCCGTCCAGTATGGAGAACCCGATTGACTCGAGCCCAGGTCTAGTCGACATCAAAGTGGCAAAGGTCGGTCTGCTTTGGCGCAAAGACCCAAAGAAGAAAAAAGCCCGATCTCCGTGGCAGGAATGGGGCGCTCTTCTTACTTTCTCGAAACTGTACTTTTTCCGTGACGTCAACTGGGTTAAGTCCCTCATCCACCAACACGAGTCACACGTCAAGGAAGGTCGCCGTCGGGCCGTTACCTTCAAGCCCCCTCTGACCGACTTCAAACCTGATGGCATGATGCCGACAGAAGATGCTGTTGCTTTGCTTGACTCTAGTTACAAGAAGCATAAGAATGCGTTTGTTTATGTCCGCTCTAACGCTCTTGAAGAGGTCTTCCTGGCCAACTCGGAAGCTGACATGAATGATTGGCTGGCAAAACTTAATTATGCGGCCGCGTTCAAGACCACTGGGGTTCCAAGCAAAGGGATGATAGCAACCAACTACGAGGCACAGCGCAATCGCATGAGTCGCAGGGGCTCCTCTGCGTCTTTGACAGACAGGGAACCACCATCCCCGAATCCTGCGGCCGACATGGGCGAGGACATGCTCGCATCACAGGCTCAATTAATGCGTTACAAAATTCGAGAGGCCAACGAGAAATTATTCGTCAGCCAGAGGCAGCTCGATGATCTGTTGCGGAACGCGAGGCATTTACAGGTGCTAACTCCCGTGAACTCTAGAGCCCGCGAACAGGTCATCATGGCAGCTGGTCGCATGGCCGCCAAGCTTAAATGGGTGAGACAGGACATATGGCGTACCAGGTGCTACAGGGAGGTGCTTGTTCGAGACTTGGGTGAGGAGGTGAAAGAGGCCCCGCCCACGACTGAACCAAAAGGCCTTCAGCTCCAGATTCCTGCTCCGAGCGCTAGCAATGCTGTAGAGGGACCGTACGAGGAAGCCGAGACCATTCAAGTCACCTCTCCCATTCGGGAAGCTTCTCCACATCCAAGCTCTGCAAAACCACCTTCCATCTCTGAGCCACCCTCACACCCTGCCTCGGCGGATGTGAGAAGGCCGAGCATTCCGGCATCCTTCGCTTCGTTTGATCAGCCTGATCGCGCTAGTAGGCGTCTTTCTGTTGACGCCGCCAAGGAACGTGCCATGTCAAGTTCCCCTGATCGTGCAAGCCGGCTCACTCGGGAGGCTTCTGTTCTTAGTGCTGCCAGCCGAATGGACGTTGTGAGCCTTGGATCCCACGCATCTAAGCTTACCGTGCCCAATAGTTTCGATGAAGGCGAAGAGCGCATCCTACGGGAAACTGGTCTCCTAGAAGCCTCGCGAAGGCCGTCTCTAGCCTCTAAGGATAACGAAACTGAATCGAAGCACGAGGACACGCAATCTAGGACCTCGATCGATCGCACAAGTCGAATCCGACGCAGTCTTCACCGTACCCTTCGCGATGCGCCGAGCGTACACGGAAACCACCCACGAAGCAAGAAAGCACGCGACTCAGCCTCCAGCCTGGCCGCGCTCGAGGATGCGCAAGGTACGCATGATGGTGAAGGTCTGTCGCGAAAGTCCGCTAGCTTTACGGTACACGGCAAGAAGGCCTCGATCGTCACCTTCGGGAGCGAATGGCAGAATATGCCGCCGGAGGAGCGCTTGAAGTTGCGGAAACCCACCCCGTCTGACGAGCCGCGAGCATCAGACCCAGCTATTGGCAGCGGTGGCGAGTCCATTACCTCCGAAACCAATTTACATCCACGCTACCCGCACTCTTTGCGGAGTACCAGCCCTGGAGCGCGCGAAAGTGTGCATTTCTATGATGAGACGGAGGAGTTCAAGGAGGCCTCTGAGACTCTTTTCCCTGAAGAGAAGAAGGGCGAGAACAATGATATTGCCGATTCGAGTGCCAAGATGTCTGAAATCTCCTTTCCCACCGCTACTCGAGAAGCGCCTCTGAGCATCATCGACGAGCCTATGTCCCTCAAAGCCGGTAGTAGCACTGCCATTGACGAGCAACCACCACCTCCAAAACTACCTCCTAGCTCTCCCGAGCAAGCCGTCCATGCATAACAAGCCCCACCCTTGTCTAGGCTCTCTCTTTTTTTTTTCTTTTTTCTTACGACTTTATACCCCTATTCATCTTCTTTCTCTTTGACTTTCCTTGTGTGTGTGGAGATGCCGACGGCCTCCTCAACTCAAACTGATAGAGCATGCGTGGGGCTCCCTCCCCGCGTCGTTTATGATACTGATGCCATGATTCTGTTCTGGGTTTTGATTCGAAGCCCTGAGTATGCATGCATTCGGGTTGGTTGGGTGGACAGTTTGATCGACTATGTTGAAACCTTGAGTTGATATACCGTACTTAGCATTCATACCTTGCACATGGTGGCATGATCTTGGATAATACAAACTACAAGGAATTTAGCAATAGAAATCTTTCATCCGATGTCGATAGCCGCGATTGTCACGTAGGACGAAAGAACTCTGCGATTTAATGGAAGTGGATTGATCGATGCCGAAAGGCCGCGTCCATCCCAATCGACCACGCGCCAGGCCGGAGAGCGGAACATTGCGGCAGAAAGAGACTGCGTAGCATGTAGTTAGTTAGTAGACGTCAGCACCAACCTCTATAGCAATGGAACAAGAACAAATTGAGAAAACAGAGGAACGATAGGAAAGTAGCTTGGTACCAGAAAAGATGCAGATGACGAAAAATCAGAGTCCTTCGAGACGGAATCCGCTTATTGTTTGCAGTATAGTAAATGTCCAACATAAATGGCGGGCCGTTCGGACGGTAATACCGGCCAGCAGTGGCTGTGAGCCTACGGAGCAAAGGGCGTCAACCACGGAGAAATGATCGTGCACCGTATCTAGAGCTTCTGGATGAAGAAGACATGTTCCGTGACTGAGCAAAGGAGGTCTAGTGCCTGAAATCTGGGCGTCAGCTGGGGATGTCGGTCGAAGGGTGGGGTGGGGGCGATGTGCTGCGTGTGCTGGGCGGGTTGAGCGGAGGGTCTTGGGGATTCGTAGGAGCGGGGTTGGGGACCGTGGGAGCGAGGTAATGCATATACCTTGAAGCAATGTCTATATCTAGAGCGAAGTTATATACCTACAACGAAAAGCCAGGAACAGTGGTAGCGAAAGACTGCGCGCCGTGGTTGAGACTGCGTGTTGGTTGTGTCGCTAGGCCAGGGGAATGCGGGCGCAGGAGGATTGCTGTTATGCTGTTTGCACGATTGTGAGGGCGGGAGACATTACCAAAAGTGTTTGAGGTGCTGAGAAACTAGGTTGTTGCGTATGGTGTTCTAGGAAATGGTGGGTGGTCTGTTGTTGTTGTTGCTGCGGTGTAGGGTTGTCGCGTTGCTGAGGGGTTTTGGCTGTCTATGACGCTGCGGTTGATGTTGGGGGTTTGTTTATTCGTGTCTTGGTGCAGTGTGGCGGGCTGGGATGGAGGTCTGGCATGGGAGATGAGTCTCTACTATATGCTTGACACTCACATTTCACTTGAAAGTACTGCAGATAGGTTTCCTTGTCGGTGTTTATGTGACTCGCCTATGATTCTTTTGGATCTAGAACTGCCAAAGGTTTTGGTTGCAGGCAGCGAACATGGGAACTTCAGGTGAACCTCTCTCGGAATTCTTACGCGCCACGCCTGGGATGGAATTGTGGAGTGTCGGACTTGCTTTTGTATTGATTTACAAAATTCTAGATCAGGCTGTCTGACATTTACCTTACGAAGAGGTTGTAAGAGGGCCATCAAGAATGCTAGAGGGGACTTGCTTCCTCATCCATTGACTCAAATCCCCGGTCAGGGTCTTGATATATCTACCTTGCGAGGATATTATAAGAGGATCATTGAGAAAGATAAATTGGCTACAAGGGGCGGCTACACCTGTTCATCTACCATCCTATCGACATCGGGCTATTACAGCTTACGCACTATGACCTGCCTATACCTATGCTGCTCTGCATTGTTTAATAGTGGCTCATTCTCAATAGACCTCAAGTCAATAAGCTCGATTGTTCTCCGCGGATAGCCTTGTACTGACATCCCCGCACCCGCTACTTCACTCTACAGGTGATCTCAGCCCTAACCTTTCTCCATCTTCGCTCGTCCTCCTTGAAAACTCATTCTCTTCGACAACTAGTTCTTCTTGACGACTCATCCTCCTTGATATTCTTAACGGACAGCCACTGGGTATTGCAGTATGGTGTTCCGCGTGCTGTTCCGGCGGTTTCCCGGCGCCTTCCTTCTGCTGTTGTATTCTGCTTCGCCTTCCTTCTTCTCCTTCCTCAATCTTTCTCCTCCTCCTCCTCCTCCTAACCGTACTTGCCCTAATTATCTACTCACCTGCCGTGCTCCTTCCTTCAGTGTCAACGCAGCAATGGAGCAGGTCGACGACGATATCCCCCCGTCCCCCCCCCGTCGATTCCCATCGTCGACTTCTCCTCCCCAACCATCCTCTCTACCCCCGTTTTCCAACCCCATTCTGCGCTTTACAAGCACTTTCAGAATCACGACTCTCTCAAACCTTTGTTAGAACTCAGTTCGTGCTCCATGAGCACTATCAGAAATCCCTTTCTTGACTTCCAACAACCTTTGAACCTTGTTTTAACCTCTCCCTCACGCTCGACCTCACACCCTATCTTGACCTCGAACTCACACCCCCTCCTCGGATCGCAGATCCTAGATCACGACACCATGTTCTTGGTCAACCCCATCGGGTCCCTAGGACTCAAAACCGGAAAGCCAGCCCTCGACAGCTGGAAGCTGAAGGTGCCCACCGACATCATCGAGTCGGAGGTCCACAAACTCAAAGAATTGATCCACGATGTGATGAAGACAACTGTTCGGCAAGACATTCGAGACATCTTGCGCGATGAATCGAAGGACATCGTTCGCAGCAGCCTGGAAGACATGATGCAGGAGATGCAGGCCATTGTCCAGGACACGCAGGCACATGTCCAGATGATCGAGGCGAGCGCTCAGGACATGCAGACCGACGCTCAGGAGCTCAAGGAGTATGTTCAGGGTATGCAGAGCAACGTCCAGGACATGCAGACGGACGTTCAATTGGCCAAGGAACACACTCAGAGCCTGCAGACCGACGCTCAGGAGCTCAAGGAGTATGTTCAGGGTATGCAGGCCAACCTCCAGGAGACGCAGGCAGAGGTGCAGAAGATGAAGGCACAGACAGACATTCAGAAGATGCAGGCTCAGGACACGCAGGCACATCTCCACATGATCGAGGCGAACGCTCAGAACATGCAGATTGATATTCAAATGATCGAGGCACACACTCAAAACATGCAGACCGACGCTCAGAAGCTCAAGGAATATGTGCAGGGCATGCAGTCCAGCCTTCAGGAAACCCAGACAGAGGTGCAGAAGATGAAGGCACAGGCGGACATTCAGAAGATGAAGGCACAGGAACAGGTTCAGGACATGCAGGCCGACATGCAGAAGATGCAGATACAGACGGACATTCAGATGATGAAGGCACAAGAACAGGCTCAGGACATGCAGGCCGACATTCAGAAGATGAAGGTACAGGCGGACCTTCAGGAGATGAAGGCACAGAAACAGGCTCAGGATATGCAGGCAGAGGTTCATAACACAAAGGCCAACGTCGAGGACATGCAGACAGTCGTCTATGCGTTGCAGGAAGTCGTCTTCGACATACAGATCAACATTCAGGACATGCAGGCCGACATGCAGAAGATGAAGGCACAGGCAGACCTTCAGAAGACGAAGGCACAGGAACAGGCTCAGGACATGCAGGCCGACATGCAGAGCATGAAGACGAACGTCCAGGACATGCAGACAGTTGTCGATGAGTTGGGGGACGTCGTCTACGACATAAACACAGACGCCCAGGACATGCAGGCCGACATTCAGGAGATGAAGGCACAGGAACAGGCTCAGGTTATTCAGGACACAAAGACCGACGTCCAGGACATGCAGACAGTTGTCGATAAGTTGCAGGAAGTCGTCCACGACATGTACACAGACGTCCAAGACATGCAGGCCGACATTCAGCAGATGAAGGCACAGGAACAGGCTCGGGATATTCCGGACACAAAGACCAACATCCATGACATGCAAACCAATGCTCCCGATTTGAAGATCAACATGCCTAAGACGAGGGCACCGAAACAGACTAAGGATATGAAGGCGGAGATTTATGACACGAAGGTCAACGTCCAGGACATGCAGACCGATGCTCCCGATTCGAAGACCAATATGCAGAAGGTGAAGGACCCGGAACAGGCTCAGAATATGCAAGCGGACATTGAGCACAGGAAGGTCACGTTCCAGGACATGAAGGCGGACATTCAGAACACAAAGAACAACGTCCAGAACATGCAGGAGATGAAGGTCAAGGAAGAGGCTCGGAACACGAAGGGGGACATTCATGACACGAAGAGCAACGTCCAGAACATGCAGAAGATGAAGGCACCGGAACAGGCTCAGCACAAGAAGGCGGAGTTTCATAACACGAAGGTCAACGTCCAGAACATGCAGAAGATGAAGGCACCGGAACAAGCTCAGCACGTTCAGAAGATGAAAACCAAGGAACAAAACCAGGACATGCAGACAGACTATGAATCAGAAGGTAGCTCGACCGTGATACACGACGATTGCGAAGCTGAGTGGACGGCATACCTGTGGCGACAGGTGTCGCAAACCAAGAAGGACCAGAGGTCAACCACTCCATCATCTACCGACGAATGGATGGAAAAGATCAGGCAACTGGACGAGCTCAGTGATATAAGCTCTCTCCCCGAGTATCGGGAGAATTGGGAGGAGGGGGAAGATGTGTGGTGGCGAAAAGCATGTCAACGAGAATGGAACCGTTTCAATTATAGGACGGAGCACCTAGAGCCGCCCGAGTGGCAGAGAGATTTCGTGGACCGACGCTTGAAATAGTAGTATTCTAGCTTCTAGATCAGCCAATGCAAGAACCTATTCTTAGATCAATCCATCCACTAACTTCCCCCAAAGCAAGTATGTTGTAGAGCCTGGATACCCCCCATCCATTGCTGGAGTCTTCACCCTCTCTCCAAAAACAGCTGATTTCGGAAAATTATACAGAGGCTTTAGGCATGTCGCATAACCAGCTTCTCATCAAGAATTTTATTCTGCGCCAGGACCCGCAGAAGCTGTCCGTCGAGGCGCTTCCAGTCTACTAATAAGCCGCCGGGAAGAGCGCCGGTATACTCATTCACAGTAATCTTTCTCCCCATTATAGGCAACAACGCGGGGTCAGAGGGAGAAATCAGAGGTTGATATTGCAGACAGGGAGATGCAGCACAAGACAGATGCAGGTGACTGGATTGCAGCAGAGGACGAGCTAGTTGACTACTAGGTAGTTAGTTGTTTAACTGGGTGCAGTATCCCCGGGTCTCTACACAGGGACCTATCCCCTGTTATTTCAGCTGTCATGGTACATTATTGCCTTCGCGAGATGGCGAGGGCACGGAATGAGGCCAAGCCATAGAAGGTGGAACAATTAGCTGGAATCAGGCATCTTGAGGTGGAGGTCTCAGCGGAATTGAGACCAAACAATGCCATAGCGATGCACCTCATCAACGACACCAGCAGTAGAAGCGCCCATTGCATGGCGTAGCTTACTGGAAGGGTCTCTGTGAATAGGAGTACTCTACATTCCGAGTGAACAAGAAAGAGGGGAGGATTTGGAAGGGCAGTTGTCTAACAGAGCCACAGAGATAGATGGCTGGTGAATGTACAGTATCTACAATAGACAACCTGACAATTCATCAATGGTGTAGTAGTCAATGCTCCAACCAGCGGTGAATCCAAAAGGTATGTTCACCAGTTCTGATTCCATCCAGTGTCTTCACATTCGTTCTTCCCGGACTCAACCTCGCTATCTCAACCTTTCTCTCTCGGCCTTCCTCTCTCAAGCTTTCTCTTTCAACCATCCCCTTTCGCAGTAGAAGAAGTCTCTCCTCTTCGAACTTCCATTCTATGTTATCATTCTATTCCCATTAAAGTTGGTACTCGGACTGTACGGGGAGCTAAATCGAGTAATCAGAGAGCCCGTCGTACGCTTGAAAGATTCTACACAAGCATGGGGTCGTCAACCATCACCACACTCCTCGTCACGTTATCAGCTCGTGTGCCCGCTGTATGCGTTCAATACGTCTGAATTGTCTCCGTGTATACATAATGTATACTGAGGTGGAAGGAACGAGGAGGTGGTTCCGCTTGCCCTGCCGAGTAAGTCATGGTGTTGCCCTCTCGCTCTTTGCCTTCCCCTCCCCCTCCCTCCCTCCCCCATCCCTTCCGGCCTTCCTTGGTTCTTAACCATCCTCATGTCCTGAAAGCATGTTTACCCTGCAGAGTATGTATCATTTTGGGGGCCATCATTCCAGTGGTATGGAGAGACCATCACTCTTTCATCTCTTTGATTCATTGACTTTGGTACTTAGGTTGTCGAGGTCTTGTTTCCCCGTGCTACGAAATGTTGAAAAGCGCACGCCGAATTCCGCGGGTATTCAACTGCTACCGCGGTCTTTTTCTTGTCAGATCCTTTCGGATCGAAACAAAAAGGGTTTATGGGATGAGTATCCCAGGCGGTTATACCTTTAACAACGGGTAAGGGTTATCATCGATCTCGGATGCTCATTGCTAACTTCAACAAGGGCACAGTACCCCGTCGACTATGTTAGTATTCGAAATTTAGCGGATTAGCGAGATCAGCTCTCTCCCAGAGTACCAGGAGAACTGGAAGGAGGGCGAAGATGTTTGGTGGAGAAAACAATGTCAGCGAGAGTGGAATAAGTTTAATTATAGAACAGAGCACCTTGAGCCACCTGAGTGGCAGCGAGACTACAAGCGTACTGACCCCCGCCGATGGTGGCTTATAGACGATTTTCAGTGAGTCTTACGCTGATCTTTCCCTCCCTCTGCCCTGTGCATCTTTTGCTGTTCTCCTCAGCTTCTTGATGTGTATCGCTTTGCTAACGCGCTCCGTTCCTGGCTTCGTTGCAGGAGACTCTGAGAACCCCGAGACAGAATAGCCACGGCGATATCAGGTTCGTCACGGGTCTCGAGAAGCATTTCCTCATGCGGGGACATACGACCCCGACAGCCTGAGCGGCCCTAGAGCGAAGCCGTGCTGCGAAGCCAGCCAACTACGAGTCCTGGGTGTATGATAGCCTCCCCGACTACTTGAGGCGGACTGGACCGCCTACTTATGGCGACAATCATCGGAAAGGGAGAATTTGAGGAAGATCGACTCCGCCGGTTGAGAAAAACCGGCGTAATGGAGAGGATGCTTGGTGGAGAAAAGCCTGCCAAAAAGAATGGAACCAATTCAACTATCGCACGGAACACCTGGAGCCCATCGAGTGGCAGAAATTTTTTTTTAACCGGCATAATAGAGAGAATGCTTGGTGGAGAAAAGCCTGTCAAAAAGAATGGAACAGGTTTAACTATCGCACGGAACACCTGGAGCCAATCGAGTGGCAGAGGGACTATAAAGACCCTCGTCTCTAGTCTAGTTTATTTTCAGAGTAGTCAACGTGTTAGCGGCCATGAGGCCTCAATATCCAAACTTCTCACCGCCACGGCTATGGCCATGCTCAGAGCCTCACTCATTGAAGCCTCGAGTAGCCGATTTTCATCATGTTGACGCTCTGCGGCCTCAGGCTGCTGCCTACCGCCCACCTTGTTGTTCTTAGCTAGTTCCACAGATAGCCTCAGATAGTCAGAATCCACCGTCTACCCACGTCCTTGACGAACCTACCCAGGTTCCTCGAATACAATAGTGGTCCTTGCATCTTGTTCTTTCTCAAATAGATGCGTAATTCAGAGTAACATGGAAGGAGGTCTAGCGCTGACTGTTTTCAATCGCTTTGATGCGAACACCATACACTGAAACCTGACTCGTATAAATAAGGGGTTGCCCAAGACGTACGTCGCGATGGCACTACAGCTGCGAAGTGAGAATATTGGACTTAATCACTTCCTGCGGAGGATTAAAGGCACACAAGATAGGGGAGGTATACAGTACGTACGTACGTGCGAACAAACCCGCTTGCATACACCGAAGCATATCTCGTACGAAGTGCACGCAATTTACTTTACAGCAAGCAAGCCGCGGGGCCATGTCCACGTCGACCGCGAGTCTGGGAAACAGGGGGGCTGCAATTTTCAGCTAGCGGACTGACTACGCTACAATGGTGGCACACCCGCCGGCAGGCAGCCGGATATGTGGCCAAAGCCATGCTCAATACAAGCTTTCTTAGGGCAATGAAACTACGGTCGATCGTGGCCAGGGGCATTGAGGAAAGCGAGGAATCCATTAGGCCTACAGGGCAAATGGGAATTGGCAAGTTGGTACTAAGCAGTTGTGATATGCAGAGATAGTATTGCTTGTCAGCGCGTGAATTGAAGAAGATGGCTCGTGAGAGCTCAACTAGCGGGTGTATCTCTGCCGGTGGCGCATGGCTCTTTCGTAGGCTTCCTCTGAGATTCTCCATCGTCGAAACTCCTCATCGTCCCACTTCCATTCTCTCTCGGTTCTCTCGAAGTCTCCTACGAAAAAGCTGGGAGTCGCATCAGCGAAGGCATAAAAGAATAGAATGGATAGGGTACAGTACATCTTCTGCGTGACCGGATCCCAGAACAGCCGACTGGGCACCCACATGGTCGATGGCACGATCCGGTGCCGGCCGAAGGAGCTATCACGTTCAGCATCACCAGAATCCAAAATCCAAAATCCCTTCTCTCCTCTCCTCTCGGCAGAGAGCAAACTTACGTAAAGGCAGCTTTGAACGCCAAACGAACTTGCGCTCTCGCGGCCGGCGACATCTCGTAAAACGCCCCCTCGCCAATCCCACCGGTCGACAGCGCAACCATACCCCCGTCCTCTTCACGGACAGTTGTCAGGGCGATGTAAAGCACGTACCCTCCCGGCACCCAGCCTCCGGGGCCCTGCGTGGTCTGACGGGATCCGATAAGTGCTGGGGCGTGCTCGCAGTGGATATCGCGGAGCTAGCCGTGCGCGTCCATGCATTTCCTAGCACGGGGAGGAACGACATCGACGGCTTGACGGGCCCGCTTGCTTGGCGGCTGCCACTCCGTGCCTGTCACGGGAATCTGGACGTACATTTGCACCATCGCTGGCGCGCCGGAGGCTGTGTTCCTGCACAACAGCTCGATGAGGACGTTGGGCTTGACGCCCTTTCGGTGGCTCTCCTCTTGACTCATCTCAGCGGCGGCTTCGTCGAGGATCTCCACTATCTCAAGGTGGGTTTGTGGAGATGGGCCGTCGAGAGTTAGATCCTCCGGGACGAGCGAGGGGAGCATCCATGATTGGGGTGGGGTCATGTCGCATTGGAGAGAGAGAGATAGATAGATAGATAAGGAGGTCGTTATAGAGAGAGAGAGAGAGAGAGAAGCAGAAGTAGGCTGGATGATCTTGAGTTATAAGTTTGAGGAGGAGAAGTGAAGTGAAGGAAGGAGAAGCTATGTCCTTAGCATGATGTCAATATGTCAGGTGATCCCGGAGGATCGTAGTTGATACTCCCATCATAGCCTTCGACTCTGGTACGTGGTGTCTGCATGAAAGCACAAGACAACAGCCAGCGCTGCATACTCTTCTCGACGCTACGCGCTTGGTTGAGGACGGGTAAGGTGGAGAAGCTCATATTGTGTCAGGGGTATGGTTAAGTGATGGATGAATCCAGGCTAGGTGAAGCTATTTCTGTTCAGTGTCTTAGTATGAATGATGAGGGCTACGGCATCATATGTTCTTGCAGCTAGGGAAGACTGAGAACAGGTAAGTCTGTTGGAAGGTGTGCGAGACATGCGTACAGTTTGATAGATCCTGACTCGGACGAACTCTCTTGCCTTCAATGACTGACTCTACGACTCTCCAGCCGTCTGATACAAAAGCTCCTCGCGCCAACCCCAACCCAGTGCAAATGTCGCTCCAGGTCCAAGAGTAAGAAGTGACCCTGCGAATGTCCCACCGGCTCTCCACCAAGAAAATTGAGCTCCAGCCTGCTTCAACTCGCGGAAGCGCAGCGCCAGCCATACAAACCCACTCGTCATCGAGACGAGCTCATCATACTTCAAGAAGCGCGCGATGCAGGTACTGAACGACGTCACTGGGACCGAGGCATCTCGCAAACCAGGCAGGAAGATGCTACTAAAGGAAACATCCCCTGGGGCCGTCATCCGGCCGTAAACAAAGGTGAGCCCGGAGACTAGGGCGAAGGTACCGTATGCCCACCGGATGTATTTCAGTCCGTTTCTCTGTGGCTTATGCTGAACATCCCGTGACTTTGGGGACGGTCTGTTGAGCACGCGGGCCGCAAGCAAGATGGTGCCCTGAAGGAGGGGAGTGGTCAGCGGGAAAGCCTGCCAAAGAGCATTGTACCACTGGCGCAACTTGAGGGTTGGGGCGAAGAAATTGGCATATGTGATCGAGTGGTATCCTGCCAGGGTGGAGAGAACCAGAGACCCGGTGAGGCCACAGGTTATCTTTCTGTTCTCGCCCGCGAGCAGTGTGGACAGGGGTGTGCGGAGATATTCCAACGCGAGGTAGAGAGGGGCAACTTTCCAGATGCCCACCAATTGAAATATGCTACCTGCTGCCATGGGTCTGTTTCATCGACCAAATGAGTCAGAATTCACGTCGGTTGGTATGCGGAGAACTCACAGAATTACTTGGTGCCATGAGTGCAAATTGCGGTAGCTCTCCAGCAACCAGATTCCATAGACTGGTCCCAGGTCCGTCATGAACGATAACATCTGGATGCGTGAGCGCGGGTCTGATCCCGTGATTGAAGGTAGGAAACAAGTAATCAGCGGCCGCATCAGCTTGTCAAAGAAGCGGTTATGATAAAGAGGTGTGTTTAGATCCATAACTTCGCCACTCGAAGCAGTCCAGGTTCCGTCATTCAACATCGGAACCAGGTGTGATCTAAGGGGCGAGAGCATTGATTCCACTGCTGTCTTACTGAAGGCGAAGATGCCCAACAGTGGCAGTGTCCAAAGTGCCCGTTCCCCAATTGTGGAGTCCGGCACGGGTCGACAGTCAGTAAAAGGCATCGTACCCGCTAGGGACTTAGCCGGTGGTGGTAGGTAATCAATCTTTGTCGCCCCCACGAAGGTTCGAGATGATTTGTCGACCAAGTAATGCTCGAGATATGGCATTAGATAATGTGCTATTGCCTTGTCCTTGAGTGTACTCAGTGCTTCCAATCGCGTGAGGCTGTAGGCTGACTTGAAGATGGCTTGCACGCGAGGTCGCCGCTTTTCTTGCCAGGATTGCAAGCATTTATTCAGCTCCTCTACAGCGGGGCTTGACTCATGGGAGGCTTGGAGCAAGCTAGCAAGACTATTCGCAAGTGCGGCTGCACTTTCAATTGCGCTGTTACCACCCTGACCCAAGTTCGGGGTCATCTGTTAGGGGATGTCAGTCAAGCGCACTTAGGGCTTTTCTCCCCATCACTTTGTTCAAGAGCATACCTTATGCGCTGCATCTCCGATACAAACCCACCGGTCGATGGCCCAGCGGCTATAGGAGGCCTCTTCTAATGGCAACAAAGTCCGGGTTATTGCCCTCTTGTATACCTCGGCAAAAGGTACATCATCAGTAATCGGCTTCTGTAGGTATGGGTCGACATATTGGCCAATCATGGTTTGATCGAAGCGTGGGATGTGCGAGGCAGAGTATTTCTGGTCCAACTTTTTGAAAAAGAACCAGAACACCCGGCCCTCCTTCCCGACGATAGTCAGGGCCGACCACCCCTCGCCGAAAGTTCGATGACTGGTCCCCGGGATTAACCCTGGAGTCGAAGTCGAGATGCCAAACACACAGCTGTACTCGGACGTCATTACTATGATCAAAAAGTGAGAAGAGTCAGTATAACAGCACTGCGTTGATATGAAGTCTGAAAGAAGGCAACCCACTTTCTCTTTCCTTCAGTGCCTCCTTCTTCAGCCCAATTGACTCCATGTAGTCCCACATTTGACGTCGCACTGTGCTTCTTACCCCGTCGGCCCCGACAACGAGATCACCCTCATAGACCGACTGGTCTGCGCAGTGCACCTTCACTCCATCGGCAACATGTTCGACTTGGACGACTTTTTTCCCCGTGAATACATGAGCCTGCGATTGTCCAAGATGCTTGTAAAGAGCTTCGAGTGCGACTTGACGATCCACAAATGCAATGGGGTAGCCATGTCTTGGTTGTGGTCAGCGGGCATTGAGGTATTAATATGCAAGAAGGGTAGATACCGGTCATGAATGATTTTCGGGGCGTTGTTCTTGGTGATAAGCGAGCCATTCTCTTTCCAGAAGTAGGAGTCACGAAGGGGCTCTGTAGCCTCTATGATGTCGTCGAAAACTCCCAACTGGTCTAAGATGCGCGCACCATTTGGAATGATTCCGATAGAAGCACCGACCTGCGGTGCAATCTCCTCATGGGCCTCCAAGACGACGAATTCCACCTGTTGTCGAAGTAGGCAGTGGGCAAGGGTCAGGCCTGCGATGGACCCGCCGACAATCACCACGCGGAATCGTGGCTTCGAGAGCTGGGAGTCTGTCATCGTTCCAAGACGCCGAGTCAGTATGTGAACAGTATGTTTCTTGGGGGGGAAGGATGTGTGCTATGGCGCTTACTTTCGCCTTATATAGGCTGTGGAACTTCTCATTTCGATAACAATCGAACCACCCTGCAGAAGTGGGCCATTCTCACAGCCAGAGATGAGGGGAATCAGAGAAGCGAGGATAGTGGGGTGTTTTTAACCAGTGCCACCTTGTACTCTGAGTATATCAAAGCAAAGAGAGGAAGGTAGGTAGAGAATCGGTTATTCGCCCAAAGGGTGATTGACATGTGGGGTCTCCGGCGACCCACTGCAGCTGTATTGGTAAGTTACCGTTACCGTTACCGTTACCGAAACTTGGAACTGCGGCAAACTTGATTACTTTACCAGTTATCCGAGAAATCCGTGAAACCCGTGAAACCCGTGATGTCGATCTACGAATCGTCCGCCTTCCATTGAGGAAGTTCTGACTTCCCCTCTCTTTAGGCACACCCGTTTCCATCACAACCAAGTAGCCCCGAGCATCGGCTCTCCACTGAAATCTGCATCCTGATGGAGTCTCGGCCCCTGACTGTGACCAATCGAGTTTTCTCTTCGCCGCTGCCAGATCGGAAGCGACGGGGCCAGAAGCCTCGAGTGCTTCTGTCTTGTACCTCCTGTCGTGAAAGAAAGTAGGATGCATGCAACTCGTACGCACCCGCAGCACTACTTGGCACTAACTCAAGCGATTACAGACTTCGATGTGATCGCGCTCGTCCTTGTTCGAATTGCCGAAATCGGAATCATGGCATCTCCTGTCACTACGTTCAAGCGCACGCGCGTGCTGCCCATGTCACTCGAGAACATTGTGCACCACACGGTGAATGCACATGGTCAAATCCTGAGATAGAGATAGGCAAGGATAAGCGCTCCAGTCCTGGGGTCCGACTTCTTCCGTCCGAATCGAGTGGGACTCGATTTGTCCATCCGAGCCACTGGCGAGCTCTCATGGATGATGCTGTGTGTGGTTACCTGGGTCCTCATTCCCCAATTCCGAGCTGATATCGAACACAGACAAGGCAATTGAAGATCAATCCCAGCCATGCTCAAATCAAATCAAGCGGCAATTCCGTGCACTTGTTGTCGGGTCTCTCGCAAAATGTGAGCATCGACGAATTGATAGTCTCGTTGCCCTCCCGCACAGTGGCGGATAGACTCGTGGCATCATGCCTCAAATCCTCAGAACCATCCTTGAGTACGTTCCTGTATGTATCTGCAAGACTCTGGCTGACCTTTTCACTGCAGTGATCATTCATGTTCCGACTTTTGAGACTCAGGTATGCCTCTAAATCGCGTTCATGGATTTCGCGAGACATGTCTGAAAGCTCTAGTGTCGCCAATTTTGGCAGTCACCTGCGACTGTCAGTCCCGCCTGGCTGGCCCTACTCTATTCGGTGCTAGCCTGCGGAGTGTGGATCGAGCATTTTCTGGATCCCATCCTAGCCTACTCCGAAGTACCGCAGTCTTTCTATGCCCTCCGAGAAAAGTCAGCTGTCGCACTGTCGAAGTCAGATCTCACTGTCCCTGGCAGGTTCAAGGTTGAAGCAATGTTGATTTACTTGGGAATAGAGTACCTGCAAAGCAATGAATCGAAAACTGGCGTGTCGATTCTTCTCGGGATTGTTTCGCGATTGGCGACCATGATGGGATATCATCAGAGCGCCCATCTCTGCCATCCCCCTCTACTTGCTTTCGAAGCAGAGATGCGATGCAGGGCTTGGCTGTTGCTATCAGTCATTGACAACGTCGTTGCCTCGCAAACAGGACTTCCAAGAGTTATGTACCAAGGCCTCACAAACTCGGCTCGCCCACGCAACTTACTCGACGACGATTTCAACTCCACTATGTCAGTGCTGCCCTCATCCCGATCCACAACCGGAACACTTAGCCACGTTGTATATATGCTGGCTCTTGACGATCTTTACTCAGTAGCCAATGAGATCGCAGATCTTGCTGCAAAAGGCCCAATCTCTCCCGACAGCACTGCTCGCCTGGGCCAGCAACTGGAAGCTCTGAGAAACGGCCTCCCGTGTTCTCTGCGTATACGTTCTCCAATTTCTCCAACGATGGAATATGACAAATTGATCATGCAACGCACCCTGGAGATAGTATACCAACGGTCGCGCTGCATCTTGCATCGTCAATATCTTATCTCGTCTGAGTCAAACCCCAGCTTTGACGCTTTTCGATGGGCATGCGTGGATGCAGCCCGTTGCGTTCTCGAGCAGCAGTGTCTCCTGTTTCAAGAGGCCCTGCACGGTCCGCGCAATAGAAAGCGTGTGTGGTTTGGTGCCTCTCGGTCGGTGTCTGATTGCCTCACTGCGGCTATGGTGATATGTCTAGAGGTGATCAACAGGACAAAGGTTTCATCTCAGCCTTCCTTGACCAGCGACGCATCTACAGAGCTAGTCCATATCCTCCAGCGGACATACTTCAACCTCAAACAGACCCCCAAACCACCTGTAGAAATAACCAAGGCAGCTGAGATTCTGGCCACAATGCTCGGTCGGATGGGTCATGCTGTGACCTGGAACAGTGATTCAGACGAAACTCAGCCTTCTACTGACCCCAGTAACCCTAAGATATCCGACCCTCAATTTCAAGAGATCACGCCCCCGAGTGGCCTGCTTTCGTCTCCTTGGCTCCTCTTCGACAACTTGGTCCATGGTGATTTTCCGTTCGAGATGTTTGACTGGGTAAGTCCTTCAACAACTTTCTTCACTTTTTACTTCCTTGAGCTAGACTTGAGCCTTCATGCAATCCGAGCACAGGTCGATCTGGATCTATGCTGATTTATAAGCAGGCTTACTGGGACCGGGAGATGCGGCAGCTCAATGGGGCATTCTATGATATCATATAGAAAGCATGTGGTTGGTAGCCAGGAGTGTACGCCCGTCCCAGACTCCAAACGCCTATGTTTCAAAGCTTCTCGGATCCACAAGCGGGTCCCCGAAATCAGCCCACGGTTTCCCGCACGTATTTTACTCAGAGCTTCCGGGTTCCGCGCTTCTAGAATCTCGGAAGACTCGATTGCCGGATCCGGCGCAAGCCTCCGTACTGTACATGTGCCGCGGGGACTTTAAAGCTTGAGATTTAAGACTCTAGCCGCCTCACTCAACGCTCTTTAACCATACATCCATGATTGCAACCATCTTTATTCTTTGAGTCTTCAAAATGTCCGAATCTCCTGAACTCACCGTCCACCATCTCCACCTCTCCCAGTCCGACCGAGTGATCTGGCTCTGCGAAGAACTGGGTCTCCCCTACCAGCTCAAATGCTACGACCGGGATCCCGTGACCTCCTTCGCCCCGGCCGCCTACCGGGCCCTGCACCCCATCGGCACCGCCCCCGTCATCCAAGACGGTAGCGCCGTCACCCTCGGCGAGACCAACGCCATCTTCGAGTACCTGCTTGCCAGATACGACCCCCAAGGCAAACTGACTCTTCCGCCCACCCACCCCAACTACCCGGACTACGTCTTCTGGCTCCACCACACCAACGGCGGAATCCAGCCTGCCCTCTACGAGCTCATGCTTGCGCGCATGTCCGCTCTGCCCGAGAACAACCCGGCCACCCAGGTCATGCAAGGCCGGCTGGACCGCAGCCTGGCTGCGATGGAGGCCCAGCTCGCCAAGTACCCGTTCATCGCGGGCGAGAATTTCACGGCGGCGGACTGCATGCTGCTGTTTCCGCTCACGACGTTCCGGATCTTCATGCCGTACAGTCTGGAGGCGTATCCGCATATTGTGAGCTATTTGGGGCGGATCGGGGAGCGGAGCGCGTTTGTGGCGGCGATGGAGAAGGGGGACCCGGGGTTGAAGAGGCCGATGGGCGCTGAGGGTGTTGTTGCTGCTGTTGCTGGTGAGGAGAGTTCTCAGAAAGCGTGAGGTAGATGTGTCATTCGGGGAATCCTCCAACGGGGGTTAAGATGGTATATGGCCGATTATTCTTCGGTTTGTATATTATGAAACTTCGAGTTTGCTTCGAGGGTCCTTACAACTGGAATTGTAGATATATGGATGTTGATAGGATGATGAAACTCAGGGATAGGCTATACGTACCCATATCTTGACATCTTGGTGGATAATCATGGCTAGCCAAGTTCTTCAACATGTGAGATAGCCTAGTAGATTGCTGATTCGCGTGGCCTAATTACTGAGGAACGTCAACCTTCTACAACCCGCTGGGCAATTGCCAAGCAGCCTAGTTTATCATTTGTACCTGTTTTTCATGTCCAAGACGTCGTATCCGCCAAGGACGAGACTGACCGATGAGATGAATACAGACTACATGAGGCTAACGTTATCTGAGCGGAGCTATCAACACGGCCGCCGACAGCATCCTCATGACTCCTGGCAGTCCTTCATCTTCAATGATACATATGAGAATTCATCTAACCGACCTGAACAGCAGGCAAGAAGAGTACAAGAAATAGTCAACCAGGCCCGGGGATCCGTGTTCCACTTCCTTCGTCCAACACAAAACGGTGTGTTCGATAGTCCCTTCTGGTGCCAACGTGCCCCTGAGCTACTGGAACCAGTACCACTCTTCAACGCGCCGGTAGATCTGCAGAATGCTCATCTGATGACTGTCTGCGGTACGCATCAGGCGATGAACGTCGGCCTCCAGCTGCCGGGTCCGCGCGGCTTGGTCCTGAAGCTGCTGCTGCAGATGCTCAACCCCGACTTCCAGGTTGGCGAGGCGTTGGTCGAATGTCTCCATTGTACGTCGGGCTGCGTTGATGCTGGCCTCGATCTCCTCGGGGAGATTTGAGTCGGGGTTGGTAGACGCAGGGTGGATTGTCTCATCCGCATTGACTTGTGTCATGTTTGGCTTGGGCGAGGTGGGGTGGGTCATAGCGTCTGCGGTGGTATCGTGGTTCTCGGGGAGCTTGGAGGTCTCATCTCCGTCCACGGTGTCCTTAGGGACGGTGTTCTGTTCTTCGGGGTTGTGTGGGATGGTGGGTTCCTGTTCTTTCTTGGTCTGGTGGGTGGAGGCGTCGTGGTTTTCACCGTGGGTGTTGTCGGGGATAGCGCGGGTGATGTTGTCGCTGGACGATGGCTGTGAAGACATAGTTTCGGTTTGATAGATGAAGTTTGGGTGAGTTGGGTTCTGAGTGTGTAGTCTGTTCGCAGGTTTTCCAACTTGTAGGATGGATTGGATCGGGGAGATTGGAGGTTGCTTTCCAGAGACTTGGCAGGAAAGGGGAAGAGTCTACAGGTTGTAGAGATGAGATCGTGGGAACGAGGGACTGTGCACCGGTTTTGGATAGTTGTAGAGATAAAGAAGTATGAGCCTAGTGGATTTGAAGAGTGTAGGAGAAGTAGTTGGCTAGGTTGAGTAGCGTGTATCTGTTCTGTTCCACAAACACCAACTTGGGTGACGGATTGGAACGGAGGATCAAGGATTTGTGAGGGAATGTGGATGAGTGATGAATCCAGACTACGCGAGGCAGCAGGCTATCTGAGTGCGGGACTATCAACATGGCGTGGCGGGCGGTGAGCAGCTGCCTGGCCTTCGAGGCTTCAGGGCTGCTGGCAGGTTGTCTGGTAGTGAATTGCCTCACAGCGGTTGTGAATGTAGGCTTCTATGCCTGCAGGTTGATGTCAGGAGTTCCGCGGGGACCACGATCATGGAGGGGGGCGGATATTCACTTCCCGTTGTCAGGGTCACTTGGTCTTTGTTGATGGGGAAGATCGATTCGCACGTGGTCTCTGCGAGGGGCAAGAACTTCTTGTCGACGATCATATGCGGTGTCCTTCGACTGGATATAGGTGCCTCAATGCCTGCTCTGGCAGATCGTATCAAAAAGAAGAGAGTCAGTCAACTTGCTGTTTAGAGAGGTTTTTGAGTTGGAGTAGCGAGGGTGTCCTGACCCTCGAAGGTGATCTGAAGACATTGCAGTCACATATCATGCTTAAGCGTGAATACCACTTACTCTCCAAGTTCCTCGCTGGGTTTGTATATTCTATATTGATATTGCGGAATGGTTAATCAAGAAAAGAACTCGACGCCAGTCAAGGCAGGCTTGTCTGCTTGCAGGAGTCAACGCATGTTTTTTGCGCGCAGTCAACGTGCCAGAGGTATCACTACTTGTCTGCTGGTTGGAATCGAGAGTAAATGCACCCTGGAGTAACGAGCACTCGCTAAAGAACTTATACTGGCCATAATCAGCCGGACAGGTCAACTGCTGTTTGGCGACTCTCGGGACTTGTAGCGCTGGGTGGCAATCATGGTGTGAACGGCTAAAGGTATTGAATAAATGAAAATGATAATGCCACACTGAATGCGCCCTGCGGAGTACAAGAAGCAGTGCCCGAGGTCTCTGAGGAAGGCAGGCCCTACCACCCCTCAATTATCTAAGCTCTCTGGGAGAACGCCCCTTCACTCGGCTGACAAACTGAGAAATCATAGCCGAGTTCCTCGGACGAGGTAAGTATTGTCCGTCGGGTCTCTAGCATTTACTGATCTGATGTGGCACTTGGCACTAATTATATTTTCGTAAGAGAGAGTTATATCCCTACTATCTGCGTCTTGTAGAGTTGTATACCCCGGATTTAACAGCAAACTAGGAGATGTCAATCATTTTACTATTGTCTGAATACCATGCTCTGATTGACTTTAGCATGCCAAAAAAATAAGAAGAAAAGAAAAGAAAAAGAAAAAAAGAAAAAAGAAAAAAAAAGGGTCTAGCATATGTAGTATCTTAATCTCAACTACTGTGGCTACGTAGTTAGGGCTGTTGTCGGCTTAAATTTGTCAGCACCTAACCCTGAACTCGATAAGAATTGCCATTGCCGATGTCAGCCCGGCCTCGGCGTTCTGCGCCCCGAGGCCAAGCCTAACCGAGCAGAGCATCGGGGGCGTCGCTTCCGACGTACCTAGACTGAGTCAACCCAGTCTAAGTTACCCGGCATAAAGTTACTTGTTTATGATCTCGAATCAGACTAGGACATCCAAGTCGTAACCCCGGCGATTGACATGTTCGCCCCGAAAACTACGAGATCCTCTGCGCCAGCCACCGCTAACCTGCATGCGGCTGCGCTTGAGGATTCTGCGTTGTGGCAGGGACTGCTGCTTTGGTGGGGGAGGGGTGGGATTGCTGTCTACAGGTCGAGATATTGAAAGACATGAGGCTGGATGGTGTTGTAGTCGGACTAACAGGTATACAAGATGAAATCATGATCGACGTTTGGGGATACGATGGACTGGTGTCTGTACTGATTCGGTTGATTCAAATGTGATATTAATCGTTGCTGCGCCTGCCCATTTGATAGTCACATAGATAGAGGGCAACAGCACCCGAGTCGTGGCCTGCGACCGTGTCTCCATGCGCCATTTAGCCACTGATGAGTCAACCGGGCCTTCGTCCGGATCGGTGCAACCTCCGACCATGGACCCTTCTACAAACCTAGAAAATGTCGGACGTCTCCGTCGAGATGAAGCTCTTTTCTCTCTTTTTGTTTGATCGCCCTGCACCTCGGTTGATTGCCTGATTTGGGAGATTAGAAGAAGTGTTGATTCTTCGGCTCTTCACAATACTCAGTATACAGTGACTAGCCCCGTGCTTCATCTCCCGGATTCTACCCCTGAAGGGTGACTGATTCACTCAGGATCTATGGTTCCAAATCATGTCTTGTATCTAAAGCCCGGTTCTTCGCATGTCAGAAAAGAGTCGATCTTCCTTGATCATGTCTGCAGCCCACTCCGCGATCGCGTAGATGTTGGCTGTGGGATGCCCGCAGAGCTGGACGGGTAGGATGGAAGAATCCACGACGCGGACGTTTCGAGTACCGTAAACTTTGAATCGGCTGTTTAGTACTCCACCCATCTCCCTCGGTAGCATCGATGTACTCCCAACAGCATGATAGTTTGGAGTGTCTGCAGGTTCGAGTCCAGTCAAATCAGTGATTCACCAACCAGCTTTGTTTCTCTCATTCTGCCCTGGGGCGATGAAGGAGAAAGACTTACACTGCTCCGCAATCCAATCTTTCCAGATATCATCGTCCGCATCGGCCGGAATGTTTGCGAAACCAGGTACTAGTTCCTCCTCGATCAGCTCGTTCAACTCGCCAGTTTGGAAAACTCTGCGGAGAAACTTGGACATCGCGATTTGGACCTGGATATCCCAATCTAGCATGCCATAATTCAGATTCAACCTTGGGAGAACCGCCACATCCGACGAGGAAATGTGGACATTCCCACGGGAGAACGGAAGAAGGCCCCAGTATCCGACATGGATCTGATTTGGGTTATCGAGAATAAACACGAACTCCCCAATTGGGATCCCTTTGTTGAAAATAAGATCGTGCTGGCTTGTATAAAGCAATTGTAGAGCTTCCTTAGTCATGGCTCCGCTGGTCTGTTTCGCTGTCATCTCCGCGTAATGTGGGATCGAGGAGAGAAGAGAGGCCGCGATGGACTCAGTAGAGCGGCCGAAAAGGTCTGAGGCAGATACGAAGGCTACGGTTCGTGTGCCGGTTATTGGTGACCTGGTGGACACAACGAAGGAGGTGTTGAGTTGATCCTGCAGGTTCTCCCCAACGCTGGGAAGATCGATCTGTATCGGAATGCCATGCTTCTGGAGAATTCTAATTTCGTTTCACATGTGTCAGTTTATCCGTCACTGGCTCGCCATTCATAGGTTTCTTACTGTGGATTTCCAACTCCTGAGAGCTCCAAGATCCCGGCGGACCGCATTGCGCCGGCGGCCAGAATCACCTCTCGCGTGGCTTGAACCACTCGACTTCCAATCCCGTCGTTAACTTCAACAGTCTCAGCAGCAAGAGAACCTTCCTCGTTTTCGGCCTCTTGCCATCGAATTCTTGAAATAGACGCGTTCAGCATAACATGAAGATTGCTTCTCCTTGCCCTCATATCTGTGTAATAGGCCCTTGCTGCATCACTGCGCACACCTTGGGCATCCACAGTATACGGATGCATCGCAAATCCCCCCATTGACCCAGTGTTTAGGTCCCGGTTCCAACCTACCCCAAGGGAAGCAAGTGTGCGGTTGAGAGCCGCCGTGAGATCAACCCCTTGATCATCCTGAGGCGTAAGGTCCATAAAACCGACCTGCACGGGCCCGTTCTGCCCGTGGTACTCCGGGATAATCGACGCACCGGCGGCACTCTGCCTGCTGTTCGGAGGTTGGACTTTTTCGCTCTTGAGGTAGTAGGGGAAAAGATTATCCCAGGTCCAGTTATTGTTCCCGAGGGCCTGAAGGGCGTCGATCTGAGCGCGTTCCGCGCGGGCGTAAGCGGCACCTGAATAAAAGGAAGTACTGCTGCGTTAGTCACACACGCTGTTTCTCGAGGATGAAAAAGCCGAGCAGATAGCCAACCATTCATCACACTTGTGCCTCCGAGCGTCCTTCCGGCACGCATCACCTGGCGGCGGTTGCCGAATTTCTGTTCGGTAGTCTGGTATGCCCAGTCTAGCGGGCTATCGTAGGTATAGGCTAGACGCGTTATATCCGTGACATTGGGGTTGTTGAGCTCGATTTGTCCAGGTTCGATGACGAGGACAGAGACTGCTGGATCTTCCGACAGGCGGTTGGCGACCGTTAGGCCCGCCGTGCCGCCACCGACGATGATATAGTCATAGCTGGTAGCTGTCGCTGCGTTTATGGCTGCCAGGGCTGTGATAAGTGGTAGGATTAGCGAATAATGCATCATTGAAGTTGAGTGGGGAGTGGTGAAGGTGATGGGTGTGACGAGTACTGGGTGACTGCGAGGCCTTTATAGACAGACAATCTCAGTAGATGAGAACATCTCCTCAGTCCATCCTCTCACCCCATCCCTTTCCAAAACACGATTTCATGCATTCATGCAAGCAGAGACTGTTCTTGTGACGCAATATCGCGCGAGGAAGGATGGATGCAGCAAGGGTGTGGAGGATGAAATCAACCACATTCGCCGCGATGAATTGAACAAGTGAGGCGAGAGGTTGTCGAGATTGAGGCAGGGGCATCGGATATCTTCTCGTAATGCTTGCTATGCCGGATGCTGTGCTATGGATTCACTTCATGCATAAGCGTGTGTGACTCCAAGTCTAGCACTGGGAAAACTTGCTTCCTACCCCTTGGCAAGCTTTGGCTCACGAGGTGCAACGTCGATCTATCTCGTTTGACCCTCTTCCTCTTCCTCATTCACAACTTCCGTCGCGACTCGTTGCTTTTCTGGCAGGAATGATCTTCTGCAAGGAGCCGGTTGCAGTCAAATTAATGGGCAGCATAAGTGTGAAGAAATTCAAATAAAAACCCAGTCAGTGCAATGTCAAGGCGAGTGGAAAGCAATGCGACCCGCCTCAGATCATTGACCAGTATGCAGCATTTTCGGGGAAAAGGATCATCGCTGCAGTGGTGGGTCCAACCTTCAGAGTCATGCCGACTGTGGACCTCGGAGAAGCCTGGAGAGCTGCTTCTATTGCCACATTCGGTATGAACGCCAGCCAGCTGCAAGATTTATCCGAGGTTCACCCGATGTATCTCAAATCCTCAAACTTTAGCGACCTCACATTGCTAGTCAAGTAGTCAAGTAGAAGCCTACGGACGAATAGCCTCAATACCTGGCTTTGCTCTAGCAAATGAGACATCTAGTTTGAGGGCAAAATTTATACCATATTTTCCAGCTAGGGAGCGTCCGAACCATCCGTCTTAAAAGTGAGGTTAATTGGCTACCTAGTTCACACAATACATCCGCATGGGTTGAGCCATATGATATCTTCATGACTACTCATGTTGAGATAACAGTCACAGAGAACCGATAGGGGCGGTTGTCGATTGCATGCTCAAACCAGCTGGACCCAGTCCTATATCCCCCTCTGTCCGTTCTTTGCCAGGAGTAATTAGCTTGCGTTGAACAGCTCCAGAACTGGCAATCCATGGGCGCTGTATAGACTGGCGCGGTCGGGTCTCGCAGTGTTATGAGCCAATTTTTGTCGCGACCCATCCCAATTTATCTGATACACCTCCTTCGTCTAAAATGAACTCTTATCAGACGGTATGACCTCGGAGTTCCGCGTCTCTATGAGCTCGGCACGGCTAGGGCGTTGTGACATTATTTGCCCTGTGGCTAGATGGATGGATCCTTCCTCTTTTTCGGTATAGCTATCAAGAGCCTCATGGCAAGTCTTGAAAGTGGTACACGTATTCTCTGCCGAAGCTAGCATAGCAATAGTCCACAATGCTAGTTTGACAGTCAGCTTGCCGGCACCGTGCGCAGCATATGGGATGCTCTTCCACTGCAGCGTCCCAGATTCAAGTCCTAGGCCGTCATCCACATAGCTTGCGAGACAGGTGGCGGCTGCCGCTGGGGCCGATGCGCACCAATGCCGGAGCTGATGCTCTCCCAGCTACCGCGCAGCACGACCAGTTCTTTATCGGTTATGATCCACCCGTACTACCGTGTTCGGCTCTGCAAACAGTATGTCTGCATTTGGCAGCGCCGGGACACAGGTTCACGTGCCGCGATGAGTGGAATTGCTTGCGGTCCCGACGGATGTGAAGCGTGAGTCTTCTGTTTCCGCGGACTTTTTCGCCGCGCCACCTGGCAGGAGCTCAGCCGGCTCGTGCAGCAAAGGGTACAGAATGTTCCATCCTTTTGCCAGGCACTGTGAGACCACGGGTACTAGACTCCGGCTGATGATGTGTCTGAGTGTCTCTCCGTCCCAGACCTCCCTTTCACCCTGTGAATCCATGAAAAGAATATGCACGGTGCTACCTAAGGCTCGATCGACCAACGCTCCCCAACCTTAGGTGGGCAAAGCCTGAAGAAACGTTCGAATTCGAATTTTGACCACCAAGGTTTCGGGAGTGGGTACGTGCTAGTGGACCCCAAATCAACAAAAAAGGAAGCCCTATAATTTCTTGCTTCAACATCACCCGGCAGAATCAGCGCCTGTTTTGCGATCTCGAATTTGGCGCGGATTTGCGGGAGGTCTGTCTTTCTTGGAGGGGAAGGAACGAAATCCTTCACAATAGCCCATCGCGAGACATTCAATCCAGGGACTAGTCTCAAACGCTTGCATGCTGTGCTGAGACATGCAAGCTGGTCGTCAGTTAGGTATATCCAACCATGACACCGCACTGCCCAAGTCCCATTCAGACCTAGATCGCACAGGCGAGCAAAGGCACGGCATTCCCGGCTAAAGGGACCAAGGAGTTTTGCACTTCTTGGTTGGACGGGAAATAGTGCTTTGGGAAATTCCCAGGTTTTGAACTAGAGTATATCAATATTCAACTGCAAAGGTCGAAAAACAAAATTTATTCCTCACTTACTAATTTTAAACACAGATCCATGTTTTCATGCCGGAAAGAGAACACAACCCCTTCTTTCCCATCAGAAATGTATTGAGGTTGTGAGATTTCAGCTTCGTGGCCGACGAATTGTTTTAGCAGAGGGTATTTCTTGTAAGCACCATCAGTTTGCAAAGCCTGGACGTCAAGAATATCCTCCGACACACAAATGTTGAGGTATTCGTTCATGGTTGTCCTAAAGATGTTCGGTCGTTCTATGGTCCAAGAGGCGGTAGATAGGCCAAGAAAGGTCCGGTGATGCTCGCGCAAGCAGCTTTTAGAATCGCGACCCCAACCCTACTCACTCACATACCTTGCAGGGCAGTTTCAAGGTCCATGTCAAGTCTTGAACAGAGAACGTGGCGTTTCAACTAGAATAGAAGTAAAAGTTGGATGATGCAGGGAAGGACCTCGGAGTCACTGCAGTACTAATGTAGGTGGAAAGGGATTCCCGATCGGCTGCAACAACTTTGTCTCCGCATTCCCTTAATGTTTAATCGCTTGGAGACACCGCTGCAAAGAGTAGAACGGGGCGCCGCGGCGGCGATTCCCTACCAGTACTGACTTAATCGACTCTCTGAACAATTGGCCTCTTTCCCTCTGAGTTTGGTCTTTGCATCGCCACTGTCTATCGTATTCATTTGAGATTTACATGTATTGTCTTGTAGATGCAGCCTTAACAGTGAGCAGTATACTGAAAGCCTTACTTTACGAGTTGCAGATGATGCAGCCTGATAGAACTTGCTCCTCGCTTCCAGCTGTGATCGATGGGCAGAGTTCCACAGAACGCAACCCCTCATTTGGCGATGTCTGACTCTCGCTGGAACAGAGACTTAAGGTTTTGGCCAGGTTACTGACTGTTGTCTCGCGGCCATGACCCGTCATTTGGTCTCAGGACTGATCATAGAGAACGAGGAGAGTGATTTGGCTCAAGGCAGTAATCCTCCGGTCGCCAAACCGGAGGAGGAAGGAGTCAACATTTACAACTGCAGATAGCTTGGAACTACACGGTGCCAGCCCTGCTACTCATGATCTCTTGGGGCACTGATACCCAGCACCGTCCCGGGACTCGATTCGTCCGATTCAGACGATCATTTCTTCTGTAGGCTTTGAAAACGGAATTATACGCGTGCAGCGCTCCGAACGGGCGCAATAATCATGGCACCTTCAGAAGCAGGTACGCTTCTGCTTCAGTCGCGTACACCCACGGCGACCACGGTTCCCGTCGCGTCCTCTGCACCCTTGGCAGCAAATGACAATTCTGCGGGAAGTGATTCAATAAGAGTCCGAGACAGCAGACTCGCATTCCACGGACCTTCTTGGTGAGGGTAAGACTGCAGCAATTGGATCGCTCGCCACCGCTGCTCGGGATCAACGGTGCGCTTCGCAATGGCATATAGCGGTGGGACAACGCCGATGTCCAGGGTAATTTGTGGGAGATGTGAGGAATCCTTCTCACACTGCTGAATTTCTGCGGCGAGAGCCAGCATTATCTCGAAGTCATCTGTGAACTCATGGAACTGCGGCTTTCGAGTCGATACCGGAAGGCTGAGGAGCGCGTTCCTAAGCGCGTGCGCTTCAAGTTGGAGAAGCTTCAAGCCTCGGTTTTCTTTGGCGGTGAGCACCCGGCCCGGTTGATCGTTGAGATTGTTCATGAACATCAGGAATAAGCTTAACCGATGGATAATGCGAGCTTGCTCACTGACTGCTGACTCAGACTCCTCATAGCCCGTGATAGCCTGCCGTCGACAGAACCGAACCACAGCGCCGGCGAGGGGTTCCATGATCTGACGGACTTCTGTAACAGTCCAGCGGCCATTCTTGACGTTGTTGCGCGGATACATGTCAGAGTAGAGTGTGGCATCATCATCATCGTCTATGACCAGGATCGGTCCCTCAGAGCCAAAGCAGCCAGCCTGATTGTCAAGATGTGCGAAGGTCTGAGTCAGGGAGGGCTCTAGGGGTGTCTGAGCTCCACTTGCTACTTTGATTTGTTGGTCTCGCAGGATTCTGAGGCCACTCCGCAGGTGTCGGAAAGCGTTGTCGTAGTGTCCAAGGGTAAATTCTGCTGCCACAAAAAGAAGGCAGCATAAGAGTAATGTGACGGTGTACTGTGGATCCTGGGATGCATGTCGCCGCCGAAGTTGCTGGAACGCCCGACCCATCTGCTCAAAAGCGAACTGTTGCCAGCGTCGGCTCTCGGTCTTGGCCCTGGGTATTAAGCTTTCTCTCTGGCGCGCTTGGACGCCGCAATGCACAGCGCTGAGCGCAATAGAAGAGTGGCAGACAGCCGGATCAGCATGACCGATCTGCAAGCTCAATATCTCCCAGAGAACCGAGTCATAAAATCCGGCCAGAGTGGGGACGGTGCAATGCTGGAAGAAGCTGAAGCCGCGTCGCTCCTCTAAGGTTAAAGCAGCCAGAATGCCAGGTGCTGTGAGCTGAGGGATACCAATCCTTGTTGCGAAAAAGGGCTTGTGAGAATCTGGGGGCAGATCGTAACCGTCACATTGTCTCCCTGTTGAGGTACATCGTTTGCACGCTCCGGGAAATTCGTCGCATTTGACACGACGGTGTCTTGACAGGCGGAGGATCCAGGGTGAGTCGATTGAACGAGGTCAAAAAGGGCAGGGATTGAGATAAAGAACTAACCGGCAGGTTCGACATCCCAACTTGGATCTCTTAGCGTATGCTTTTTGTCGCTTGACTGGGGTTATGGAGGGATCAGGCATGTTGGGAAGTTGGCCGAAGGAGCCTGGAGCCTGGAGCCTGAGGGGTTGGAACAGAGACCGGTGGGAAAGCGGGCCGATGCGTCCGTGAACACCCGCTTTTCCTTCCTTCTCCACCCCGCGTGGTTTTCCGACTCGGAATACAGAGTGGAGAAAACACCCTACGTGAACTTGGCCCTGACGCTATCGGAGACTTTCAGTGCAGTGCGACATGAGGATGCGATCTGACTCGCCGCGATACAAAGAGGACTGTGAGAATATCCGTTCCAGTGAGTCGCTGCTGACAATCTTCGTTCCTTCTTTGATGCTATCTCCGATGCAAGCAAACACTAGCACCGTGGAGCAGGACAGAAAGATCGCCGTGATGAACAATTCGAATCAGAATACATGGCACCAGAAGTATAGAAGGAATCAATCACTATAACCTCCACCCAGCTTAAATCATGTCGAGCATTGAGTCTCGGAACATCCCCCGGTGATCCTCATTCCAGCTGGCAAATTCCTGGAATATTGCAACATCCGAGCCCCATCACCTTCAGTATTTACAATAGATACAATCCCGGATCCTAATGCCTCCAATCAACCTTCGAACCAACCCATTTTATCTCTCAAAGGTAAACCCATCCGCCAGAAGAAAACAATCAAGTATTCCCGAAGATGGCGGTGACCGACAACTTCCAGAGCGAAAGCTACAACTTCGTGGACCGGATCTTCGCAAAGGCGGAGATCCCCCACCGTCTGTTTGGCTGGCCGTCGGCCCACGAGTTCGGCATGGAATTCGGCCCCGTGCCGTCCGTCTCCTGCAGCTACACGCCCCCGGGGTGGATCATCCCCGACGACCACATCGACGGCGCCATCTGGGCGCTGCGGGCAGCGGGACTGCGGCCATGTCCTCAGGGACGGAAATGTCCCACGGTGTGCAGTCCCTGGCTGCCCCCGACGGATATGGACCATTTCCACCGCACCGAGGGCGATGCACAGGTCCTGCCCCAACATCCGCAGCTGCTCCGGGTGATTCGGCTCTATCGGAAGTCGGAGTATCTGTGGTATACTGGCTTGTAGAACGGCAAGAGTTGGGGTTATTCCTTTTAGTCGGTTTGGACGTTGATTGATCTACTGAATTTCATAATAACAAGACATCGAATCAATTATTCTGCTTTCTGGAACATTTATCTCTATTTAAATTATTCTTCGTGTACTTGACATCCAACAAGTATAGATGGTTAATATGATTCATCATCCCTGCTTTTTCTCTTTTTCGAGGTAGTCTTAGATGACTAGGAACCAGAGGTACTTCTGCCACGATTCATTTTGAAATAGGATACAGAAGAAATCTTACACTTCATGCTCAGTTGTCTCGAAATCTCTTTTCACGAAGCCAAGAAGCCAGAGAGGCCATATAATAAAAAGCTGCCGTGGACAAGAACGAGATGAAGAGGAGAGGGGGTAAAACTCGTGGAACAGATCTTGATATGTTCTCGCCAGTGACAGTAGTAAGTCCGATATAGAAGATATAGCCGCCGGGCCCTTGCTTACTCTGAGCGGAGCCGACCAGAACCGGAGCATGCTCGCACTTGACCACGGCAAGCTTCTTATACGTCGCGAGGCATTCAGTCGCTTGCGGCCATACTGTGTCTGTAGCTTGAGTGGCCCGTTGTCTTGCTGGTTTCCATTCCATGCCGGTGAGCGTGATCTAGCAGTGTATTCGGACGATCGCTGGCGATCCGCGCCAGATATCACGGCAGAGAAGTTCGTTCATTATGTCGGGCTGAACGCCCTCCCGGGCGGCTTTAGCTTCATTCATGTCATAAGTGCTCTTGTCGAGGACCTCATCGGTATTGGGGCCCTCGAGGGTGATTTCTTTGGGGAGGAGAGTGGAGATCCCCTGGGATCGAATTGCAATCATCTTGAGGGGTCTGAGAGAGGTAAAGACGGTGATATTGGTATTTGATTGACTGTAGAAAACTTAGAACAGGATAGGAAAGGTCTTGAAGATGAAGGACCAGATATTAGACAATTGGATGCGTTTATTACTCTTCGGGGTATTTTGACACGCTTATGCGGGAATATGCAGCGGGAATAGAGCCATGGAGACGTCGAGGAGGAGAAAGATGCAGAACGAGTCAAGGTATAAGACTGAGCAATCATGCCTGGGTATAGTCTTCAGAAGACTCACAAGCGAGGTGAAGCTTCCCGGGAGGCTTCAGCTACATGGTTGAATCGCCAGATATTGCTAGACAACAGAACTTTCTGCTCTCATATGCTAGCGTATCATTCTTTGGGCAATGAGCAGTATTCTCTATTTCTTAGTCTCGCCACTGAGCGCTTCTAATGCCCCATAAAAGATTGTATACATCCAGTCCGACTATACCTTCCAGTGGTTATACCTTCCATTCCCCAAGCATGTGACAGCATGACATAATCACCGCACCGCAGTTTCCGAGGGCGCGCTTTTCTGCTGCCGCCGCCCGCCCGTTCGCACGCCGCAGCTTCACTTTCTCTCTCCGCGCTAGCTTCATGAGCTTCGAAGCTTTAACCCACCCCAATCGATCAATTCGAATCTACTCTATCTCACGAGAGCAGTGGTCAATTCTCCAGCTTTTTTTATTTCGGAATTGGCGCGCACTTCCACCATACCACAAGCCCACAACCCCCAATTACCTGGCGCACGCGAACACTCCAGCAACCTTAACTCCGCATGCAAACCCAACCCTCCAGAAACCCATCCACCACCGCCGTCCACAATCTTCCCCGCCATCAACCCTTCGAACCCTCTTGCTGAATCTCTAAGCGCCAACGATAGGGAAAAATGGCCCACTCCAAACGCAACACCTCCCTCCCGCACTTCACGGCCTACGAGCGCTCCCTTCTCCGCTCCGCCTGGGGCACCAAGCGCAGCGTGATCGGCCGCGACTCCTTCCTGCCGTTCGGGTCCTGCCGCCTGTGCCTCCGCCCAGCGCGCGCCCCCGTCGTCGCCTGCGCCACGGCGGGCGACCTGTTCTGCCGCGAGTGCGCGATCAGCGACCTGCTGGCGCAGCGGCAGGAGATCAAGCGGTTGGAGAAGTCGCGCGAGGAGGCGCGGAAGCGGTTGGCGGAGGAGGAGGCGCGCGCGCTGGAGGAGGTGAAGGGGCGGGAGTTGCGGGAGTTTGAGCGGGTGAGTATGGGGTTGGAGGCCGCGGGTGCTTCGTCGGTGGGGGCGGGGAAGGTCCAGAAAGCGGTGGCTGTGGGTGGGGGGTCGGGGACGCCTTCTTCTACTGCTTTGGTGGCTACGGGGGCCAGTGGTGGGCATAAGAGGAAGGTTGAGAAGGAGGTAGGGGCTGCTGTCGATGGGGAGGGGAAGAGGAAGAAGGTGTTTGCGTTGGATGAGAAGATTGTTGCCAAGGTTGCGAGGGAGGAGCAGGAGAGGTTGAGGGAGGAGTTGAGGAGGGAGAAGGTTTGTGTCTTGCCTTTTCTTCTTGGTTTCGGGGATGCGGATGGTCGGGTGTGGTTTAGGCTTGCTGCTAACGTCTTTCTGCTGCATTAGGACGCAAAATCCGCCCTTCCCTCGTTCTGGGTCCCGAGCTTGACGCCCTCGACCGATCCGGATGAGATCGCTGCCAATAAGACGGTCAAGCTGACGCCCATCTGTCCCGCTTCGACGGAATCAAATAAGCATGGGTACTCGCTCAAGGCGTTGGTGGATGTGCACTTTACCGAGGAGAAGGGCTCCGGGGGTGAAACTACGAGAGTGTGTCCTAGCTGTAAGAAGACGTTTACCAATGGGTTGAAAGCTATGTGTATGTTCCTCACCCCTTTCTTCGCCCCATGCTTGGACGTACACTGACTGGTTCACTTTTCGTTATCTAGTAACCAAACCCTGTGGACATGTTATCTGTCAACCCTGCGTCAACAAATTCATGACCCCCCACGATGCGCCAGATCCGCACGCCACCAAGGAGGAACAGGACCAGACCGCGGCGCTACACGGCCGGATCCTTTGCTATGTCTGCGAGGCGGACATCACTCCCGAGACGAAAGGATCTGCGAGTGCGAGCAAGAAAAAGAAGAAGGATAAGGAGGTGATCTCGCCCGGCTTGGTCGAGATTAGTTCCGAGGGGACGGGCTTTGCTGGGCGGGGCGGGAATGTGGCGACGAAAGAGGGGGTCGCGTTTCAATGCTGAAATCGTTGCATGGGAGCGAGAAGCCGGGTTTGTCCAGGTGTACATTATAGATTTGGGACAGAGCACCGGGCATGCACAGCTTGGACAATGGGGGCTGTTTTTGACAAACCAAATTCATATACATGTCCGACATTCGAAAAGCGGCGCGGACGAGGGAATAATGCTGATATGATACCCAAATACATCTAGAGTACATGAAACCCGGCACCCTTTTACCTTCTTTCAACCCTTTCAGGTGATTAGACCTGACTACACCGCCCACACTTAGGACCGCTTGGAGGCGTTGTTGAACTCGCGCACAACGATATCACACTTAGTCTCCTGGCACAGACGCTTGCGACGACCGGCCTCCAGCTTGGCGGCAAACTCCAGGCCACTGGCGCGCTCCACAGCCTCGAGGGGCACCTCGAAGTCGGCCAGACGCTTGTCGTTGGGGATCCGGGCATTGGGCAGGACAAACGCGCCGAGCGCGACCTTACCCGCCGCCGCGGGCCCTTCCTCGGCGTAGATGACCTTGTAGAAGTGGGTGGGCACGGCAACGTTGGGCGGGTTGCCAATGACCTCGTAGGAGACGCGCCACTTGCCATCGGCGGGGTCGCGGGTGGGCAGGTACAGAGGCCCCGTGACGACGCGCACCGACGGGTACTTCTTGGTCAGCCCGCGGCAGAAGTCCTCGAAGTGCGCCCAGTAGTCCCGGTTGAAGCCCTCGCCCACCTGCGGGCACATGTTGCTCAGCGCAAAGGTCCCGTCCATCGCCTCCTGCGACCACTTGCAGTCCGCCGCCGGCACCTGGTGGCCCCGGTCGTACCCGGACCGGAAGTAGTCCGACAGCTTCGCCCGGAACATCGGCGGGATCGTCGTGTCCTCGAAGAACGTGCTGTTCTTGCGGTCCGCGTTCTTCATCGCTAGCGACTGCGGCGTGATGTGTTCCGCCACCCAGGACGGGTTGCGCGTCCGCCGGTCGTAGGCGCCCGCGAGCGGCGCCGAGATCAGCGTGTCTGCTACGGGGCCGGGGAAGCCATATTGGTAGATGCCGGTCGGGTCGACGGGGGAGAGTCCCCCGGCGGTGGTGGGCTGGGGGACGAGGGAGGGAGGAGCGGGAGGGCGGATTGCGGGGGGGGAGGGCGCAGCGATGGGCGACGGAGGTGGGAGTTGTTGTTGTTGTTGCTGAGGTTGCTGAGATCGCGGAGTGGAGGATGAGTAGAAGAGAGCCGTCAGTCCGGCACCGGTGGCTGCACTGGCCGCGGCGATCGCGGCGAAAGTGGCCTTGGACATGGTGTCCGGTCGAAGGGTGGGAGGGAGGGAGGGGAGAGAGAAGGGGTGAAGAGACGGAGAGAGAGGGAGAGGAAGAGGTTGAGGATGGAAGAGGAAGAAGAAAGTCGGACAAAAATCGGATCTCCAAAACAGTCCCGATCGCAGCCCCATCCGCGGTAGGCCAATCAGAGCGCGACTATCAGATGATTTGAAGTATAAAGAAACAACAATCAACATTCAAAGGATTTCAGCTTCTATTTCAGCAACATTTTCATTGTTTCGATCTTTCTTGTCTTTGTCTTAAGTATCTTGACTGTGGAAAACAGTCCGCTTAAATGAACTCAAAGACAGCAATGGCCACTTGCCTGCTCTGCAAGGTCAGGTCGGCTGACACAGCAGCACGCAGATGACACACCCTCTTTTGCACGTATGTTCCGAAACAGGTGTAATTGGTTTCAAATAACAGCAACACTAATATTCTTTCAGCGATGTGACTACCTTTGGCACATATAGACATTATGGTTGGATGCAATCAAGTCCATTGTGGTAGAAAGGCTACAAAATGCGACGCTTTCTATCGCCACATCTCAAGTCAACTTCCTCACAACAACTTCCTCCGGCAGTGGCAGCTATAATCAATAATTCGCAGTAGACAGTATGACTGACCTGCTCCCACCGCCCAAGAGACTTAAAGTCTCCGAAGAACTCTCTCCTACTCAGCAAGACGAGGTGCACCAAATGCTCCCCGCCATCGAAAAACTCCGCGACTATAGCAACTTTGGCCAATGGCTCGACGACGTCCATAGAGCACTGGAGACATGGCAGCTGGAGGACTACATCGATCCCAGCGCTCCGAGACCTGCACCCGATGACGATGACTACATCTACTGGAAACAACAGGCAAACGTGATCTTCTCTTGGCTGCACCTTCACACCTCGCCTACCATTTACGAAGACCCCATTTTCGTTAGCCGCCAGCCACGACTTCCCGAAGACTTCATCAACACTGTCAGGGACGTTGTGAGCCGTGTTAGCCTGGAGACAGCCACTAATCTCTGGTGGTCAACTATCCGCATGGACCCTTTCGATTATAGATCCTTTGACGGGTTCTTCGCCGCATTCAGAGATTTGGCGGAGCAGGCTATTTTGGTCGGAGTCATCACGCCTTATCAAGCGTTCTTCGTCTTGCACCAGCACCTCCCGAATCTGGAGAATGTTTTCACACTGCCTTATGCCAAGTATAGCGACACCCTTCATTGCTTCGGCATGGCTGGCGAATGCTCTAAAACTATGACCGAGGAGACATTCAATCTGTTCTGTGAGCACCTTGAAGAGCTTCCTCGAAGCGCTTATTGGACCTGGAAGCGCGTGGGTAAGCAACGAATGTTGTCGTGAGGAGCAGCTATAAGATAAGATTGATAGTATTCTCAGGGCTATGTCTACATACATTACGTTTACACAAGATGCCTTGAATTTGAGGTTGCATCGATTCGAACCAATTTAAAAATTTCCCAGTTATAATGAAGTCTGGATCTGCCTAGTTGTTGCTAGTTATGACACTTTTTCAGAACCAGGGATTCGTCCAGATTGCTTAGGCCTCCTTGGAGGTTCCAGTAACCAAAGTCACGTATAGACCAGTTTATTTCGCACCCTATGGCTCCTTCTATCCATTCTAGGCTTTCATATGCTGGCATCTTCTCTGTTTCTACCTGCTTCTCACTTTCCTCGCCAGCCTGGGTCACGCCAACGTCATCAAGTTGGCGAAGTAATTCTGTGATGAAAAGGAAATGTCCAACCAGTGAAGCTTATAGAGGATGTCGTGGTGAAAGGCCGTATATTCTGGGGGAATTACAGTTTTCGGGACCAGAACTGATCTTCCTGTCTTCCATGAGTAAGTTTACGAAATGGTACCAGGACCAGAAATGAAGGTTGTCATAACTTTCAACTGCTTGTAAAGACTGTCCTTGCTGACTGCTTCGGAGATCTCCTTGCCTGTCCAAACTGCTAATAACACTCAGTGGCACGAGAGCGCCATCAACAGGAGAACAATTTGTCCCCCACTGTCCCCTTACCCTTCCTCGCCCTATCCTCCAACCCTTGTTATCCACACTATACCATCGCCGACCACTCAACTATCAACACATCAAGCACATCATACCAAACATTTTGTGCCTCAAATACACACATTCCGAGATGAGCAGATATGACAGTCTCTATAAGTTATACAAATCACCGAGTTGAAGCATCTGCGATGAGCACAAGCATTCAGCCTATCGTCCGCCTGGATGTCATTCGCAGATCGCCGCGTTTCACCGTTGCCAGAGCCGCCGGTGCTGGAGTCCCCACCTTGCTGATGCTCCTGGTTCTTCTCTGCAGCCTCCCTGGCGTCGAGGTCGGCAAAGACCTTGTCGAGTTCCGCGCAGAGAGCGTCACCGGCTACAGCCACCACAGTCCCGTCTTCGGTCTGCTTCAGCATGTAGCCACCGTCCTCCTCGTGTAGAAGCGTGTATTGATTCTCGAAGGTGATCTGGTTGAGCTGCTCGCGGGTCTCGGCCACTATAGCCCCAGAGGGCACGGGTTTGGAATAGCGGGTGAGAGACATGGCGGAGCTTATGGAGATGAGAAGGAGGATTAGAAGACTTCTGATAGGGAGGGTAGATGGAAGCATGGTGGCAGGTTTTTTCCAAGTGGACTTGTTTGCTTGGTTGGTTGTTTTGTGAGCGTACCTCAATCGAATCACGGTAGTTTTTAAGGAAGAGTGGATGTTGATGACCCTTTCTTCAGGTCGATCGGAGAGATGGGAGGTGCTTTATAATTGTAGACAAGAAGATAACGCGTACAGTGATCTCAGCTCAAGTTCTGCTGACACGAAATTCTTGTGTAGCTACAACAAGGTGAAGCTGGGGTTTTCCTGCACCTGTTTACTTCAAAGCCTCCATCATGTGACGGGCCTGTAATACGTCACTCGGCCAGTGTCCGTTTACTCTCCTTCCCTCCTTGACTTCTACTGTACAACTTCCCCATCTCCATTGTGACGCCTTGAGGAGTACTTTCAAGTTTCTTGATGCCAATGTGCTTACTTGGTACTTGTTTCTCGGCTTGGTATCTCTACTTCACTGCTAGGATTGGTAAAGTTACTGGCGATGTCGCGGAAGCTGTGGCATTTGTACCACTCTTGTACTCCTTCGCAGCTGAGAGCCTGATGGAAATTCCGACTCATTTGAGGCCATTTTGTGCCAGCTGAATTCGAATATTCCCTGTTCGTTGGTGTTGATATAAGCTCTGATCAACCCCCGACTCAGTGCATTCAGCTCGCCACCATCAACTCGGAGAACGAATCGGAGGATAAGTCCAAAAGTCAATCATATCCCTCATACCGACAAACTCCTACTGAGCCGCTACAACTGTGGTTATCGGCTTACTTGCCAAAGTCCATATAGTGATGTCAAATGTTCAATATCGATGCCTTCTTCATGACCATGGCTGTGCCACGCTAAGTAGATGAGCCTGAGATCAGAGTTTTTGGCTCTGTGTCTGTGTCTACTCAGAATTGCGTTCTCATTGTAAGCTCTTTGCAGTAGCGAGTCTTCATTCTCTATTGTCCTGATTGCATTCGAGGAGTCACTTACTGGGGAAATTAGATTCTTGGATCAATGTTGACTTGTGGCCACTAGAGGCGTAGGACCCTACAGAGAATTGGCAAGCCGCTGTCGAACAACTTGAACCTGCTCAAAGTCAAACTATACAACCCGGTACGACTGTTCAGAAAGTAGTTGAAGATATGAGTCCAGTGACCAGATTTCAGACAGCTGTTTTGGCTGAGAACACTAGGCACTATGTGGGTCTTTGTCCGTCAAGCGCCGCTCCGCCAATCAAGAAGTCTTCGGTCAACAGCCTTATTTCGACTCTTTTGGGATGTGATACTCAAAGCTGAGCTGGTCAGAGGATGTCTCTCCGTCCACAGACAAGGTACATTCATTCTAGTAGTCGATGCTACAAGTATGATAACATCTCGAAGATGAATAGCTTACGGGCTCAGTCACAAGTTCAGTTCAGTGATCTCCCACTGCATAAGTTTTGACACACACTTCGTTCATTGGAGACTCGAAAACATCTCCAACTCCAACTTCATACTGCACTAGCATCTGCCTGAGCGGTAGTTATGCGGTTTCCAACTCGTTGGCCCCATCGAAGTGCCAGCGTTATTCCCCAGCAGTGCGGGCTGAAAGCCATCACCATTGCACCAGCCAGTACCCACGAAGCCGATTCTATACACTGGATCTCACATCAAATTATGGTAGAACATTCTGAGTAAAAGGAGAATTACAGGGGCAAATTGCGACGTGCTCTCGAGTAAGAAGGCATTGCAACACAACTGGTTCAATTGCTAAGAGAGCAGAAAGCTGTGTGGATCAGACCTCCTTGAGAAGCTAAAGGGACGGCTAGCGATCAAACCAGCCCAATGCTGCGGAAATGCTAGGAATCGCCACTTAACAAAGTTGGGGATGGCATATACCCCACAAAGTTTCAATTCTTCGTTCTAGGGCTGGATGGTCGCTGATCATCACCACTAATAGTTTTTTACCCTCTTAGAGTCTAGGGAAGGATGCATGGATGGTAATCAGAAAGAGGTTGTACGGTAGGTATGAGTCTCCACCCTACATAACTCAAATGATCTAGTAACGTTTTTACAGAGGAGTTCGCTCGTTTTTGTACCCGGACTAGGCACGATCCACTCGTATTCGTACCCTTGCCCCAAAATGGATGTCCACCAACCCTGAGATGCCTGTAGTTTCACATCTAACAATAATAGCTCATGGGTGATCGCCCACTATGACAAAAGGGTCTTTCTGAGACTCTGATGTAGTCTCAACTGAGTCGATTGCAGTACAGTACATATCCTGCTGGGCTCCCATGCATCTGACACCCCTACACTACACCACCTCTCTACACCCATCATGTCGAGTGGCTACAAGCTCTATGATTATAATCCTTCCGTGGGCGCGGCCATAGTCTTTGCTGGAGTATTCGCCGCAACCTCTGTGCTGCATCTGTTCCAAATGATCCGCAGGCGGACCTGGTACTTTACACCCTTTATCATCGGTGGTTTCTGTGAGTTCTCCTGATCTCTTTCTCTGCCAGTATCATCGCCGGGACTTGGCTGATATGCTGAACTATTCCATTTCTCTCTAGTCGAAGCATTTGGCTATGTTGCGCGGTGGTACAGTGCCAAACAGACCCCGAATTGGACGGTGATGCCATATGTCGGTCAGGAGCTGCTGCTCCTCCTCGCCCCCTCCCTCTTCTCCGCCTCCATCTACATGCTGCTGGGGCGCATCATCCGCCTGGTCCATGGGGATTCGCGCTCGCTTATCCGACCGAACTGGTTGACCAAGATCTTCGTGACGGGAGACGTGCTCTCTTTCTTCATCCAGAGCGGAGGTGGCGGCATGATGGCGAGCGCGAACTCGGCCAGCAGTGTTTCCCTGGGCAATCGGATTATCGTGATTGGTCTCATCGTCCAGCTGGTTTTCTTCGGCTTCTTTATCCTCGTCTCCATAGTTTTCCATCGCCGTATGACCGCTTCCCCGACTCCGACCTCCCTCTCCATCAGCAATCCCCCATGGTACACCTACATGCGGGTCCTATATGTTGCCAGTGTTCTGATCATGGTTCGATCGATCTACCGTGTGGTGGAATATGTGCAAGGGTCCACGGGAGTGTTGCAGCAGCATGAGATCTACCTCTACATCTTCGATGCGGTGCTAATGTTGTTGGTGTGTGTTCTTTTCAACATTATCCACCCAAGTCGCATTCTGTCCAGCCGCCAACCGTACGGCAAGATGGACTCGGATCAGGTCGAGATGCTGGATCCGCGGATGTGATTGTTAAAGTGGTCGGTCGTGTTTTTAATGGTTACATTCTTGGGTCTCGCTCGGTTTGTTATTTTCACGCGCACATTTATTACTCGAAATCTCTTTTTGTTAATTGATACAGTTTGTTGTAGCGCTTCTGCTTTTCGTCATTCCTTGTAAATAGAAATCTTATGAGGTTACCTTCTCTGGATAGGGTTTCGTCCGATGTCCGTGAGAGCATTTTTGTTCCGGGTCTCGTACCGATTACTCGAAGCAGTTAGCCGGATTCTCTGCTCTCGGAAACCCCAGTTCTAGACGGGACAGTTTCAACTGTGTTTGCCTAGATTAGACTCATAACATTACTGGTCAAACCGTGGCTTGGCTAGAGATGTTGACTTGTAATCTTTCTAGGCCGAAAGTATCTGACTGTAAGGTTCTTGAGTAAAGAGTGACGACTGATTTTCGGAAAATGAAGTTCCATCAGTGCGTCAAACACGTGTCGCTCCTACGACTAGATGCCTTGGTATGGTAAAAACCGAAAGAAAGGATTCCCCTAAATATAGGTGCACGGGGTAGAATCCCAGTCTCAGTCAGAATCTGATTCCCTCCACTGTGATTGCCACTTGATTGCAGAATAAGGTACTCCCGGCGCAGCGTCCGGCCCCGCTGAGGAACCTGGGCTCAGACGGACACCCAACTTATTGCCTATTATGGATGACAGGAAAGGCAAAACTTTTCTTGGCTGGTTGCGCATCGTACAGACGTAATGTCGCACCTGGCCCACGTCTTGCGTGTGTATTTCAAATCCGCCTTTTCTCTCATGCTCGGAGAATGACTTGATCATTAAATCAGCGGTCCTTTGGTCAATCTAACCGACTTTTCCTCTCCTCCAAGGCCTTTAAACATATGGTCATCTCTCTCCCTCACCTCTCCCCTGCCAACTACACACCCAGATTCAGCTACTAGAAAGAGCGTGAAAGAGCAAATGATCACCTCAATCCAAGTCGACGACGACAATGACAACGGAACGCATCCACCGAACAAAACAACATGGCTCACCGCCATCCAAGTATTCCTACGCTGGGCCGTCACCCCGCTGGGCTTCTGCATCACCATCTACGGCCTGAACGTGGTCGCCTGGGGTGGCATGCTCTTCCTGCTGCTGTGCAATGCGGCGCCGGCGATGTGCCACCCCAGCTGCGACGCCCCGTACTCGGCGCGCCGCATCTGGATCGAGATCGACTCACAGATCCTCAACGCCCTCTTCTGCGTCACCGGGTTTGGCCTGGCGCCCTGGCGGATTTGGGATCTGTACCTGTGGTGTCTGTGGCGTCTCGGTCGCTCGTCGCGCACTCGTCAAGGGGGACTGGCCCGGCTTGCGGAGATCCATGGCAAGTGGTTTTGTGGGTCGGCGGTCCCCGTATATGAAGACGAGGAGAAGGCGACTGCGGGGGCGGCGGCCCCAGCAGCAGCTGCTGCTGCTGCAACAGAAGCTCACTGCACCCCCACCCCGCTGTGGAAAATGGATGTGGTGGTCTGGGGTAACTTCCTCAACTCCGTCTTTCAGGTCTGTCTGGCCGTGTGCATGTGGGCGATGGACCGGTTCCATCGGCCTAGTTGGACGACGGGCCTGTTCGTGGGCCTGGCTTGTTCGGTTGCCGCGGGCGCGGGGGTTGTTATGTGGTTGGAGAAGAAGCGCATCCATAAGGCTAGCGAGCACCCTGGGGCGCTGTTGTTGGTGCCCCCAAGTGCCGGCGCTGCCAGCCCCGGGAATGGTTATATGCATCTGGATCGGGGAGCGTTGTCATCTTGATATCTTTCCGGTTGATAGATTGCTCTGGGGATTTTTCTTGATTTCTTTTTACAGCGAACGGAAATCTGTTTTGCTTGATGATTCTTTCTGATGTTTTTTGTTGGTGATCACATGGAGTTATGGTACCTATATTTGGGTGGAATGACATGGAACTGCAGTTCGGGGAGTCACTCTTTCGTTTGAGAGTGTTCTAAGATGTATGAATGTGCCGGTGTGTATATCAATCTCTATACCGTTTTTATTTGGGTGGTGAAGGTGTATTCCTAGACTATGTGCACAGTCCGACCCACTTTCGTACTCGTACTCGTACCGTTGCCTAAATGGAGAGGAACAATGGAATGGGGAAAAGACCACCATGTTTTATTTCCTTGACTTGAAACCAGCCTTATCTCAAAGTGAAACAAGGATGAGATCTCCCTTCAGCCTTACAACAGCTTTGTGGCTGAGAAAGTAATAGCAAGGTGAAACCGGACGCTGACCGAACAGAGCGTTGCAGGTTAGTGACGAATTGAACGAGCTAAGTGGAGCAGCCGCGGGAGGCTAGACGGGCAATACAATGAATGGTCTTACGGGGCAGAACTAAGAGTTGCAGAGCAGTAGTCGAAATAGTGACAAGTGAGGGCTTGGGCAATAAGAATTGATTCTCTGGTGGTGTTGCAAAGTATAATTGGTGGATGTAAGGATGTCCTAAGATTCTTTTACTATTATCCTATTTTTGGACCTTGGCAGTACTACGTCTGAGCATACACGTTTCCAGCATCTGTTTCTCTACTATTATATAGGGCTCTTTGGCTTTGACACTGACTCCGGAGGTGTCATATCTTGCTCTAAGCGTTATCGTTGAGTTACAAGCATCGCTATATTTCTCACCACAGAGTCGTGAACGCCCTCTTTTTGTCTTGTTCTGAGCTTGGTCTGCTTATAGACATCAGCACCGGCGGCAGCCGCAAGATCTTAGTAGCTTGGACTGGTAGATCAACTAGTACTAGTATGATAGACATGTCAGGTACCATCTCGACAAGCCTTTGCTTATTATTTTCTCTATCCATCCATTACACTATTGTCCAGGGATGTATGATTCTTTTAGTAAATCCTGTAATCTCCTATTCCTAAACCATTTGTTGTTCTACCTTAATACTTGCCTTGATGCAAGCACACTCACGGTTGAATATTTTGTACGATGTTAGTTTGTAAAGCATTCTAACCAGAATTGATAGTACTATGATGGCAGGTTATGCAAGTCTTTAACAAGTATTCTGTCATTCTTACTCTACTGTGAATTATCATGCTGCAGTAGAGACACAATACCACTGAGAGAAAGACCAATTGGTCTACTAATGACATTGCATGTACAAAGGAGCGGAATGTCAATCACTTATACTACAGAAGGTGAATGCATATTTATCCAGATATTGAAATCAATTGTACATAAGTTCTATTTTTATTCTGAATGCAGTGGATTGCAAGGGGAATGTCAGAAGTAGGGCTTCCAAGGTCCCCAGACCTTATCTAATCGGGAGAGCGCGTGACATGATATCATGCATTATTTAGCCATTCCATTCCGCCCGCTCTCCGCAATCCACAGCCCCCCCATTCATTTCCTTTGCTTTACCAATTTTCCCCCCGGGTACCTACTCTGGGATCTCCTCATCTCTTCCTCCACTTCTGTCTCCATCTTCCTGTCGATCTCCCTTCCCTCTCTCTCCCCTCAGGCTCTTTCCCATCCCCCCGCATCATGGCTGCCAGCAATGACCTCCGGGGCTGGGTCATGAGTGCCGTCTCTGGCGCGGGTAAGTTTAATCTCAAACCCATCTCCAAAATTCGCCTTCCATGCTGATTGATTGCCTTTAGCCTGCGTCCTGGGGTCGTCCGTCATCTGCGTCGACATAGTATTGCGGCAGTTAACACGGCGAAAGGACTTTCAGATAGTCCACAACAATGCATTCTTATCAGCATCGCTCTGCCTGAGTGCAGGTGTAATGGTATTGCCGCCCTTGCCCCTTTTCGTTATGGTCGTGACTAATGGTCATAGCTTTTCACGTCTCTCTATAGCATGCTTCCTACATCGCATAACTACCTCATCCGCGCCGGCTGGTCTCCCTCTAGCTCTGCGTATGTGCTCATTGGACTCTTCCTCGCCGGTGTCGTCGTCATTCGCTTCGCATCCGCCTTGCTGCACCGGTACATCCCCTCCCATGTCGTCGATTGCGCTCATTCCCACGAACCGCATCCGAAGCTCGATCACCACCACGAGCCCAACGGACACCATCATGATGAGTCGAACACGTGGAACGAGCGCACCCCCCTTCTGTCACGGGCCCTCAAGTCCTCCCCGGCGACCATGACCCTCCCCGAGGCGAATGCTCGCGCCCAAGTGCCTCTCCAGCGGCGGGAATCATTGCGGGATCGTCTGACGCGGCGCTTCAGCCGGATGGTGGGCGTCAAAGCCCAGTGCGACGAGAACGGGCCTTGTTTCGGGTTTTCGCAGGCGTGTGGCCATGAATGTACCAAGACACTCTTGCCGACTCCCTCGATCTCGGATGTAGGCAGTGACCTGGTTCGTCCACCTCTCAATCAGTCTCGCAGCATCACCGTCCACGGAGATGCGACCCAGCCCAGCGATCTCGAATCGGGTCTACCTCGCGTGCACGAGTCGCCCCACCATCACCACCACCACCCTCACCACGAGACCAGTTCCTCCTCATCGCACACGGGCCTGTTGGACGATCAGTGCGAGCCGTCGGAAGACTCACCTCACAAGCTTCCTGTCGCAGAGACGCCGCAACATCACCACCACGTCCCGCAAAACGCATTCCTGTCCATCGGGCTCCAGACCTCCGTCGCCATCGCCCTGCACAAGCTGCCGGAGGGCTTCATCACGTATGCGACCAACCACGCGAGCCCGACGTTGGGATTGACCGTCTTCCTGGCGCTCTTCATCCACAACATCAGCGAGGGGTTCGCGATGGCCCTACCCCTCTACCTGGCCCTGCACTCGCGCGGCTGGGCCATGTTCTGGTCCAGTCTGCTGGGCGGCATCAGCCAACCGGCGGGCGCGGGCCTCGCCGCCCTCTGGATCTGGGGCGCCCGGCGCGCCAACGGGGACGATGGGACGGCCGGTCCGTCGTGGGGCGTGTACGGGGGCATGTTCGCCGCCACCGCGGGCGTCATGACCTCGGTGGCGCTGCAGCTGTTCAGTGAAGGGTTGACTTTGACCCATCATCGGGGCATGTGCACGGGGTTCGCGATTGGAGGGATGGTCCTAATGGGCCTCAGCTTTGCGCTCACGGCATGATACATCGTGCATCGTCGGTTGGCGTTGATTCTCGGGTATGATTAGGCCAGAACAAAAACTGCATTGTTGTTTTATAAGGGTTACACTAGACAGAATTACTTCAAGAGATAGCATTGTTCCAGCGGAGTGACTTTTTGCTTTTTGTGATGTTGTGAAATGACGTGACGAAATCGGGTTCCGGGCTGTCATGACGGATTGGATTGATTGTTTTGTGATTGTATCTGTTTACCTGGGGAATACATATATAGCATTACCGGCAGATTCACAATTCGCTCTCATATTATCGTACAGTTTATAGGGAATCACTAGCCACTAGCCACTATATAACAGCGCCTGGAGTATAGTACAGCAAAAATGTGCTAGGAGGCTTTCCCCTTGGCAGCCGCCGCCGCCGCCGCCTCGCGCTCCTTCTTCCGGGCCAGATATCTCTCCCGCGCACTCGAGACGTCACCCTGAGTCTTCAGGCTCCGACTGCGTTCGGCGATCTCCTTCTGCCGCGCCGCCTCGGCCTCCTCCTCCTGCCGCGCCCGCTCCTCCAACTGCGCCGCGATCATCTCCGTCTGTCTGGCGCGCTGGCCGCCGCGATCCGCCCCTGCTCTATTCGCGCCGAACCTCGACGTCGCCGGTCCACCCACTCTTGCCCCGGCCTTGGGATCAAGTTGCGGCGCCACCTTCGGCTTCGGCGCGACATTCAGCCCGGCCGACAACAGCTGCCTCTTATCCACGACCTGCCCGTCATCGTTGACGGCAATGTGCGCGCCCCGCGCATTCAACTCGGCCGCCACCTGCGCCTCCGACTTTTGCTTGTCGTCCTTCTCCTCCCCACTCTTCTCACCTTCCCCTGCTGCAGCTGCAGCAGCACCCCCTTCCTTTACAGCCGCAGCCGCTTCCGCGGCAGCCCTAACAACAGCAGCATGCTGCTCCTCCCCGCGCGCCAACATCTCCCGATAGAACCCGACCATCCCCTTGCCCCCATTTTTGCGGCGGTCCTCCTCCTCCTTTGCCTCCCGGGCAGCCTCCTCCTCCTCGATCCGCCGCATCTCCGCCTGCTGCGCCTTGTACGCGGCCGTCACGAACTTCTCCTTGTCGGCGAACTCGTCCCCCTCGGCCTCGCGCTCCTTGGCGAGCTGCCGGTCCCGGGCGCGGAGCTGGTCCCGTTTGCGGATCTCGGCGCTGCGGAGCAGGGCGGTCATGTATTTGGGGACTTGCCCCTGGGAATCATCGGGGTTTCCTGCAGTTTTGGGGGCGGGCGGTTTGGCGTGCAGGGTGTCGTAGATGCTGTCGTAGGAGTAGATGCTCGGGTCGAGGGATTCGGCGCTGCGGTGGTGCTGGCGGCTGCTGTGCAGGGCGGAGAGGTTGGTGTATTCGTTTCCTGTGTGGGTTGGGGTTTTGGTTTTGGTGGGTGGTTTGGTGGTGAGCCCGTATGTCGTTGTCGTTTTCGTTGTTGGTTCGGCGGTGGCATCATCGTCCGGGTCGGAGTCGTTGGCGAAAATCGAGGTTTTGGAGAGGGGTTTTATGGTTGACGGGGGTTTCGAATTGGTGAGGGTTGGTTTGCGTTTGGGGGGATGCGGGTCTGTGTCGGTGGGTTTGGGGGCTGGCGCTGGGGTGGGAATCTCGTCTAGGCCGCCGAGGGTGGTGATTTCGATCGCGCTGGGTTTCTTGTTCGCGGGCGCGGTGGTGTCCTCGTCGGAGGAGTCCGGATCGTCGAAGATGGTTTTCTTGCGCTTGTTGGGCGCTTGGTGGCCTGGTGGGGGGCGGCCGCGGCCGCCACCGCCGCTGGCTTTGGATTTGTTGGCGAGATTGATGCCGAAGGGTGGCATTGTCTTTTGTCTGGTAAGTTGATGTGCAGTACAGGGAAGAGGAAACAGTTGATTTGATGATGGATATCGATATCGATGATGCGAGTCACGTGTTCGGTCTGTCTTATCACCACGTGATTATCCCCTCCTCCGCTTGCTGTCCCCGTCCCTCCCTGACTGGCGCGGTGCCGCAGCGGCGTGTGTCTTCCCCGGTAATCAACATCTTCGTTTCGTTCCACTTACTTACATCCCCTCCACAGCTTCAGGGGCTGGAAAGCATCAAAAATGTCCTACTACTTCACCATTCTCTCGCCCACCGACGTCCCCCTCTTCAACATCGCCTTCGGCACCTCCAAATCCGGCGGCGATGGCATCGCCCGCTTCCGCTTCCCGGACACAGCCCAGTACATGAACCAGTTCATCATCCACTCGAGTCTGGATATGGTCGAGGAGGCGCAGTGGATGAATGGGAATATGTCAGCCATGCCCCAGCCTTACCTCCCCCCCCCCCAAAAAACCCAACTAACCATTCTGATCGCCGGGCGGGAAACAGGTACCTCAAACACATCGACACCTACCCGCCCGCCTCGGCCTACATCTCCGCCTTCCTCGCCCCGTCCGGCGCCCGGTTCCTGCTGCTGCACCAGCCGCCCCAGCTGCCCAACGCGTCGGGTCCGAATGCGACGGGCGGCAGCGGCAGCGGCGGCGGGATAGGCGGGTCGTCGATCCTGGGCGGCTCGTTCTCGGCGGGCTCGTCGTCGCGCGCCTCGGCCAGCTCCATCGCCGCCAACCCGACCAGTCCCCAGACGGAGGAGGCCGTGCGCCAGTTCATGACCGAGGTGTATGAGAATTACGTGAAGACGGTCATGAATCCGTTCTATCGGCAGGGAATGGAGATTCGGAGTGCCGTGTTTCGGTCTAGGGTTACGGCGGCGGGGAGGAAGTGGTTGTGATTTTCTGGGGGGGTTTTATAAAGGGGGAGGGGGAATTGGGATGGGGAATTGGGGTTGGGTCAAGGGGTGATAGAGGTGGAGGGATTGGGTGTGTGTTGGGTGAGGGTGTAGGTATACTGGTGTTGGCGTTGGGTTTTGTTGCTTTCTGCTTGATGATACCAGGGCTTGTTTGCCATGTATATCTCTTTTTAGTTTCTCTGCTTACTAGTGACTTCAATCGATGACCGCTGTGCATCGTTAATCATGGTCGTATTCGTCGTTATTGCCAGCAATCATACTAAAGTACCCAAACAACTCCTCTAAATCCGAACTCGGCTGAGTCTCAAGAAAACCATCAAATGAAGTCCAGAACATCGGCTCAAAAAGCAAAGCTAAACGGCCATCTGCGGAGCCAGCTTCTTCACAGTCACAGCCTTGAAGTTCTCCACCGCATGTACTACATCCTCCAGCTTGGTGACCGCCCCAAAGATCCCCCCCTCCATCTTCACCGACTCGATCGTGCTCACATGCAGCGAGGGCTCGCTGGCCGCCGTGCCATCCTCGAGAACCACACAGTCAAAGCCGCGGTCGTTGGCCTCACGCATGGTCGTCGCCACGCACACGTCGGTCGTCACCCCGGCGATCACCAGGTTCTTGATCCCACGGTTTCGAAGGATAAGCTCGAAATCCGTATGCGCGAACGCGCCCTTCCCGGGTTTGTCGATCACGGGCTCCCCGGGGATCGGATACAGTTCGTCCACTGTGTCGTGGCCGACTTCCCCGCGGATCAGGAGACGGCCCAGCGGACCCGGCGAGCCGATCCCCAGTCCGGAGGCATTATTCCGAGATCGGTAGGTCTCTCTGCTAGACAGCGTCGACAGATCAGGGCGATGGCCTGATTGGAAAGTCAGTGGACCGGGATGATTGACAGGGATGGACTGTGGACATTCGTTTGCCGTACGCACCTTCTCGGGTGTGGTAGATGGGAAACCCCGCCGCCCGGAAAGTATTCAGCAGATGCTGAAGTTTCGGAATCAGCGCCTGATTCGCGGAGATGTCATAGCCCTGGTACTCCATGTATCCACCCGGCGAACAGACTGCGTCGCATAGACATAGGTTAGTTCCGAAAAGACCCACTAAGCAGACAAGATAATATATACGCACAGTCCTTTTGCATGTCGATGATTACTAACGCCGTGGTATAGGGGGTCAGGGTGGCATCGTGCGGCCAATCGTACGGCACCGCCGCGATCTGACCCTTGCGGACCTTGTGGTGAGGGAGCTGTCGGGGTTTTTCGACAATCGGGCCGTGGTTGTGCGTGGGGTTCAGCACCGTCAACGTCCAAATGCCAGGAGTTCCAGCTGCAACTAGCATAAACGGGCAATCCATCAGCCGCGACGTCCGCCGTCGCTTCCTGGTCTCCTCCGTGAGACCATTCCGTGGACGGTAATGGCCACCGCGATCACACCGCAGCCAGACCTTGGCAGTCCGCCCCGGTTTCTTTTCCGTCGGCGTACTCGACGACTTGACTACGATGTTGTACCCATGTGCTTTGCCGTGGGCCGACACGGCTGCCAGTAAAGTCGCCCTGGGGGAGGCGGGTTGCACCAATGTGAGTGATTTGCCGCTGGCTGGAAAGGGGAGAAAGCAGAAAGGAGGATGTACTTACTTGTCGGGATACGTTCCTTCCGGCGGCGGGAGCAATTGCATGGACATCTCCGGGATATCTTGAAGGTCGCTCGGCGCATCCAGGTTCAGATCAGTGGGATCTGCCATGGTGACAGGTGAGGTGGTGGTGGATGTCTGGCATCGCCCATCAGTCTTATCCAAAGCATTCATATGGCTATGGCCTCATAGAAGTAGTGAAGGGCTGTCGGGGAACATGAGAACAATCGAAGTATTGAAGTACTGCGCTTCCTCGACCGAAGCGAGTGCGTGGAAGGAATGTCCCCACGATGATGAGCAGCCGAGGGGGTTTTGTGCGTGGATATAGCGTAACCAGGGGTGGATTATCAGGGGGGGGGTGGGGAGAGTTCATGTTCGGGCGGGATCTTCCCAACACTCACTCACTCACAACACACTACTTCACCCGCCCAAGACACACACCAGACAACAACAACACGAAATAGGCAAAGAAGGGGCCGGCGGCGGCGGGAACGTACTGGAATCTGGGGTCGCACGTGGAACCTTGAAAACTATCCCTTGTGCCGAAAACAAGTTTTGGGGATTTTCGATTTTCAAGATCGGGGGAATGAATTGAGTTAGGCTTTCTGGTTTGGAGGTATCAGCAGCCTTCAAGGTTGTTAGGAGCACGGCTGGCTCCATATAAAGAGACACTGAACTGAAGGGAAGGTGTGGGTGGGAGGCACCGTGGACGCAGAGTCGCAGACTGACGGTGTGTGTCCACGTCCGGTCACGTGGTCCGCTCACTCACCGCTGACTTATCTCCACCACAACAACAAACACAAACAATACGGAGTACTCTATCGATCAAACTCCTGCAGCAGGTATCTCTTGTATTGACCTCACTATCGTCACTCTGCAAGAATATCGGTGTATTATCTCGCCAATGAGCAGTCAGCCTCCGATGATGAATCCCAGAACTTTCAACCACGTAAGCAAGAGGCATAGAGTGGCACCTCAAAGTTCATTTTAATACATCAACGTCCTCGCGTACGTCGCGCCTTTTGTTCCACCGCACGATTCATCTAGACAGCCCCGGATTGGTGATCGGAGATTTCGGTGCGCTTCGATGCTTGAAGAGATCTGAGCTGTCGAATCCGATTCTTGACGGCCCGAACATGTTGCTTCAAGTCAGTGCGGATCTTCTTTAGCGCAGATAGATCATTCCATTGCTCGCTAGCAATAGCCCATGGTGCAGAATTGCCATTCGAGGACACGATAGCCATGGCACTCTGCGCTTCGTCTGGCACGACACGATTCTGGCCGGATTGCAGAGATGAATCAGCTAGTCGAAGGTTTGCCGCCTCAGCATCTTCGTGAGCAAACCAAAGACCGTCGTGTCCAGTAGCTTGGATTGCTTCACGCAGGCCACCATACCCTCGAACTTCCCTGGAATATGTTATTCGGTACTCCTGCACTTGGGATAGATACTCACTCCGAGATAGGTGCGCCCCACTCTATGCCATTCTGAAATTTGAACGCCTTGTAGTAACAGCAATGTTCACCTATGCCGTCTATGATACAATTCGCACACGCAGCAGCAAACAATGCACGTCCTCGAAACGATGGCGCGATGATACAGCGTCGAAATGTGGCTGAGACCGAGCATTGAGTGCAAGGATCAACTTCCACTCCCCGGCGATACAATATAGAAGCATCCGCAAAGCATCGGTTGTAGTCGTCCGCCACTTAGTCTTGCCAATCTTTCCTCTCGGTCGTCACGACATGGGCGTTCACCGGCTCCAGGGGCCGTACCACTTCTAGCAGTACCGCAGTTTCTTGTTGATCGTACTCATCCACATCTTCTGCGTTGAATGTCCGATGGATCTCTACATCATGGAATTAGTATTCGAGTAGAGGCGGTAGGAGAAGAAGTGGACCTGTTTCTGCGTTCTGCCAGCGGCGTTTTGCCTCGGCCACAGTAAGCGACATTTTGAGCTCAGATCGACTTGGGCAAGTCCAGAATTGTAGCGGACCAGATGCAGTGGGGAAATGAGAGATGAGAAAGCGAGGGTATTGCAGGGAGAGGGTGCCAGTTGTAGGGTTAGGAGAATGAATGCAGTGAGAGAAGGTGACCTGATGAAAAAGATACACTGTTGAATAGCTGCAATACTCAGTGTGCTATGCTAAGTCGTCTGTAGAAATCAAGTCAGTGTTACTGTTTCTTCATTTCAAAAGACGCGTAGAGCAAGTTTCCTGATAACCAGTGTACCAAATCTTACCTCGCAAGTATCTCGCCTCGAAGTGATTGGTCAAATCAGCAATAGCACTCTCTCTCCAGAGCGAAACTGTTTGTCAAAGATCAAGTATCAATCAGAACTCTCCCAGAATTCGGCTGCCTCGCCGGTGAATGGAGTGCTGCAAGGATGCAGAATATCATCTCCGGTGTTGGAAACTGCTATCATTGAACGGCCTTCAAGTTCAAAGCAGAACACAAACCATGTCTTCTCCAGAGTAGCCTCCGGCGCTGTCAGCCACTTAGAAACTTCTGAAGCTCAGTTCTGGACAAGAGAAGGAAAGAAGGTCCTCAATTAGGAAGGCATCAAAGTCACATGAACCTCGAATCCCAACAACTGCACGCCCCATCGGATTATTTGCTTGTTGCACAACAGTCCAGCCAGCATCCATGTCTTGATCACCACTCAAAAAGATTGCTCGCTTATATCTTTCTCAGGAAACCCCGTTCTTTTATCTTAGTCGCATCTCTTTATCAGAACTTTCATGCCCTTCCCCCTCCCAGCCAGAGTTGAGCCGAATCTCCAGTAGTAGGATAGCAGCAGGAATGGACTCGACCTCCTCCGTTCATACCTTGCCCATTCCTTCGCTTGACCGCTCTTATGGCATTGATTTGTGGCCCTGGTTCAACAGAGCCTTCGAGGCTGCTGTGGGGTATCCAGCCAACAGTTTCCGATTCATTGAGGGCAAGACACCTCTTTCTACGCTGAAGGAAACCTCAACTGTTCTTATCCTATATTATACGGTTGTTTTGGGAGGACGAAGTTTTATGAGCAATCGAAAGCCATTGCAATTAAAGGGGCTTTTTCTTTTGCACAACTTCTTCCTCAGCATCATCAGTGCCATTCTTCTGGCACTTTTTCTGGAACAGATAGTACCGACAATCGCGAGGAATGGATTGCACTGCGCCATCTGTGATCTCGAGGGTGGTTGGACCAAGCCCATGGTTGTACTATATTATGTATGCCCGACCCAGTTCGTCATCTTTCCCGGTGTGCTAATGCGTCGAGACAGTTGAATTACCTAACTAAGTACTTCGAGCTCCTGGACACGGTCTACTTGTTTCTGATGAAGAAGCCTCTCAGTGAGCATAGCCGTCTACTCCACATAGCCAGAGGTCCACTCTGACCTGGCCTTATCCAGCGTTCCTGCATTGCTACCATCACGGCGCAACCGTCTTCCTATGCTACACTCAGTTGGTTGGGACTACGGCGATCTCGTGGGTTGTGATCACACTGAACCTAGCTGTCCATGTCATCATGTACTGGTACTATTTCCAGGCCGCACGAGGAACTCACATCTGCTGGAAAGCATGGATCACTCGGGGCCAAATCCTCCAATTTGTGATTGCGCTGGGTTCGTCCTGTACCCTTCAACGCTGTTCAGGTAGGACAATGGTGCTGACCAGCATGACCCCGCAGGCTTTATCTCCTACGGCTCTTTCTTTGTATACTTCCCTCAGTATGGCTCATGTGTGGGCAGCGTGTTGGCCACAGTCACCGGAGACGTGGTGATCAGCTCGTACCTGGTTTTGTTCGTGTTGTTCTACCTGGCCACATATCGGAAAGACGGCAGGATGCCTAGTGCCCGCGTAGCTGTGCGACCTATAACCCAGGCACCAGCTTCGGTGCCCCATCTGGTTGTGGCTGCTATGTCCAGTGGGCACGATAACCGAATCGAGACAGGGTTGACTGGTGGTGCCAGTGCCCGGGCACGGAAAGTCTAGTGGTGCGGGCCAGGCTGCCATGGATCAGCAAAGTGAGTGAGTGGCAGTCGCGACATTACACACGTGGATGATATTTCTAGCATTTTTAGCATCGTGTAGCCTTTTGCTGGATACAAAAGCTGTGCTGGTGTCAGTAATCGGAGAGGGTTTCGTCGGACGACGTTCACATGATCAAGGGCGCGTCTTCTGATCGAGCACTAACTACTCCGCAAGCGGCACTGTCAGTATTCTTATAGAAACATGATAACATCTTTACCATTCATGCAACGAAGCTGAATCATTACCTAGCAATCATCAATATAACTACAGCTATGACAGTTGTTACGGGGTCACAGATAGATTAAAATGTAGTAAATAAAAACAACAATCATAACAAGCCAAACAACCCAATACAACCCAAACCACCCAAACAACCAGGATATACTCACCTCAGGCCGCGACGTCACCGGAACTAGTCCAGACCCGGTTTAGTTGGCGACACCGCCCCGTAAGTTACCCGTCACTACCGATAAGTTACTGCTTGGGTGGTTCAAGAAGGAAGGTTAGTTGTTGTTGTCCCGTGGACGGAATCATCAATTCAATCTGGCGCCCGTCCCGGCTTTGGCTCTGGATAGCATCACCACCCCCATCAACCCAACTATCTGCTCTGAAAACAATCCTTCCACTTCTTCTTTCAAGCCCCACTTTCTTCTTCCACCCCTTCCCCCTCCCCCCTCCCCTTCTCGTTCTTCCCTCTGTGAGGGCAGTCCCCCAAGGTAAGTCAATTCATTCAAGGCCAGCGCTGGTCTCAAATCTCGACACTCTCAGCTCGCTTCTGGGCCGTCTCCTTTTGACCCTTCCATCCCTCCGTCGCCTCCCACACCGTCGCAATCTCTCCCCCGAGTGCCTGCGACACCGCCCGGCCCCTCCACCAGCACCACCAGTTCACGCACGGTGGTTCCTTCGCTCTTCCGTTGCATGCTCTCGAATCTCGCCTCTTATTTCCATCTTATTCTAATCACTCAACAATCTCCCCGTTGAGTGACCCTCTTCCCCCCCCCTGCAGATCTGGGTCTCATTTTGACGTCGTCTCCTGGAACGTGCGTCTCCTACGCCGGCCTCAGCTGCTGGTGCGGGAACCATGCCATCCGTCGACGATTCTTCGGCCACCCGGCCCAACGGCACTAGCTCGAGGTCGGACCAGCTCGCGTACTACAAAGCGCAATATGAACAGCTGGAGGCTGAGCTGTCGGAGTTCCAGGCTTCCAGCCGCGAACTGGAGGCCGAGTTGGAAAAGGACATCGAGGCGTCGGAGAAGCGAGAGCGGCAGCTGAAGGAACGGCTGGAAAACTTGAGATACGAGATTGACGACTGGAAGGTGAGCAACTTTAGAGTTCTAACTACTTCCCCTTCTTTTTTGCCTTTCTGGCGCTCCCTCGTGGGCCAGCTTGGTGATAGTGAACATCGGCACTAACCTTTCACCCCTTGCAGTCCAGATACAAGCAGGCCAAGTCGGAGGCCAGCGCGGCCCAGAATACGCTGCAGAAGGAGATTACCAAGTTGCGCGATGGTAACCGCACCCTACAACTGAAATTGCGCGATATCGAAGTCGCGAACGATGATTATGAACGTCAGGCCCGCCATACCACTTCATCCCTGGAGGATCTGGAGCAGAAGTACAACATGGCGATCGAGCGCAGCGTCCTACTCGAGGAAGAGGTCAAGAATGGCGAAATGGAGCGTGAGAGCCTACGGATTGAGAACCAGCGTCTTCGTGATGAACTGTCGGAGCAGAGAGTCGAGGCAGAGATTCTCTCGGAGAAGCTTCGACACGAACAGAATGGTGGTCGCCGCAGAAAGCCTGCGTCCTTGATCTACCGCACTCCATCAACACCTCAGACACCCGAGATCTTCGACCGTACTCTCAGCGCTTCAACTGTGTCTACTCCTATGTTCCAGACACCGCCGATCAAGAATGCTCTTATGACTGTGACCGCCACTCCTCCTTCGCCACCCATGTCTGAGGCGTCGATCAGTGTCCCGACTAGCATGCGCAAGACTGCCAGCGCCACTCCTGGATTCCCGTTCAAGAAGGCTGGTGGTGGCGCTCAGCTGGGCTCCCGGTCGATGTATGACTCGAAGAAGACCCCAAAGAAGTCTCGGGGTTCCACCTTCAACTCCAACAACGGTCGTTCCAACACAACGACCCTGCCATTTGCGAGCGCTTTTCAGCCGGGGGGCATTAGCACCAATGACCCCACCTCGTCCGCTAGCATCAACAACGACCGGTCCACCACTCTGCCCAAGTCGGGATCTCTTTATCAGATCCGCGGTCTGATCGGCAAGATGCAGCAATTGGAAGAGCGTGTTCACTCTGCCAAGTCCAAACTCCCGGCACCCTCCGATTCGCCCTCTCGTATCTCGTCGCGGTCTGGATCTATTGTCGGTGACAGTCCAGTCTCTTCGACGATCACTATGCGCCAGAATTCGGCGCGTAAACGAATCAGCGGCAGCAGCTTTAGCTCGTCTGTGCGTGAAGGCGACACGGCCTCATCTTACAACACTCGACCTTCGTTTGGCGCTCGAACTCAGGGCGACAGTCGGCCTAGCAGCCGGACCAGCTATTCCAGCTCCTTCAGCCAGAGCACCCATCCCAGCGTTGCGCCTTCTACTCACTCGGCACGTCCTGAAAGCCGGCAGAGTCGTACTAAAACGCCACTGGGACACTATTCGACCAATCCCACCACTGAAAGTCGGCGCCCCCGGTCTTCGCTCAGCAATCCGTCCGTACAGAACGGCCATACAAGCGGCATGTCCAACATTGACGAAGATGAGGACTTGGCGTTCCGAATGTCAGTGCGAGCCAAGATTAGCGAGGCTCGGGAGGCACGCTTTCCGTCATTCTCTACACCCGTTCACACCCCTACCAGCTCAGTGAAGACGGTCAAGAAACGCACGCCTAGCGGGATCCCCGCGCCACCACGAAGCTTCCGCACTAGCACCGGATATGAGCCGAAGACCAATATTGGTGATCTTGGCGAGACCTTCTAGGCCTTTGATAAATTTTTATTCTATTCTCGCAATACCCTTTTTTCCCTTAACCCCGATTGACAATTCCAGAGGGGCTTTACGAAGTTCACGGCCGCTACGCAGGTGTTGATCCCCTTCTACTTATTCCCAGTTGAGAACATTCTTTCCCTCGTTTGTACTTTTTTTTTCCTCTACTACCCTCTTGTGCTCTTCCTCGCTTTCCGTGCGACTACCCCCTTGGCAAGTGACGTTTTTTGAGTTGAGATATTGTGTGTGTGTGTGTGTGTTTCTCGAGAACCTCTTCTTCTGGAAGACATTGCTTGGGCCGGCTCAGAGATATATGATTCAGGCTTATTACAATGCAACTGCCGCGGCGATGCCCTGTATTTGATTGCGGGGACGCAAAGACCCGGCCTGTACAGCTGTTGGTGGGCAATGTGACTTGATTAGACTGGCGCATTGACGGACGGATGGATGGATTGAGGATTGTTGTCGGAGCAGAGGGTTGAACTCTGTCTCACGGCGTCCAAGCTGTCACTCAGCACTCTTTGTTTCTTTGACTGTCTGCTATCTGTCTCCCTGTGTATTGAGTAAATTGCCTTTGGCGTTAGAGAATAATACCCAGTGACGGATAGATTTGGTTCTGTGGTGCACCGTAGTGAGACCGGCTGTTGTCTGCTTGTTGAGAGAATAGAGTGGTCAGCTAGGTTCAGATCTGCGTCACCACATTCTCCTCGGCATGAAGGTCTTCCAAGAGAGAATGAATGTGTCGCGCGGTTCTGGTGATTTAATCACATGATGCGTAGCCATTCACTTCCCCCCTCAATCGGTCAGTCAAGCCATGTTTCCTAGACACAATTTCAACAAATCAAGAAATGGCCACTATTGGCAGGCAATTCCTGAAATAACAAGTGGAGGGACAGAAGAAGAAGGGTGTTGTGTCAATGCGTGTCCTCGGATCCAATCCAGTACATATATATTTTCGCCGGGTGGGCTCATCCCTGACCACCCAACAATCCCTTGCTCTCGATGTTTTTGCTCCACTACGTCGACGGTCCACACCTCGTGTCTTGTCTCTTATTTGCCGAATCTGCTGCTGATTGGCAGAGGGGATAGCTCAAGCTCGGTGATTCTACCTAAACAATATCGACCCAGGTATGATCGCAGCTTCTTGTTACACCACCAGTGATCATTGAGTTCAATGCTAAGGATCGCCCGCATAGGTTCATGATGTCGTGCTACAGGAAATACATTATCGGCTTTCCCAATCAATGCCCATTCTCGCCAGCTACAGCTACAGAGCCCACCAAGTATATCAACCGACGGTGGGATTCGAAGTAAGGTCGTGCGGCGGTGCGGCGGTGGTGAGTCCTCGTGCTGGTCCGGGCAACGAATTGACGGCCACGGCCACGGCCATGCATCGTGGATCTGAATCTGGATTAGCCTTATTTTGAGGAGCCTCTCCTGAGTTGGTCATTACCAGCCGGGTCACGGAGTACTGGATTGATCAGGTAGAGTTCGACTAACTCAGTATGTACTCCGTACTGTAACTACTGTACGTACCCAGGTAGACTACGAACTACTAGGTACTAACCTGAAGGATTGAAGGAGTCTTCAGCCAATGGTCCATCTCCCCGACCTCCGTCAGTCAATCTTACGGGAGATTCGGTGCGTGTTGCAAGTCAAGGGCTGAGTGACGGGGGTCTGGCTCCTTCTGGATCTCCGATGAGGTCCGGATTCGGACTCCGAGAACCTGAAGGATTGTTGGTTGTTCTGCCCACGAACTATGGGAACTACAATCGTTCTGTGCCAAACGCACGTTTAATCCACCATCCATCGTTTTTGTTTTATTTTTTTTTCGATGCCATCGTCACCATCATCTCGATCGGGTATCCTCAAGCGGCGGACAATCGAGCCTATCGGATTGCCGTGTGACCAGAGAACCTTACCTTCGGTTCCAGCTAGTTCATTGTGATTATACTCCAGTGTTCGTTGACCAGGACCTACAAGGTAGACTTGGGCTGTGTAGCCCTGTGTTCTTCACAGGGCGGTTCTTCTTGGTCTTGCTCCAATCACCATGCGCGATTCGCAGCCCAGCTAGCGAGGCCCAGCCCCACGTCTGGAGCTGGAGGTTCATGTTCGGTCTAGTCGAGTTGAACTGGGATGTTTGGTGGCTCTGTGGTGGTTCTGTGGTGGCTCTCAAGGGGAGAGAGATTTCCAGCAATTTTCGGTTCTTCGATACCGGCCAACGGGTCTTCACTCGGGTTCCATCATCCATGTCTCCGAGGGATTGGGCGCGCGGGCCCCGCCGGGGACGGTCGGTCTCGGCCAGGATCCACGAGGGTTGGGGTTGCTAAACGCCTGGGCGGAAGGAGATCGTCGCGTGGGAATTTTTTTCGCGCTTCTCCTTTTCTTAGGGGAAGTTCTGCTTTGGACGTGCCGGTTGTTGGTCGGTATGGATGCTATTTTATTGTGGGAGGGAGCTGGGATGATGCGCTGAGATTATTGATTCGTGGGGGTTTAGTTGCAAATCAAGGGATCTAGGGTTGTATAGGTTTTCTACTGGATATCTTGATGTCAGGGTAGACTACGGAGTACTAAGGTATACAGTCCTGAGTACTCACAGCTTCCTCAGATTCGACTGCATCGAAGCCAAGATGAATTTGGTGAGAAGGCAGTCCCGTGACTTCCCACGATCCCCAACGCGATGACAACTGCTGCCGATCCCATTGGCGCTGACGGGTGGGGCGTCAACAGACTCCCAAACAGGTTAGATGCAGGGATGGCCCCGTTCGGGAGTTTCTGTGGAGAAAAAAACATCAAGAACTTAACAAAGTCGGGCTCTCTCTTCTTAACCGGCTGCAGTGCTCAGGTACCACCGCTTTCGAATAAATGACAATGCATCAATGCATTTTGGGGAGGTGCCGCTGCCCGTTGGCACGGTCTACCGTCACTGATTCATGAGCGCTGGCCCTACTCCATAATAATAGAATCATTACATGGAGATACATGCAAAATACGTACATTTCACACGGACCGGTATAGTACCCAGACTAAGACACTAAGCTTGGATCTGCCGAGCTCCTCCTCAGGTACTCTGACCGTCATGGCGCTCCGAGGGTCGGAGTAATTCCTCAGTCCGAACTATAACAGTTTCGAAAGACAATCCTCCGTGCACCCAACAAAAAGAAAATCAGAGGCCAGCTGGATTCTAGCGACAGAATGGTATAAGAGGCCATGGTCCGGTCGGTTTCTTGGTCGCGTTCAGACTGAGTAGTCTACGAAGATGGAGTGGGCGCGGCGCGATCTGTAACTCCGGACTTGTCGGGGAATTTGTCCCGCAACACCGCAACACACAGACCGTCAGTTGATAGATGGTAATTTACCAGGCTTAGCCTTACCCTTAGATTACCGGAAGTCAATACAGACTACGAGGTACAATACAGACATTGTTCCATGATCGACAGAATGGAAGGCATTGGAAGATAGTAACTTATTGAAAGTGGTGGTGGATGGAAGTTGTAGTACCGAGGAGTGCCTTACATGAGATATTCCGGGCGGGGATTGGCTGTCGAGGGTTGGAGGGACAAAAAAAAGTTGTTGACTCGACAAATGCTGGGTTTTGTTGGCAATTGGCAGTTGGCAAGGCAAGTCGACGACCAAAAAAAGTGGTGGGAAAAGGAAGAGGGAGGGCGGGGACGTCATGGGCCCAACAACCACAAATTGGATGGAGCCAAACCAGGCCGCACCGCTATTCGAGTAGTGAACCTTCATCAGTTTTCCCGATCCCGATCCACACTGCACTAAGCAAGTTACTGCCCGCCCTTCCGCTGTAATTACCAATACCACAGTACCATCTTCAATTCCATGATGATAATGATCAACTTCGGGGAGTAACTTAACTGGAAGTCTACTACTACAGTACTGTTACTACTGTACCTCTGTACCTTTATCCATACAGTACAACAACTCACTCTGCCTCAACTCTGTCTACTCCTTCTGGCAATTAAATTTATTCTTCGCATCCCCATTCTTCTCCTCGTTCTCTCCTTCCTCTTTCTTCTACTTCTTCCACTTTCTCTCCTCTGTAATTCCCAATTGAAAGCCGGCCTGGCCTCTTCTCCATCTATCCATCCTCCCCTCTCCTCTCTCTCCCTCTCCTCCCTTTCCTCTCTCCCCAACTACATCCTCTCTCGCAGGTGTGTTTAGTTACAGTAAGTTCCGTTCCGGACCCAGACTTTCACTTTGGCTCCAGTCCCTCCCTCCCTCTCTCCCTCCCACTTCTTTCCCCATCCAATCCCATTCCCTCCCCTCCAGCTGCTACTCGCCCTCTATTTTTTTTTATTTTGCCTCCATCTACTTTTTCCCCCCCCCCCTCCCTGGCGCATCGCGCATTCTCTCCCTCCTCTCAATACTTCTTCTTCATACTGTTTGCTGACAGCTGACTCGGTTTGCTCACCTTGTCTCAGCCTCAGGAAACTGCAAATAATCTTTCTCTCCTCCCTTCTTCACTCCCGCCAATTCTCCACTTCTAAAGAACGGTGAGGGCGTTCTTCACAACAAATTCCGCCAGTCGCGCCTCCCTTCCATCGCCATCTCTCCTCCCAGGCCGTTCAATTCGTTGCGCCCTGTCCCTCCCGATCTCGCCTGCATCCTCTTCTTTCCGCTTCATACGCTTCTCCCGCGACCTTTAATTTCTCTCTTTGAGTGATTTGTTTGCATTCCATTGCATGGGATTTCTATAATACCTAATCCTCCCGACTTTTGCATCATGAGCGCCACCAACGGTGCCGTCAACGGCCAGGCTGGCTCCAAAGCCGCCAACCTCCCCTCACATTTCATTGGTGGTAACCACCTCGACGCTGCTCCCCCCAGTGCGGTCAGGGATTTCGTGGCCAAGCATGAGGGTCACTCCGTCATCAGCTCGGTGAGTTGCCCCGGAAGAAGTGCGGAGACATGGGAGGCTTGGGATTTTCCTCACTAACCACCGAACCACGGTCAGGTTCTGATTGCCAACAACGGTATCGCTGCCGTCAAGGAGATCCGTTCCGTCCGGAAATGGGCTTACGAGACGTTCGGCAACGAGCGGGCCATCCAGTTCACAGTCATGGCCACGCCCGAAGATTTGCGAGCAAACGCAGATTACATCCGCATGGCGGACCAATACGTCGAGGTATGTGCTCCCGGACAGTTCGACTGGCTTACCACGCCTGTGTCACTCACAGCTCTCAACCACACCAGGTTCCCGGAGGTACGAATAACAACAACTATGCTAATGTCGACTTGATTGTCGATGTGGCTGAGCGAATGGACGTGCACGCCGTCTGGGCCGGTTGGGGTCACGCCTCCGAGAACCCTCGTCTTCCCGAATCCCTTGCCGCCTCCCCCAAGAAGATCATCTTCATTGGTCCCCCTGCATCGGCCATGCGCTCGCTGGGTGACAAGATCTCCTCGACCATCGTCGCACAGCATGCAGGTGTCCCCTGTATCCCATGGTCTGGAACCGGGGTCGACGAGGTCAGAGTCGACGACCAAGGTATTGTCACCGTCGATGACGAGGTCTACAAGCAGGGTTGCACGTTCTCGCCGGAAGAGGGTCTGGAAAAGGCCAAGGAAATCGGCTTCCCCGTCATGATCAAGGCCTCCGAAGGTGGTGGTGGTAAGGGTATCCGTAAGGTCGAGAGCGAGGAGGATTTCGTCAGCCTGTACAATGCTGCCGCCAACGAGATCCCCGGTTCCCCGATCTTCATCATGAAGCTCGCCGGTAACGCCCGTCACTTGGAAGTCCAGCTGTTGGCTGATCAGTATGGCAACAACATCTCCCTCTTTGGCCGTGACTGTTCCGTCCAGCGTCGTCACCAGAAGATTATCGAAGAGGCCCCCGTCACTATCGCCAAGCCCATCACCTTCCAGGCCATGGAGCGCGCTGCCGTCAGCCTGGGTCGCCTGGTCGGTTACGTGTCGGCTGGTACTGTCGAGTACTTGTACTCCCACGCCGACGACAAGTTCTACTTCTTGGAGCTGAACCCCCGTCTCCAAGTCGAGCACCCTACCACTGAGATGGTCTCCGGTGTCAACCTGCCCGCTGCTCAGCTGCAGATTGCCATGGGTATCCCCCTCCACCGCATCCGTGATATCCGTCTGCTCTACGGCGTCGACCCCAACACTTCCGGCGAGATTGACTTCGACTTCTCCAGCGAGGAGAGCTTTAAGACTCAGCGTCGTCCCCAGCCCAAGGGTCACACCACTGCCTGTCGTATCACCTCCGAGGACCCTGGCGAGGGTTTCAAGCCTTCCAGCGGTACCATGCACGAGCTGAACTTCCGCAGTTCGTCCAACGTCTGGGGTTACTTCTCCGTCGGTACCTCCGGTGGTATTCACAGCTTCTCAGACAGTCAGTTCGGTCACATTTTCGCCTACGGTGAGAACCGTCAGGCATCGCGGAAGCACATGGTTATCGCCTTGAAGGAACTGAGCATCCGTGGTGATTTCCGTACGACCGTCGAATATCTGATCAAGCTGCTGGAGACTCCCGCGTTCGAGGACAACACCATCACCACCGGATGGCTGGACCAGCTGATCTCCAACAAGCTGACTGCGGAGCGTCCGGACCCCATCGTGGCCGTTCTGTGTGGTGCCGTGACCAAGGCCCACCAGGCCAGCGAGGCTGGTGTGGAGGAGTACCGCAAGGGCTTGGAGAAGGGTCAGGTGCCTTCCAAGGACGTCCTGAAGACCGTTTTCCCCGTGGATTTCATCTACGAGGGTATGCGGTACAAGTTCACCGCCACCCGCGCTGGTGTCGACAGCTACCACCTCTTCATCAACGGCTCCAAGTGCTCCGTCGGTGTTCGTGCGCTGGCGGACGGCGGTCTGTTGGTTCTCCTGAACGGACGCAGTCACAACGTCTACTGGAAGGAGGAGCCCGCCGCCACCCGTCTCAGTGTGGACGGCAAGACGTGCTTGCTCGAGCAGGAGAACGACCCTACTCAGCTCCGCACGCCCTCTCCCGGTAAGCTTGTCAAGTTCACCGTCGAGAACGGTGAGCACGTTCGGGCAGGCCAGGCTTTCGCTGAGGTTGAGGTCATGAAGATGTACATGCCTCTCATCGCCCAGGAGGATGGTATGGTCCAGCTGATCAAGCAGCCTGGAGCTACTCTGGAGGCTGGTGACATCCTGGGTATCCTCGCCCTCGATGACCCGTCCCGCGTCAAGCACGCTCAGCCGTTCACTGGCCAGCTGCCTGATCTCGGCCCTCCCCAGGTCGTCGGTAACAAGCCCCCTCAGCGTTTCTTCTTGCTGCACAGCATCCTCGAGAACATCTTGAAGGGTTACGACAACTCGGTCATCATGAACTCCACCATCAAGGAGTTGGTCGACGTCCTCCGCAACCCTGATCTTCCCTATGGAGAATGGAATGCCCAATCTTCCGCCCTGCACTCTCGTATGCCCCAGAAGCTTGATGGCCAGCTGGAGTACGTGGTTGACCGTGCTCGCGCCCGCAAGGCCGAGTTCCCTGCCAAGCAGCTGCAGAAGACTATTCAGAAATTCATTGAGGAGAACGTTAACCCTGCCGATGCCGAGAT